AGAGAAGACAATGATGTCATCAATATAAGAATCCACGTGCTTCACACCATTAAAGATGATATGAACACATTTCATAAATAAACTGCTCAAAAAACGGATACCAAACGGACATCCCACAAAGGAATATTGTCGATCGTTAAAGGTAAATGAGAGTTTTGCTTGATCTTCTTCGTGTACTTTGAAGCGTGTGAAAGCGGATTTCAAATCAAGACAAGTGAAGACAGTCGCGTTTTTCATCCGTCTTGCAATATCGGAGCAAAGAGGGATTGGATAGGACTCTTCAGTTGTACATAAGGCGTTCAGTGCCCTAGTATCAATACAAGGTCGATAGGATGTAGGCAATCCTGTTTTCGGATCCTTTTTGGGTGCAAATGTCATAGGATTGTTCCATGCATTACCAGGAGGAGCGTGTTTGATAATACCATCAGCTAACCATTGATCTATCTGTGTTTGAAGAATAGGAATCAATTTGTCCGCTAAAGGATATTGACGCCGATTTACAACTTTTCCTTCAGGTGTGTGAATACGAACAACCGATTCGGGAAGAGTGCAAAAAGCAGAAGGAGGAATGTTTATATTTTCCTGTATGTAAGGTTGAATAGATTCAAGAAATTGTTTGTGTTGCTCTGGTGTACCAGCAGGAGAATTGTTTGGTTCAGGTAAATCTTCTGGTTCAGGCAAGCTAGGACGAGAAGAGCGGTGCCAGCAAGAGGCGAGCCCTTTCAAGTAAATACCAATAAGAGGCATGAGATCTGAGCCAATAGATACTTCGGCATCAGCATTGAATTCAAAGACTTCAAAAGAATGTGAGGCAGTGATTCCGTTGTGTAAAATCTTTATTTCGTTTGTATGACCAATTCTACTAATGCTCGGGCCAGGAGCAGCCAAGTTGACCTTTCCTTTCATGGGAGTGACAGACAGACCCAGAAACGACCGCAGCGAAGGAGTGATTGCCGAAAATGTGGCACCCGGATCAACAAACGCCCAGGTTTCATACTCCTGTATAGTAACCGGTACATAAAAAGCTTTAGTATTCTTGTAAAGATGACGTGAAAAATCATGTGAAGACTTACAATCATAACAAGCTTTGTGAAGTGAAGCATCGACCTCTTCCATAACCGCGTCTTCCAGAGAAAGAGACGAGAACGGGGCAGAAGATGGTGATGGTGCCGTGTGAGCCACGGAGGCAACAGCAGCAGGGATCGGCGCGGGAGCCGAAGAAGGAAGAGAAGGGATTGGCTCGGAAGCCGGGGTGACTGGTGCGGAGCCAGAAGCAGACGATGACTCGGAAGCCAAAGTTGCTGAACGAATAGCCAAATGGTTGACTTGACATCTGTGCGTTTTGTCCCAAGGGGCACCACAGCGGAAACACTTCTTACCACCTGACGATGGCGACGACAAGCCTCCCAAACCAGCAGAACCAGCACTCGGAACCACACCAGACGAAGACGACGACGCACTCGAGTGCTTCGAAACCTTGCCAGACGAACCATTGTTGCGAACACCTGTCAGCATGCGGCATTCTTCTGTCGAATGGCGGCCAGCACCGTGCAAACGGCAGACCTTGCCAGCAGAGACCTTCTTCTTTCCCTTGTTGTTTTTAGCAGCGACAGGCGAGGACCAAGGGGAACTTGAACCTACTACGGAAGTAGTATCCAGAGAAGCACCTTCTTTGCTGTGTTTTGACACAACTACCTTGCCGTACAGCGTGCGCGCCAAGTTTGCAGCTTGGTCAGTGGAAGCCCGTTGGCTGGCCGGCAGATGAGCTTGGCTCAAAGCAACATGCTGTGTGAGCTCCGGAAGCAACGAATTGATGTAAAGAGCGGCGATGACCTTGCTGTCCTCGCAGCCAGCTTCTCTGCGGATCTTGTGAAAACGGTCGGTGTACCGTTCCACCGATTCATTACGGCTCATGCGCAAGTTAAACAACTCTTGCATGCATTGGGCTTGACGTTCGGCATCCTGGATTCCATACTTGGCGATGATGGCTTTGCGCGCGAACGACCAAGGGAACTCACCATGGGGCTTGAGGTGGTTGGTGAACCAGGAGCGTTGATCTGGAGACAACATGCGTGGGAGCAAGCGGCACCAGTTGGAATCCATGTCTTGGCTATACGAGCCAACGATGTCCTCAAAGCGGTCGAGGCACTCTTGCACCGAGGCAAAGACTGGCTTGGCTTGATCGAAAATATTCCCTGACCATTGGAGCAGAGGTAAGTCGGACGGGACACAATTCTAGAAGCGGTGTTGGTGGCATCAGTCTTGAACAACCTCTTTTGCACCGAGAGCAAGATATCCAAGTCCTTGGAAGCGGAGAGGTAGTCGGCTTGGACACGAGCATGTTCTTGGTTGGTGAGACCACCGAGAGCAAGACATTCAGCCAAAGAGGCTAAGCGTTCACCTAGCTGATCAATGGCAGCCTGAGAGCGAGCAGCAGACGAAATCCTAGTGGCAGCAGCGATGGAAACGGATTCTTGCATCACCACGTCAGGAACGTTGGGCAACGACAATTGTGGCACACCACCAGCAGCAAAAACAGCAGAACCAGCGGCACCGGCGACACTAGCATACGAATGACCTTGCACACCAGTAGTTGAGCCAGCAACTTGATTAACAAAGGAACTTCCCTGCTCGACAGCGTGGGGTGCTTGATGGACTTCTTGAGAACCAGCTTGATGACTATGGACGGATGTGGCCTGGACCTCTTGAACCGAAGCAGTAGCAGCAGCCGGAGAACCAGCAGACGAGTTGATGGGAGAACCGAAATCAATATGAGTAGACATGGTAAGTAAGGTAGTGAAATAAAGTAGTAATATAGAGAAAAGGAATTCGTTGAAAAAAATGTAATATCCAATAAACCAAAAGAGACAGAATAAGTCAACGAGACCCGAAAGGAATTGAAACTGGTTTATTATGATAACAAAAGTTCTCACTATTTATAAGAAATGGCTTATCCTTGGCAACTACCACAGCGTGTGCATTGAACGGATGAATTGATGTTACAAATCAATTATATAGGATTAAGTAATGTATGATGCGTGAGTAAAAGGTACATCCGGGTAAATGCCTCAGATAGTAGCTAATGTGAATTACGTGATCCGAATAATGACAACTTCTTCCTGAGCATAGCTGATCGGTGTTTCACCAAGATGTGTATGAATAAGGAAATGTCCGCACAAGTGAGGTTATGAGGGAAATAACAGCAATCGTTAATGACAGATTAAAGAATAAGTGTTATTGAACATGTTGGATACAACAGCCATGCAGAAAAAAAGAAGTGTAAGAAATAATGCATGGAAGCAGTATAAGTATATATACAGAGAAGACGATCAACTGAGACCGTTGATTACTCCCCTAGCGCATTTTATATTGTGCAACTTTATTACCATACCTTTACTTTTATGAACCTCATCTTGATCGCAATCGTCATTTACAACAGTATGACAAATAAACACATTCAATAAGCATCGTAAAACATGTGCTGCCTTGTAATACGCGATGAGAATGTTTGTATATATAAAATGCATCATAACATCCTTTTTTAGATCCAATTGGTTTCAGCATGATATCAATTATGTATACAAGAGCGGCATTTTTGGCTACTCTGTATATGTTTGTATTTGTAAGACAGCACTATAGAAAGTACGTATGATCTTTTGATGCAAGGGTTTGTAGGGGGATTATGAAGATGATGCAGAACAGTGGTAGTGCGAAACCTGTCATTTTTTAGGTACTCGAATGGTGCATGTCGGTGTATGTGAAAGAAAACTCATAAAAGACTTCTCTTTGTAGCCAAAGCATACACTCGGAGTGCTTCATCCGTTGTAGTAGTTGCGTAACCAATATGAAGTTCTGTTCTTGCAGCTATTGCATATACTGGGAACTTTTTGTACCAATATAGTAAACTTACATACACAAACAGATTACTTCATGCATTACTACCGCATCCAATCTCTAAAAAACCCCCAACTTCTGTGGTGGCCCACCTTGCCTCTTTATATACAAATATCAAGGTCTTTCAAAAGCCCTTGATATTGGACTTTTCGTGCGGTGAAAGAGCAAGATCGGTTTTCTGTTTTCTTGGGGAAGACAAGAGCTGTCTGAGTGTGTAAAAAAGAGATTGGGTGGCTTAGCTACTAATTAAATCCTGTGAGTTGCTGCCCAAATTGTCTCTATTATTACTTTGATCGTCTCCATGGAAACAACTACAGAAGTTAAAAGAGGTGAGAAAAAGAGAAATATTCATCACACAACGCATAAAAAACTAAACTACTTTTCTCTTTCCTTTTATTTTTATTAGTTGTTCGTGCTTAATTTGAAAGATCATGAGAATCCTAGCGTTGCCGAATTTGTTGCGACGCATGTCGATTTTATCAAACAAAACACACCTTCTGGCAAATTAGTTAACAAAGTTTGGCCAAATATCATTCGTAACGAGGCAGCGCGATTAAGGAAGATTTTAGTGAGTAGTTTTCGGAGACAGATGTACCGTATATGATCTTACAACATACTAAGTGATTTTGAATTTTACGGACCAAAAACAGAGTCAGTTGGAAGGTATTATGCGGTAAGCTTTTGCGTATGCTTGGTCTAGTTTTTTTTGCCTTTTTTTTCTCATGTTTGCTATTATAGGCGGTGCGGCAGGAACTACAACAGCAACAGCAGCAGCAGCGTCGCAATCACGTATACCAGAGTGGTACCGTGTTGGCTGGACAGCGTTTTCAACACAACCGAATCCTGGCGGACCTATCCAACTCGCAGCAGCAGAAAACAAAACAGACGAACCATTGGAGCGTATGGTCTCGTTCTTATTCTTTAGCAAATGGTGGGGCCAGGGTGGGGCCATATTCACGGTTGGCGTTGTATTCTGGTTGCTCGGCACCCTAGGTGGCGGATTCATCACATTTGCTATCGGATGTTTGTTTGTGGTGACTTACTCGCAGACAACACAACGTCGCTTCCGGCGGCAGGCACGCGATGATATTGATCGTGGATTGACTATGTTGCAGTTTCTCGAACAAGACAAGGAATCAGTAGAATGGCTCAACAGTTTTCTGCAAAAGTTTTGGGTCATCTTCGAACCCGTCATGAGCGCCTATGTGATTGATAACATCGATACATACCTCGTTGACTACCTCCCTGGGTTTCTCGACTCCGTGCGTCTGACGACTTTTACGCTGGGAACTAAACCATTTCGTGTCGAGAGCGTTCGCATGTTGCCGGAGCCAGGACCAGATACTGTGGTATGTTTCTGTTTCATCATTGTGTGTAAAATAATGATGACAGCACTAAAATCGGTGAGATATGATTAGACAATGGATTGGATTGTCAGCTTCAAGCCAAACGACATTTCCGATATGACCAGAAAACAGGTCGAGCACAAGGTGAATCCAAAGGTCATGCTCACTATCCGACTAGGAAAGGGTATGGTCGGTGCTGGTATCCCTGTGCTCGTTGAAGATATGAGCTTTCAAGGAGCCATGCGTATCAAGCTCAAGTTTATGAGTAATTTCCCACACGTCAAGATGGTTGAAGCTTGCTTTTTGAAAAAGCCGCATTTTGATTACGTGCTCAAGCCTATCGGTGGCGAGACGTTTGGTCTGGATGTAACCAATGTAAGTACCGGGTGAAAAATGAGATAGCGACTTGATTTCTCAATCGTTGATTGCTACTTTATGCTAGATACCCGGTCTGCAAAGTTTTGTTCGCGATCAAGTACACGCTATCCTTGGTCCGATGATGTATTACCCCAATGTCTTTTCCTTTGACGTGGAAAAGTTCTTTTCTGGCGAATTGGATATCAGTAAGTTGTACAATGTGTAACGAAAGCATAGTATTCTTACCCAGTTGCTTAATGCTTTTTTTTCTTTGCCTTTATGCAGCACAAGCCAACGGTGTTCTTGCTGTCACTGTTTATTCGACCACGACCATCAATTCACGGGATGTCTCTTGGACTGTCAACCCATATATCCGATTCTATCTGGATAAGGCACAGGAGCTGGGTCGCACTTCTGTACAAGAAAATACACTTGACCCTCGATGGAACGAAACTCACTTTTTGATGCTGAATAGCTTGACTTCCACTCTGTCACTTGAGCTGCGAAACCAATCAAGCGGCACCAAAGATCGACGTATTGCACGCGCGCATTTCGAGCTTAAAGAATTGGACGAGGACGATGATTATAGTCTTCAGGATATGTAAGTTTGATATAAAGTATTTGTGGTGTTGCCGTTGTTGCTGTTAGGAATACTGGTTGCAAACAGTTTCACTTCTTTTAGGGACCTTGACTTACGACACAATGGCAAGCCCATTGGACAAATCAAAGTGGATATGCGCTACATGCCTGTATCGAAACCTATACCCCGAGATGATGGCACTGTCGAACCAGCAGCAGAATCAAGTACGAGCTTCTCTCTCTCTTTTTTTTTGTTGCGATTAATAAATTACTAATTGTCACTGTACTATTTAGATTCTGGCATTCTACGATTCACTGTGCACGAGTGCAGAAAACTTGGATCCATGCGCTTAAACCCGTATGTCCGTGTTACTATCAATGGCGCAGAGCGAATCAATACACCCATTTTTAAGAGAAACCCTAATCCCAAGTTTGAACGCTCGGGTGAAGTGGTTGTGCTGGACCAGACCGCAGTGTTTATTCGCGTTGAAGTCAAGGACAGTATCAGTCTTGCTGAAGATCCGATCATTGGTGTGTGGCGAAGCTATCTCGTTGACATGATCCAAGATATGGACAATAATCCCGATGGCTGGTGGGATCTCGCACTTGATAATGGAAATAAAGCAATGGGCCGTATTCGTTTAGGATTCCAGTGGAAGCCTGTGGTGATGACTGGCCTGTCCGAAGCAATGGGTGGACGCGGTTTATACAGTAAGTCTTGAATATTTTTCTAAAAATGCCCCTTTGATTTTGCTTGCGTAAATGTATCTATTCATTAATGAGCCTTTTTCTTCTATTTACTTGCATATAGTGCCACCAATTGGTGTTGTACGATTAACATTCTGGCCCGCCCGGGATCTCAAAAACGTTGATGGTGTTGCTGGCAAGTCAGATCCGTATGTGCGTGTATTATCTGGATCGCAGATCCGTACACGTACGGAAGTCATTGATAACAACTTGGACCCCGAGTGGGGAGAGACGCAATATGTGCCGATCCATTCCAACAAGGAAGACCTCAAACTTGAAGTTATGGATTGGAATGCAAAGACAAAGGACAAGTCACTTGGTTTTACCACATTGCGTATGGTTGATCTTGTAAAGCAGTGCACAGGCAATCAGCCAAAGAATCCAGACAAGTGGTATGAATACGTTGGCAAGCCAATTGATCAGTAAGTATCTCGCAGGAAAAGAGTGTAATTAAACATACTATTGAAAATGTGATTATTGATGTACTATTAGATGGGTAGCACTCAAGTCATCGGACCGCAATACAGCAAAAGGCGAGCTTCAATACACGGCCGAGTTTCATCCTACGCTTGCATTGCCAAGAGTCGAGGAGCTTGACGATGAAGAGGAAGAATACAAAGAACTCGAGGGAGGGGAGCATGCTGAAGAGAACGGCAAAGTCGAAGCAAAGAGGCAAGCCGAGCTGCCAACAGCTGATCTCCATGGTGTGCCGATCCGCTACACTCCCGACGATATTGTCGACCTCTCTGTGTACAACTCCGGCGTACTGACAGTTAAAATCCACGAAGTCAAGATGCCTACCGTCAGCCATGCCTACTGCCAAATACTAATCGACGCGCTGATGCCTCAGTTCCAGACCCAGAAGCTCAAGGGACGAACCTTGACTTTTAACGAAACGGGCGACGCATTTGTGAAAGAAGCAGACTTTTCGCGAGTTGCTATCGAGATCAAGCCAGCTGATTCGGATGACAAGGACGATCTGAAACTGGGTTACTGGGTGGATCAAGTGACCAACATTGTGCGCCGCATCCAATCCAACAGACGCAGTGGCGACGAGGACGAGGAAGGAGAATGGTTCCAGCTGCTCGGGACAACGATCCCCGGTGGCTGGATTCGTCTCAGCTTTGACTACACGCCTCTTGTCAACTTTACCCTGAATCCAGACGAAAGCCTTGACAATCAAGGACAGTTGACGGTGACGTTGCTTGACGCAAAGGAGCTCATGGCAGCAGACAAATCCGGAACCAGCGACCCATATGTTGTATTCACTGTGAACGGCGAGCGCGTACACAAGAGTGCCACAATCAAAAAGACAATAAATCCTGCATGGAAGAATGAAACGTTCACGGTGCCGATCGTAAGTAACTGCTGGTAATGGTAGTGGTGGTGTTCTTTTAAAAAAAGATAGCACCACTCAAAATGTACGAACTGTGTAACAATAGCAATCACGGGTCACGGCCAGTTTTAGAATCGAGGTTTTTGACTGGAATCAGTTCCTCGGTGATACGCCGCTTGGCTCGGGCGGTATCTCCATCCGTGGCGACTTTGTCGAGAGCTTTGTTGCCAAGCAGGTCAGAATTCCCCTGGATGGCGTTGCCGGGGTGAGCGGCCATGTGCGCGTGCGGTTCTTATGGCAACCCCAGCTGCTTATCCGCAAGAAGACACATACTTCGATCCTTGGCACTACCACTGTGAATATGAACACGTCAACAAACAGCAGCAGCAGCAGCAGCAATATGCTCTCTCCTACATCTGCAGCAACCATGCGACCCTCTCCTACATCCGGTCTGAGACCGCCACAGGCAGCACCACCTTCGGTGTCCCGATCGGCCACATTGGCCCCCGCTCCTCCGCTACAACCAGCACCGGCTGCTGCACTGTCTCGCAACGGCACTCATGCAAGTTCCCATGTCCGATCCCCATCGCAAGCATCCTCCATAGTGTCCATGCAGGACCGAAGGAGCATTGACACCATGTCGATAAACGAAGACGCACTGGCAGCACAGCAAGGTGATGGCACTGCCACGGGAATGGACGGTACGGCGACAGTACAGCTGATCGAAGCACGCAACCTCCGAGGGGTCGATCGCTCGGGGACGAGTGATCCGTTTGTCCGACTGCGTGTGGGAAAGAAAGTACACAAAACGAAGCATATCAAGAAGACGCTTACGCCGCAATGGTAAACACTTTTCACTACTCACTCAACGTATTTACCCTCACGCACAAAAAAGAAACTTCTTTCATCTTACACAAGCCTTGCCATCCATTGTAGGAACGAATCTTTCGAAAGCAGCGTATCTGCGCAGCCAACGCCGCTAAATATCAAGGTTAAAGACTATAACCGATTCAGCACATCGGTTGAACTTGGACAGTGCCAGTGGAACCTGTGGGACCTGCTGCGACCACAAGATCAAGTGACGAGCGTCGACCGCTGGTTGCCCCTCTATCCCACAGGACACGGCGAAATCCACGTCAGGATTGATTTTTCGGGTCTGGTGAATAACTGCACCTTTTTCATTTGTGCTTGACCTCTCGGAGATGAAGGTGAGGCAAAACACCGCAAACGAAGCATTTTCATAGCAAGGTTTGATGACCCGACACAACGGCCGTCATCGACCCCCATTCACTTGCACAATTCACTACAATTCATGACCATTGGCTTTAGCACATGCACGAGCTACATTGCCCACAGTCAGGGCAAAGACTTCTACTAGAAGGCCTCTTTCAGTTGCATTCTTTGTTTTAGCCGTCGCACCGACGCATATGATACACCTTGTTTGCGCTCTCGCTCTCATACTTTTAATGTAACATATGAAATTGCTGCTGCTACTCCTTTCACCACCAACAATATCACAAGTACAGCTTCCACCTCTGATAATTACAACTCTGCTACTTCCAACAACATCGAAATCGACCGTCCTGCACTTACTTCTACTCCCAGCCATAATAATGCGGTTACCACCAGTTCTTCTCCAGCTCCTAATAACATCACTCCTCCTTCCATCAATTCTACCGCATCTTCTTCTTCATTAGGCAAACGATCTCGATCATCCGTAAGTTTGTAGAATAGGCCTAGTCTTCATCTTTTCAAAGTATCTAACTTTTCATCTTCTCTTCTTTCAGAGTGCCAAAACCGATTCTTATGTATTGACTCCAGATATGAAAGAAGAATACAAACGAGCATTTGAGGCGTTGGATGATGATAAAAAATGGGTTCTAGACGATGGCACTAAAGTGGAGGATGCAATGTATGCATATGGAGCAATTGTACTCATGAGCAGTAAGGATATAAGCATACCCTGATTCGTTCTATACTCTTGATATTGAGAGCTTCTTGCTAATTAAACTAAAATTATTTAGCCCCGTGCATTCATTTATTCTTGACACGGAAGACAAGTGTTGGAAATCAGTGTTCAATCCATCTCAGCTTCAACAATTAAAGTTAGCCAGCAATAAGCCGTCCTGTGAATACGATGAAGCGTGCAAAAACATGTTTTCCGTATTTTCAAAAGTTATCAAGGATGCCAAGAGTCGTAAGCTGGCTTCAATAGCATCATCGTCATCAACATCATCAGCAGCAACAACAACAGCAGCAGATCCAACAACAGCAACAAACCGTCGTCATGGCCAGCTACTACCAGTTACCCAAATGGACAGTCGACATATCCAACATTTCCGCTATTTCCGTACTGAAGCAGCAACACAAAAAAAGATCCCCCTTTTCTACGTCCACAAGCCCGAAATCAAAATGCTTCTGCGTGCGCACCTTCGATGGTCAGTGCTATGTCATGAAGGCCCAGAAACACAAAGATCTGGAACGCTGGCTCTTTGTTCTCACGAAAATGTGGAAATTTGCACAAACCATACGGAATCAAATTGCAAACCAGCAACAGCAGATAAAAATGCAAACAGTTTCCGTTCAGCAACAGCAACAGCAACAGCAACAGCAGCAGCAGCAGCAGCCTACCACCTCCTCGTATCGTCCCAGTAGTAAACAAATCTTTGACTATCCACCCGAGGCAATGCATCGACCCGTAGTAGACGCAAGCAGTTCTATGACGACGCGGAACCTTGTCTCTCCACCTCCTCCACAGCAGGCAACACCCAGGCCATCACCGTACGACAGCAGATACAAAGCGCCCATGCTGTCCGTGGAAAAGGTGCAATGGATTGACCAATGGCGGGAGTCCCTCGCTGAGCTAGCAGCATACGATACATCACCGCCGCCGATCGAACCCATTCCTGACGACGAAAACATGAGCTCAATCAGCGGACTCACAAGCATAAGCTTGCGTGAGAAATCCACCGCCGCACGAAAAGCGGCCATTCCACGACGCAAGTCATCCAAACGATCGATACGATCGGTTGCTAGTGCAACCAAACGTGGCAACGATGCAGCCACGACAAAATCCAATAGCATTGCACCAGCCGATGCATCGTCAGCCGCCATCCTGCCGCAGGAGCTACCCTTGGCAGACCGACCAAGCACCTCCCTGAAGAAGAAGCGGTCAGATGAAGTCAAAAACTGGATTTCCAATAATAACAACACCGTTACCGCAGCAGCAAACACTGGAGGAGCGCAAGGTAGCAAAGAAAGAAAAAACGCAGAAAAGTCTCATTTTGATTTGTCCCTTGCTGACAAAAGTGTAGCACCTGACATTGACTTTTTTCAAAACGCTAGAACTGTTTTGGATGGGGACGGTGACCAAGCCGTAGTCGACAGATCTGTCAGGTATCACTCGTCGATTCGTGGACGAAACATCCGAGTGGTCGAAGAAGAGAACCAACCAGCAGCAACAGCAGCAGCAGCAACATCGACATCAATGCAGACACCAAGGAAATCAATAAGCCATCGTGCCTCTACTATCGCCGACGACCAAATACACGGAATCTCACCGCTCCAGACACTTGCCAAAGCCGAGAGTGCGCATGCTCTACAGCAGCATATTGACCATTCAAAGCGTAGTAGCAGCCCGGCTCTTTTCTGGCATGTTACAAAATTTGATGATGACGAAGACGAAAACATGAGCTTAGCGGATCTGCAACGGTCGCTGCGTAGGATCAGCATGAATGAGCAGCAGTGTCACCCACAGCAGCAACAACAACAACAACAACAACAACACCACCCTTCCCCACAAAGCCGCGCACGGTCACCATCAGCGTCATCCATACTCGATCGGAGAATACCGCCGCTGGATCATCATCACAACAACCATCACCACCACCACCACCACCACCAGCAGCACCATCACAACCACCTCCATCATCACCTTCATCACCCTCATCAGCAGCAGCAGCACCCATCTTGCCCTCCGCCACACCATAACTATCCGTCCGCGTACATCCCTCCATCTTCCAGTGCTGCCGTTGCTACTGGTGCGGCACCGCCTCCGATTGTCTCCCCCGCTGTTCCTCCTATGCCTGTCGCTGTCGGAGGCGGGCACCCTCTTTTATCCATCCTACTGCTCCACCATCTCGTGTCTACTATGCACAACCCGTCATGTCTTCGTCGGAGTTGACGACCAAATCCATGCATCGTTATCCCGATCCACAATCTGAGCGACATAGCATGGAATACGTCAAAAAGAGGCCTCGTTCATGGATGATTCCATCGTCTACATCATCCTCTTCTATCGTGGACAAGCAGAAAAACTATACGATGACCATGAAGAACGTGAATGGCTCAACCACCGCTATAGAGCACCCTACACGGAGATCTATAGATGTAATGGATACCCAAAGGAGCGGGAGTGGTAGATGGAGCCGAATCACCCCTTCTTTTAGTTTTAATACATTCCTTTTATACAATCATATCCTTTTTTACTACCTTCATCTTATACTGCTTACTAGTGTTACTCTCAAACCCTACATAGAATCCTTCTCTTGGTACTACTGTCTTATAAAATTTACTACATGTTTTATGAACCACCAACCACCGAACATTACCCTATTGTATAAATTTTGGATAATACTACATCCGCCTTTCTTCGTTGATCAGAAGCTCAAGCTGCATGCATATGCAGTGATGATCTGTGGAACACAAGTAGCTATCGCTAGCTCGTTTCTGAACAAACAATGGTGAGATGCTCACTGTGTAGCAGGAATCTCTCTGATACGGTAGTGTTTGTACGCCGGCACTTTTCATGCCACTGCGGTATTACAGAAAAGAGAGGGCACTATGACTTAGAGATGCAAGTTCATGATAACATTTCAATACCACGCAGACGGCAATCTTTAATGTCGGTTGCAAAAAGAATTAATAAGATCAGATGACAATCTTATACTAACGATTTTGAGCTTTTGTAAATGCATATTAATATACTCCACTGGCTGACACTGTTCCAGAAGTTGCAATGGTGCGTCCGTCGGTTGCTGTTGACTATTACCCATCCATTCTCTCCGATGAACCAGGCGTTACAAGTGGTCAGACTACTACGACTTGTAGCTATTTCTTCCCGTTGTGCTTTATTCAGATATCAGACCAGAAATCACTTTTGTCTATAAAAAGATACTACGTACACTTTGAGCACTCAAGTGTAGAAGAGTGTCTTTAACGTGTTTGAAATACCCGGTGTTTAGTATCAGCTGGTTACAAATGGAGTCTTGCTGTACGACAACCACGTCCGTAAAAGCTGGAATTTACGAGATGCTTTCCCCATTAGCTGACCGTTTAATGGTTTGAGGACATGAGTAACAGTGTAAATGAGACTAATTGTTGTCATATATATGTACCATCACGCACTTTGTTAGTATGTAATGGACTTTTAAGCAACAGTTATCGACATAATAATTTGTCCTAAAACAGAAAGGGACGATATCAGCGAGAAGGTCACTCGACATGCAAAATCACCAATCCAAGCATGATAGTTAAACCGCAAACTATCGGTTGTCATAGAGTACCAGAAAGGAAAGTAGCAGACGTCATTCTTAAGCATAGGCAGGAACTATGTGGGTCTCGATAATGATCCGTTTTCATCTCACTATAAAGATCCCTAGGGGCAAGCCTACTTTGTTTTTAAAATTTTGCCCTGTCTTTTTTTTAGAAGCAACTGATTCGAATAAGTGTTCAATACCAATGGATCCTCAACAGATACCGTTTCGAGAAAAAAAATGAGCTAAAGAGTCTTTTTCCAGTCGAAAGCAATAGCTGCTGTGAACATTGCCCGAGATTTGTGAAGAACGATCTATGAGTTGTCTGTCATTGAGAAGCACTTAATAATCTCACTTCGTGTTAAAGCCATCACAAGACAATGTTCCTACATGCCGTTGTGGCGCGACCGATCACCAACGTGTTAGTTTCCATGGATGTCCGTTGAATGAACGCAATGTTCGTCGTAGAATTGAATCTGAATCTGTACGTTATGAAATCATGAAAGTCGTTGAAAGTATGAGAGCAATTATTTACTTCGTCTTATAAACAGGGTGTCCCTAATATCATTATCCAGAACACGCCCACTCCAGGCCAGGCTGCAGCGACTGAGAGAAATGAATCCTTCCAAATTATTATAGAAAACCCAGTAGTGGTTGATAATGAGGCCGATACCTTGCTCACTAGACAAGGTATGCAGTTCTTTACGATTCTTTTTTGCAAAGAAAAAATTCGGATCATGAATCTGATGAGAATACAATTAAGTAGCTGAAGGCAATGATGATGTCGAAACTGCCGCTGCACTCACTGCTACAGTTCCTGATGATACCTTGCGACTTTGTTCGACCTGTGGAGCACCGGGTCATCTGCGTTCAACTCATCGCGACTGTCCTTTCAACCGTAACAACTTTGCATCCGAACACGGTGCTCAGTATCAGGTAGCCTGCATTGTTCCCTTTGTTCCAGAAAATATTTTTGGTTCAAACATCAGCTATGCTCCTGGAGACTCTTTCCGTCGTCATATTCTACCACGCATGGATACCACATGCTCCTTTTGCCATGCTCGAATGTGGATCGATGAACGAGTGAAGTTATTCTCGGTGTCCAATCCTCGCTTTGGCCTATGCTGCTCCCATGGACGGATCCGCCTTCCCACTCCACGTGCTCCTCCTGCTCCGCTTCTTGCGCTCTTGACCAACCACGATCCATCAGATGATGTGAGTGTGGACTTCCATACAAATATCAGAGCGTACAACAATATGTTTGCGTTTGCGTCTATTCGTGCAAACTTTGATCCTGTTTTGGCAAATAACACCAATGGCGTCCCAACATTTCGCATCAACGGCACGATGTACCATTGTCTGGGATCGTTACGAGCAGGAGAACAAGCTCAAGCCAACTTTTCCCAAATTTACTTTGCGGATACACAGGAGCAACTGGCAAGAAGAGAATCTCTCTTCACTGGCTTGAACCAAGAGACAGTTCAGATGCTCCAGACTGTTATAGAGGAGAATAATCCTTTCGCCTGTACTTTGATGTCTGCTGCTGAGCAACATAGAGATCGGCCAATTGGTACTGTTAGTGTCGTTATACGTGGTGCACGCGAGTTGGGACGACGTTACGATCAGCAAACGTATCCAGATTGCAGCAATGGTTGTAGGAACCATGGTTGACGGTGTAGCAGCACCACACGATATAGTCATCCATGATCGTACTGAGGGTCTTCGCCAAATCAGTTCCCTCCATCCATCCTACATGCCCCTCCACTACGTCCTTATGTTTCCTTTCGGTGACGACGGATGGTATCTTGGCTTAAGATCCATGGCGACAGATAATGGCACAGCTTCTGTTACTTTGCTGGATTTCTGTGCATATATGCTGATGATACGTGATGGCGAAGAACAGACATTCCACCACCACTTTGGTCGCTTACTCCAACAATTTGTCGTCGATAATTATGCACGCATTGAAAGTTCTCGGTTGCTTTTCATCACGACTCACCAGGATGACTTGCGTTCTGAGCTGTACAGCGGTCTGGACGACGGTGTCGATCCACGTCAGGTTGGCCGTTCAATCATATTACCATCCTCTTTCACTGGCGGCCCACGTTATATGAAACAAATGCTGCAAGACGGATTAGCAATTATTCGACAACGAGGAAATCCGACGTTATTCATTACCTTTACATGCAACCCTAATTGGCCTGAATTTACAGCTAAACTTTCTCCTGGACAAAAAGCATACGATCGTCCTGACATTTGCTCCCGTGTTTTCCACATGAAACTTGACGAGTTGCTGCAGCACATCAAAAGCTCATCTTGCTTTGGAAGAGTAGAGGGCTACATGGCTACCGTCGAATTTCAGAAACGAGGACTTCCCCATGTACACATTTTGGTCATTTTGAACGAGCAAGACCACCCACGAAATACAACGGAGTATGACAGATTTGTTTCTGCTGAGTTGCCGGATCCCGTGACCCAGCCTCCACTCTATTGTACTGTAACTTCGTGCATGATACACGGTCCGTGTGGAGAGGAGAACAGAGGTGCAGTATGTATGAAGGATGGTCGTTGCTCCCAAGGGTATCCCAAGCCGTGGAATGAAGAGACTCGCATGAATCGTGATGGGTATCCATTGTATCGGAGAAGAAGAAACAATCGTCACCATATCTTTGCCCGCAGTCGATTTCGTGCTGATAACCGCCATGTTGTGCCATATAATCCATACCTCAGCCACAAGTACGACGCTCATATTAACGTGGAAATATGTACCTCTGCTCGCGCCATCAAGTATCTATGCAAGTACATCACGAAAGGATCGGATAGAGCACAGTTAGAGACTGTCCGTACATCAGCTGCTGCAGCTGATGGAACTGAGGTCATTGATGAGGTTGTGCAATACCAAAATGCACGTTATATTGGACCATGCGAGGCAGTTTGGAGAACCTTCGAGTACAGAGTGCATATGCACCATCCCACTGTTTCTCGATTGGATTTGCATTTGCCGGATGAGCAGTTAGTGACATTTCGAGGCGATATGACACCACAGGAGCTCGAGGCTGCATGCAACGCCGCTGCATCGGGGACAAAACTTCTTGCCTTCTTCCGTCTCAACGACCCACGTTTCCTAGAAGATTATGATCCCACTGCAAGTCAATACTTATACACACAGATACCTTGCCACTATACGTGGGACACCCGCCGCCATCGATGGAGACCTCGCACCAACCCTCCTGTGCAAAACGTCGTATCTCGCATATTTGCTGCTCCTTTGACAAATATGCCTCTTTACGCTCTTCGTCTCCTCCTTCTCTGTGTCCCTGGACCAAGCAGCTTTGAGCAGCTGCGGACATATAATGGCACTGTACATGCTACTTTCCAAGAAGCTGCTCTCGCTCGCGGTCTTCTAGAATCCGATCGGGAATGGGATAGCTGTCTAGCAGAAGCATCTGCTACAGCTCCATCAGCAGCTGCGATCCGTTCACTCTTCGTATACATCCTTACAAGTTTTTCTCCTGCCGATCCACTTTCCTTATGGAATACTCACCGCGAGAGAATGGCTGACGATTACTTTTTCCGAGTTTCGCAGAACGCATTCTTTAGCTAACGAGGACGAACTTCTGCCCGATCAGTATGAACAGATATATCAGCGCACCCTTGGCGATATTGAACTACGACTGCAAGTAACAGGCCACCATCTCGCGGAATTTCCTTCTATGCCACAAACCTTTGTCACCGAGTTGGATCGTCTGCCACCCTTAGAAGCGCTGGAAATAGTCGAACTCCGTGAGTACAGCACAGAAGAGCAGCGTCGATTGCTACAATCTTTGGTCCCTACTTTGAACGAAGGTCAACGCCACGCCTTCGATACCATCTCTGCTGCCATAGACACGCCTAACAACGACTACCGATCACGAGTTTTCTTTGTAATCGGCCCTGGAGGTACTGGCAAGTCGCAGCTTTTCAAGACCCTTTTGAGTCACGTGCGCTCTCAAGACCAGATTGCATTACCAGTCGCCTCATCTGGCATTGCTGCAATTTTGCTTCCGGGAGGCCGAACTGCTCACAGTCGCTTCAAAATTCCTTTGAATGCTGATGAAACAACCAGCTGCAATTTGCGTTTGGTGGACCGCACGCCCATCTCATCGAGAGAGCTTCTCTCATTATTTGGGATGAGGCTGTTATGTGCAGCAAACGTAATTTCGAGGCAGTCGATAGATCCCTCAAAGATATCATGGGTGCCGTCGATCCACGTTTACAGCATGTCCCTTTCGGTGGAAAAGTTGTCGTTCTTGGTGGTGACTTTCGTCAAGTGCTTCCTGTCGTGAAAAAAGGAACCCGATCAGAAATTGTTGCAGAATGCGTGAGCTCAGCTTCTTTTTGGTCTGATGTCGAAGTGTTGCATTTGACAGAAAACATGCGCGTGCGAAATTACGATTCAGGTGCTGCAACGTTTGCCGATACCCTTCTGGCAATTGGCGATGGACGATCGCCTTATGCCAGCAATTTTGAAATTCCGAGGGAATGGTGCATTGACACAAGCAATACCATGGCATTGATTGATACTATTTACCCTACTATCCGAAATCCCGATCCACAACCGCACGAATTCGCCAGCCAGCCATTTTGGCTGCAAAAAACGTAAATGTCGATGCCATCAATGACGCTGCCTTCTCTGTTTTTCCTGGTGACGCCCGTGAATACAGCTCCAATGATCGAATCATTGACGCTGATGATCCAGAAGCAGCAGCAGCAAATTATCCCATCGAATTTTTACAAAGTTTGGCAGCCAGTGGAGTTCCTCCTCACCTGCTGCAACTCAAGATTGGCATGCCAGTGGTGTTGTTCGCAATCTCAATCCAGATGCAGGATATGCAACGGTACCAAGCTGTTCGTAACGCGACTTTTGGATTGGTGTATTGCAGTAAAAAGGATCGACGAAGGCCATGAAGGGGAGGAGCATTATCTCCTGCGGATCAATATGTGCACAACTGAGGGTGACTTCCCATTCATACTCTGTTGAAGACAATTTCCCGTTCGTCCAGCTTTTGCCATGACTATCCATAAGGCGCAGGGGCAAGCACTCACTCATGTAGGTGTCTTTCTTCAAGAAAGTGTCTTTGCTCATGGTCAGTTGTATGTTGCTCTTTCGCACGCAACCAACCCAAATACTCTATACATTGCAGTCGATATGTCAGCATCAGCAAACAGTACTAATCTATCTATAGAAAATATCGTTTACACTGAAGTACTACTACATCCACCAAGTCCACAAACAACAACAACAGAACCCATCCAATCAGCCACAGCTGCTGCCACAACCATCACATCACCAACTACTACTACTACTACTACTACTACTCCTGCTTAAATTCGTTTTTCCTTTCCAATATTTTTACCTTTTTCTCTATCTCTTTGCCATAGATTTCCTTTTTACATAACATACAACACAAAATTTCTTTTCACGTTTCTTACTCTGCCATGATGCCATAAGAGATAAGTATTCACGTGACGCAACCTTTTTTTTACTTTTTCTGAGTCACTAACGAGTAACTCGCTCACGCACCTTAATGCCTTTACCGAAACACACCATCTCTCATCTTTACCTCCAGACACCTCAAAAATGCATGCCTATTTCTCCATATTGGCGACGCCCCATGCTGGATCGGATTCCCACAATATGGCATAAAATTGACCTGTGCATGCCATATCATCTAATATGTTACATTCTGTTCCAGCACGAAGTTAAAATGTTACGAATAAGAAGCGATGGTGGACGTTTAAAGGTACATGAAGAATAGGAAAAAATGTTGACCGTTGGGTGGATAGTTCCTGGACTGCAGATGTCCCGTTTTTCTCAAAAAATACTCTTTAAAATGATAGATTGTATAATAGGGTTTAGTGTTAACAATGAGCGCAGCGAACGAGTTTCGGGTTAGAGGTAGGCGAAGCAGTAAGTAGGCTCGCGAAGCGAGCTTTGGTTAGGGTTTAGACGGGGGTGTGGGGGGAACCCCCAGGAAACATCCAATCCGTTGAATGACCCGGAGCGCGAAGGGGCTCCTTCAGCCGAGCGAAGCGAGGCAGGTGGAAGTTTATCTTTCTAAATAAAAGAAGAAATTTGTATGATTTAGTGACGTATAAATTTATATATACGAATAAAAAACCACACTTGAGCCCATTTTTATATATTAAACATTTTTTTCTTACCATAGACACCAACCATGTGTTTAACAAACTCCTCCTCTATCCTTCTTGGTCAAAATGCTCATTTGGAGTGGTTACAAATTCCAAAACGCCAATATTTCTCCAAGATATAGACATGTAACAAATAAAAATAAATTACTGGTTAATAAAAATATGAAATAAAACAACGAAATCTGTGTAATAAAAACGGGCATAGAAGAAAGCGAATTTATGGAGAGGAAAGCAGCGGTAGATTAAACTACAATGAGTTCGTCACACAACAACGCTGGGCGCAGCCATGGAGAGGAAAACAGCGGTAGATTAAAATACAATGGGTTCGTCACATAACAACGCTGGGCGCAGGCATGGAGAGGAAAGCAGCGGTAGATTAAACTACAATGGGTTCGTCACAGCCTACTCGGATTACAAGAGCGGGAAACAAAGCAGAACAATCCACAATGAGCCCATCAAGAAACCCTTTAAAAATGATTGTAAACAATAGATAAGGAGGAAAACCTGCTCGATATCTGAATAAACGCAGGTCTTAAGTTACTAGCTTGTTTCCAGGTAACATCATACGATTTCGCCCCACCCATCCTCGTTGTTTAGTGTAAAATTTCAGAGAGGAGTATACTTACACTTTCCTTTTTTCAAGTTTATGGAACACCACCAATGCAGAAGATCGTTTATACTTTATATTAGTAAATAAAAGGTGTTGAAAAAATAAAACATTGCAGCTTAGTAATACTCTTTTACCTTTTTGATTGTGCTGTGGGCAAAAAGAGCAAGATAGGTTTTCTGTTTTCTTGGGGAAGACAAGAGCTGTCTGAGTGTGTAAAAAAGAGTTTGGGTTGCTTAGTTACTAATTAAATCCTGTGAGTTGCTGCCCAAATTGTCTCTATTGATACTTTGATCGTCTCCATGACAACAACTACAGAAGTTAAAAGAGGTGAGAAAAAGAGAAATATTCATCACACAACGCATAAAAAACTAAACTACTTTTCTCTTTCCTTTTATTTTTATTAGTTGTTCGTGCTTATTTGAACGATCATGAGAATCCTAGCGTTGCCGAATTTGTTGCGACGCATGTCGATTTTATCAAACAAAACACACCTTCTGGCAAATTAGCTAACAAAGTTTGGCCAAATATCATTCGTGACGAGGCAGCGCGATTAAGGAAGATTTTAGTGAGTAGTTTTCGGAGACAGATGTACCGTATATGATCTTACAACATACTAAGTGATTTTGAATTTTTTAGACCAAAAACAGAGTCAGTTGGAAAGTATTATGCGGTAAGCTTTTGCGTATGCTTGGTCTAGTTTTTTTTGCCTTTTTTTTTCTCATGTTTGCTATTATACTAATACTTATAATGTAACATATGAAATTGCTGCTGCTACTCCTTTCACCACCAACAATATCACAAGTACAGCTTCCACCTCTGATAACCACAACTCTGCTACTTCCAACAACATCGAAATCGACCGTCCTGCTCTTACTTCTACTCCCAGCCATAATAATGCGGTTACCACCAGTTCTTCTCCAGCTCCTAATAGCATCACTCCTCCTTCCATCAATTCTGCCGCATCTTCTTCTTCATTAGGCAAACGATCTCGATCATCCGTAAGTTTGTAGAATAGGCATAGTCTTTATCTTTTCAAAGTATTCAACTTTTCATCTTCTCTTCTTTCAGAGTGCCAAAACCGATTCTTATGAATTGACTCCAGATATGAAAGAAGAATACAAACGAGCATTTGAGGCGTTGGATGATAATAAAAAATGGGTTCTAGACGATGGCACTAAAGTGGAGGATGCAATGTATGCATATGGAGCAAATTGTACTCATGAGCAGTAAGGAGATAAGCATACCCTTTGATTCGTTCTATACTCTTGATATTGAGAGCTTCTTGCTAATTAAACTAAATTATTTAGCCCCGTGCATTCATTTATTCTTGACACGGAAGACAAGTGTTGGAAATCAGTGTTCAATCCATCTCAGCTTCAACAATTAAAGTTAGCCAGCAATAAGCCGTTCTGTGAATACGATGAAGCGTGCAAAAACATGTTTTCCGTATTTTCGGAAGTTATCAAGGATGCCAAGAGTCGTAAGCTGGCTTCAATAGCATCATCGTCATCAACATCATCAGCAGCAGCAACAACAGCAGCAACAGATCTGACTATCAAAGATGAAGAAGATCTGATTGATGAGCTGTGGGAGAGACTCGCCGAAATCGGTCCCATCAATCCTCGAAAACATTACGATCTATATTGGCTACAAAAAACGATGGACCATTTTCTTAACTTATACCGGTTCAAAGTATTAGAGTGGGTCAAAAATCATGGCTCGGAAATGGACTTTATCAATCGTGTATGGACCATACTAGATCAGGTTTTCGACGATATAAGGGTTGAAACAAGAAGGTAAATTCATTAAATCAGTCGTATCCCCTCAACTAGCACATGTTTTTTATTTACAATGTCAATTAATTAATTTGTAGGGACAATGGATCAGTATCAGCCACCTTCATTGATAACGAAGATCGCGCAGTAACTGGAATGGCCGCCATTGCAGCCAAGGTGTCTTCTATCAGACCTGATCTTGTGTTATTTCAAAATGGAGTCGAGTATGGAGTCGCAGAGTGTGGGAAAGGAGACGATGAAGAGGTTGGGAAGAAAGAGATCGTGGAGACTAGTCTGCATTGTCCAAAAATCATGAAAAGCATGTTTCTGCATGCAGCGTCAAAATGTGACAACGACGAGGGTGTGACTCGAGCATTACAAATAGTTGGATTTTGTCATTTTGGTAAGTTATCAGGTTATTTAGATATATTATTTACCTTTTGCTGACAATGTTTTTTTATATCTTTTGTATTTGGGAATAGATCTTCGCATGAAAGTTTTAGTAATGGACAACGCTAATGGCTACGTCTGCAGAATCCGATCAACACCACAATACGAAATATCAACCATTCCTTCACAAATGTCATCTGGTCTACTTCCTATATTAAAACTAACTCTTAGATCCAAGGTAAATATACATTCTTTGATTATATATGTATAACATAAACTTGATGCTCATCGCACTGTTCTGTTTGATTATAATAGTTGACCATCCAATCGTCTATCAAGGTTGTCAATGATTATTCTACACGTGAAGAAGATAATGAACCCGATTTTCAAGCCAGTATGGATCAAAACAAGACACGTTTAGTACTCCCGCGACTTCAGAAATCACCCATTAAAAAACCAAAGAAATCAGTCTAAAAAGCATACAAGTAATCATCCAACGAATCTTCTAGCACATATGTACCAAGTACCATCATCACCAACATAACAACAGCCACTACCTTTTTACTTATAGCATACCCTCCGTTTATATTTTATTTTTACCCATATCAAATGTTTTTACCTATATCAAATAGTTTCAATCATATAAACACTTCTCTTGTATACATCACACTACTACATTGCATTTGTTTATTATTTTTATGCCCTTTGCGTGAAAAAAAAGATTGGCTAGTTCCCTGATGTGTTAAGGGTGACCCAATTTTGATCCAATTTCATATGATCGCTCATTTTCACCTCCTGTGGCCAAATTCAACTTCCAACGCTGTAAAAGTAAAAAAAGGGACAGCTCCTACCGCCAATCAAAAAGACCCGCCAAACGCCAAAATGAAAAATATGCCCGGCAATCATTAGGAAAAATCCTGTAGTGAGCAACCATGTCGATGAGGACTCAATGACAAGTTGGAAAGTTTCAATGTCTCTTGCCTATCATTGTTTTTTTGAAAAAAGAAACGGATTCATTTTCGAGCTCTTTTATATCTGTTGTCTACAGCATTCTTCGCCTCACCCCAATTCGTATCACAGATGCACATGACTTGGTGCTGTTTTCTTGCGTAACAAATTTCGTTCTTTAGAATGGTTGTGCGCCACTATTCTGTTATCTCCCGGTCTGCTTCTCCATCGATCATGCTCACTGACGCATTATACAGAGATGTACAGCACATCAATGAATGTTGTATTCGCCAAAGTTTATTTGTAGACTGTGTCATAAGGGATGCATCATCGCTACTATTGCTGGTGTTTGACACGACAATGATGATGTAATATAAATGGCACAACAAACAAATAGGCAGTAATCAAAGCTTCCCAATGTTTGTCATTTTAACTTTTTTGCTGGCACCGAAAAAAAATATCCCGACAGCCCCGCGCAAACCTCTCAATTTCACCTTTTTACCCACACACGCACATCAGACGGTACGCTCAGCTTGCACACAACACACACACACACACACACACACACCACCCGTGGCTTGTTCTTTGTGCTCTTTTCCTTTCTCTACTCTTTATTTTCGAATGGACATTGGCGAGGATCAATATGAATCCCTTGGGTCCAATGCGAGCATGGCACAAAACGCCATTGCCGGCGCGTTTGCCGGTATCGGCGAACATTGTTTAATGTATCCCATTGACGCATACAAGGTATAAAAAAAAGAAAGTTTTTCCAAGATTTGTAAGCAAGCACAATGCCCATACTTTGATTTCCAATATAGACACGCGTCCAAGTACTACACAAAGCAACAGCAGTGACACTACGAAATACGTGGCGAGGCGTTTATTCTGTTGTTATGGGAGCAGGACCAGCCCATGCTTTACATTTCGCGACGTTCGAATACTGTCGAGCACGATTTGCCACTTCGACGCACGATCTCGTTGCTTCGGGTGCGGCCGGAGCATGTGCAACGTTTGCACACGATGCATTAATGACGCCGTTCGATGGTAATGCCTTTTAGATATAACAACATTGACAACCCTAAATTATTTTTGACAACCTCGTATTTTCTAATTTTCCCACCCAGTGGTCAAACAACGAATGCAATTGGCGTCGTACCGAAGTGTCCGTGAATGCGCGCGCAAAATCTATGCGGCCGAAGGCTGGGCAGCCTTTTACATTTCACTTCCGACCACCTTATCCATGTCTGTCCCCTTTCAATCCCTCCAGTTTGCCATGTACGACTACGCAAGTAGTCTGCTCAATCCTAGCAACACCTATGATCCCAAATCTCACATGATGGCTGGCGCGCTCGCTGGCGCTGTCGCGTCCTCCATCACGACCCCACTCGATGTTATAAAAACGCTACTGCAGACGCGCGGTAATGCAACAGATCCACGGATACGGCATTGCTCTGGCTTTTGGGAAGGAGCTAAGCTCATTGCTGAACGTCATGGTGCAACCGGTTTCTTTCGTGGATTCAAGCCGCGTGTGTTGACTCACATGCCGAGTACAGCAATCAGCTGGAGTGTGTACGAATATTTCAAATGGTTTCTCTCGACGTATCAACCAGCAGCAACCGCAACGACAGCAACAACCACAGCGGTTTCTTCATCAACATAATTAATAGCCACCGTCACCGTCACCGTCATCTCTCTACCACTCTCACGTACTTCACCAGGCTCTCTATTCTTTTGTCCGGACACACGCTCAACACACGCTACATATTATATACAGTTACTACACGCACAACGATAGCACCCGCAATTCACATAAATATAGACGTCTTTTTCTATTCCATGCAATGATCCTCTATAGCACCTCAATATCTATGTATGCCTCCCTCTCTTCGTCTTACTTTTTATTCCTACTCTTCCTCACTTGTACACTACTATTCACGCACATATCTTGCACCACAGAAAAAAAGATAAACCATAGCAAACTAACGTATTCATGCAAAAAGCGTTTGTTGATCAAAAATAAATTCAGATCTGGCGGTTGCCATGGAGATTATGATGCTATCAGAATCGTGCCAAGAGACAGCATATCAATCATTTTTTACGGTAAGTATATATCCAATGTTTCCTACAAAGTTGTCGCTCCTTTCTCTTTTGGGAACAGGGTCTATACCAAAAAAGTAAAATCCCTCAACACACACAGAGCGGCGTCGTCCTGGGGGTCACACACTCTCTCTTTGCACATAAAGACAAGCCAAGTAATGAGCATCCATGGCAAGCTCGATGTGATTCAATCCTTGGACTCTCTACTCTATTGTCATTTTGTATATACCTATTTCCTCGATGCCAGTCTCCTTGTCCTGATTTTCCGCATATTCCTCCAACTGGTAAAGGATGAAAACTGCTCGTGTTCGCTAGTTGGTGGTGGCGACAGCTGCGACGCCAACAATGCCTTTTGTAAACCACAAGATGAAACTAAGCATCTTTGATTCCAACATTTAGCCTTTATTATCACCACGAGCACATTCACGGACATTACGTACGGCAACAGGTGTAGCAACAGCTGAACTGGGCATTTGCATTCTTATTCATGCAACAACGGAGCCAGGCCAGCCCGGTATTCTTATCGACTTTGTCGGCAATCGTAAGCTAAAATTATCTGTTGACAGCAGATATAATATTTATACTATCGACAGAACAAAAAAAAAGCTTGAAGTTGACCGCATCTGTTATGTGTGGGTGTATAGAATACCATTCAAGTTCTTTACGAGTGATTATGCTGGATATGATCATTTACATATTACAAGTAATACGTATCTTTATAACATCCAGTCTATCATCCCAACTACCCGAGAACGGCACTGTCACCACCTTACCCGTCCCAGCACCCCTGGTGTCTGCACTCGGTGCTGAAAGCCTGACACTCATGTTACCATCTACCATACCTAACGACGACGAAGAGGATCCATTTTACCGAAACGATCTTGTTGTGGATGTTGGATTACGGACGTCTCTCGACAGCGTATTACGATCGTCACCACGAGAAGATGCAGTAGACCGATTACCAGTATAGCAACAACAACAACAACACAAAAAATACGCATATAAACACATACATATACGAATACACACACACACACACACACACACACACACACATATATATATATATATATATACAAGCTCACGCGACAACCATTAAAAACGTACGACATCTCTTTCCGCTTTCCTCCTTTCTATTACATATATGCACGCACATACACACACGCACACACTGTTATTTTTAATTTTTGAAAAGGATGGGGAGGCAAAAAACCAGTATGAAAAGAGGTGACATGGGTTTCAATGAAAAGAAGCTAATGCCTCCCCTTGATTTTATATAATTATTAATCTAATTACATCTTATTTGGTTGGCGTTGGAGTTGTTTTTATACCTGGTGCCCTATTAATTTCACCGTGGTACTGCCGGGGGGAAACATAAGCGGATTGACTCTGGGCATATACACTGCGTGCGTATACAATGCAACCCGATGACATTACGTACATCCAGTGTATTGTATATATACATCGTTCTGCCTGAAGGCGTACGTCAAAGAGCAAAGATTGTATGTACCACGTTCAGCCACTGACACTCAAGTAGTGCACAAACACATGTACTGTATTTGCCTTATTTAAATTGCATATGTACATTTATTCATTATTAATTTTGTAAACGAGAGAGAACTATAAGTGGTAAGGAGAGTGTATGATATGGAGCGGCAATTATATACATGAATGGAGCTGTGAACGAAAGAGCAAAGAAGGGAATACTGCAAGTGATGTAAAAGACAGGCGTTAGATAAGAGTGAGTGTGCGTGTGGATATGTGTGATAAGCGGATATATGGAAATTAAATTAATCGAAAATCAACGAGGCAACCGATGCAACGACTTTTTCAGGGAACTGCCGACGAACCATGCGATCCAGGATAGACTTGGCCTTGCCAACCATGCTGTTGTCGACATAGGCACGGACCATGGCTTCATAGGTACTAGGTTCACGGACCACCACGCCTGCGGGGCTGGCCTTGTCGTCAGACATGCGTTCAAATAGCGCCTCAGCCTTGTTCACCATGCCCTTTTGTCCATAGCCACGCAACAGCAAGTTCTCAATGTAAGGGGAGCTACTCTTGCTGATTTGACGACACATTTGCTCATAGACCGTTTCGGCGCGGTCGAGCTGGTTGTTGCGAATCAAGGTATCCAACATGGCCTGGTAGACAACTTCTTCATCACCTGTGATATTAGCGCGGCGATGATGAGCTTGTTTCTTGACGACCATGGCGGCGACTTGATCAAACACCTTTTGGGCAGCCTCAACGTTGTTCTGGATAGTACCATAGGCATAGATCAAAGTGGCATAGTGTGTCGGCTGTGGGCGCATGTTGTCCTTTTCTTGCATATCCTTGAGCAGCCGGTGGGCCGTTTCCATGTCATAGGGTGCCATCATGCAGTAAGCTTCCATCAACAACTTGTAGGTATGGGCCGAAGGAGAGATCTGGCGACGACGCATCTCTTCGAAATAGGCGAGGGCGCGCTCGCGGTTGGGCTGCTGACGGACATAGAACTGGATCATGTTGTTGAATGGACCGATGCGGGGCTCCTGGCGCTGCAACTTGAGCATTTCGTCAAACAGGCGGACGGCATGGGCTTCAGAACCAGCGCGGACACAAGCAGAAATCACGGCACCATAAGTGATAGCATTGGGCGTCAACTTGAACAAGCGCTGCATTTCATCGAACAGACGAAGGGCGGGCTCCAACTTGCGTGCCTTGGCGAGCTTGGAAATGACCACGTTGTAAAAGAACGTAGTGGGCTTGACATGGTGGCGCTTGGCTTCGTCGTAGATGATCAATGCATCTGTGGCCTCGTCGGTAGTGGCTGCGCTTTGGGCAGTGCCAAGCAAAAGACTGGCATAGGCATTACCGTCGGGATACTGGCCCATTTTCTTGATCTGGTCATAGTACTGCTTAGCCTGCACCATGTTGCCTTGTTGTGCATAGCCGATCAGAATGCTGTTGGTAGCCATGTACACGGCGCGCTGCGCACGTTGCGACTCGAGATGTTCCTGGAAGGCCTGGACACTCAATGTGTACATTTGCTGGGCATGTTCCAAATGGCCTTGTTTGCCAGCCAGGGCAATGGCGTCACGGATCGGTTCTGGCGAAGGGACCTGACCGGCCAAGACAACTTGCTCGCGCAAAATCGACACTGCATCGCCAATTTCACCACGCACCACAGCACGCATCACATCCTTAGACAACGCATCAGCGGCAGAAGCATTTGAAGAAGAAGAAGAAGCTACCTTGGCTTCGTCTTGAGGAGAAAGGGCCATCGACAATGAATGAGGATCGAAAGCGGCCTTCCACTCTGCAGCAGCTTCCCAATCGCCAGCCAACTGCAAGCGCGATAAAACACGCAGCACAATATCCTGGGAGAGCACCAAGCCATTATCCGAGATCCGCATCGTACTCACCAAGTCCAGAACGAATTCAGCAAATGGTAGCTCGTCGTGAGCCAAGGCAAGGGCAGCTTCGTACAGAATGTGGAAATCGCGCGGGCTGGATACGCAGGCACGCTCAGCGGGGTTGGCGCGGTAGCTTTCAGTGAGCGGGCGAGCCAGGCACACGGGAATGGAAGACAAGGAGGCGGAAATGGCGCGCACCACTGCAAAAATAGGAGCGAAACGACCGTGGCAAGTCTTGACGACACAGTCGACGGTTTGAGTAGCGGCATGAATCAAGCGGGAGGAAGCCTTTTGCAACGAGCGCGACGACATGGCTTCCAAGACGGTTTGGAGAGCACCAATGGCTTCGGGGACTTGGTTCTTGTGCACAAAGTACGTCACCACACGCTCCGAAAGGACGGCGTCGGGTTCCAAACCAGCCATGCGCATATCCTCAATGACTTCCAGCGCCTTGTCGGATCGGTCGTTCTTCAAACACAACAGTGCATAGTTGGCCAGGTTACCGTACGCCTTGCTCAGATCGGTCTTGATCAAGGCATTGTAGATCTCCGTGGCCTTGGCAAATGCGTCCTTCTTCTGGCAATAGGCAGACAGGATGGGGCCATAGCTGCTTGAGTCTGGATGCACCGTCATGGTAGCCAACAGCTGCTTGGCAAGATCCATTTCGCCGCGAGCGCAATAGTGACGAATGATGGCGTTGTAAGGAATGGTGGTGACCTTGACGTCGTCGGCAGGCATGTCGTGACGCACTACGCGCAACGCATCGTCAATGAGGCCGCACTTGAGGTAAGCATCGACCATGGCGCTGTACACGTGGCAGCAAGGTGCATTCGACACTTTGAACTCGGCAAAGTAGTCCCGCGCAGCGTCGATATCGCCAGCACGGCCAAACAAATTCACAAGGGCTGCAAAAGTGACGCTGGTCTTGGGCATACTGTCGGTCATGTGGTTGTAGACCCGCAGTGCGCTCTCCTTGTCACCGTGGTGTGAAAACACTCGCAGCAGCTGGTTGAATACGTCCACCTGGAGCTCCTCCACACAGTTTTCTTTGAGCGCAGTGTTGAACAGGGCCAACGCCTTGTCGGCATTGCCTTCCAACTGCAAAGCAGCAATGTCGTTGTGGTGTTGCTTGTCATTGCCGGCACGATCGGATTGTCGACGCAGCATGGCGACGGTCTTTTGCACTTCGATATCGCGTTTGCATAGCGCACGGATGAGGAGTGAGAATGTGTTGCCGGTTGCGCGCACTGTGTTGGCCTTGGCCATATCCTCGTACACTAATATCAATTATGTCAGAATGGTCTTTTAGTGAGCTCACTCCTGGTCCTCGTATGTTTAAATAGAGTTATAGTTTAGGATTCTACACGTACCTTGAAGCATTTGTGTCAGCGGCGATCCTTCACGACGCAAACACGCGTGCGCCTCAAGAACAATGTTGTATGCCTGCTCTGAAAGAACATAGCCTTGTCGTTTGACTGCAGTGAATTCGGCCATGACGGCCTTGAGGTTACCGTCCCGCTTTGCAGCGAGTAGCCTCTCCTCGGCAACGCGCGCCTCATCGCAGGAAGTGAGTTGTTGCGGTGCTGTGAGGGGCGAAGGAGGAGGTGTTGGAAGAAGTCCCTCCATATGCATTGAAATAGATTGTTGGTGTTGTGGATCCTCATTATCATCATTGTGGTTCATGGTATGATGAGCGCGAGCAGACGAAGCCTTGGTCAGCAAATCGTTCTTGTCCCAGTTTTGATCAGGCTGTTGCTGCTGCTGCTTGTGATGCTTGTTGGATGCAAAAGATGAAAATGATGATGAAGATGATGATGAAGAAAAAGAGGATGATGATGAGCGTCGGTTGTTGTTGTGGCGTTGTCGTCGATGGTTGCGACGGTTGTTGTGTGATTTGGATGAAGATGATGAGGATGAAGAAGAAGAAGAAGAGGTGGAAGAAGAAGAGGAGGAGGTGTAGCTGGGACAAGACATATGCATTTTTGTGGTGTAGAGAAGGAGAATGAAGAAGTGTGTGCTGGTTGAAGTAAGAAAGAGAAAGAAGATGATGGACGTGGGTGATGGCCAGGTTTTTATATGTGTGGAGCATCTCATGTGTTGTCTCCGGGATTCACTATCTGATGTCTTTCTTTGTTTCTCTCGCTCCCCCTTTCTGCTGCAACGTAGGGCAAGAAAGGGTGGGACCTTGGGATGGGCCAATCAGAGCCGCGGTGAGAGGGGGTGGGGGTGGGGTGGGGCACCATATCTGATCGATGAACAGAGCCGTCTGCACCCCCCATCTATTTCGGAATGTTTCCCAGCTTAACGAATAAATTAGCCTTTATCAGATTGCCCGCTGCTGCTGCTGCTGCTGCTGCTCTCCACTTTGACTGTCCCCCGAAAAAAGCCTACATTTGCGTAACAAAGATCTTTCAACGAGTTACTATATACTGCCATGTATATAAAAATCCACATATCTATCATCAGCTGATAACGCTTATATACCATTATCTGATTCACACATAGCTTCCACGACGCGCCTCTACATGGTAACGCGCTCTGCACTTTAAGGACACGGTATATACAGGATAGTAGATGTAGCATCGTCATAGTAATGAAAATAATAATAATAATAATAAGAGCAGTGTGCATAGTGCATGATTGTGTTGCTATGCTGCAGGATTTTGTTTTATTTAAAAACAAGGCCATCTGATAATAATATTGTACATTTAATGCAAACCTCACCCACCTCCCCCCAACGGACCCCGACACATCACTTCCGTGTGGATGCTGCTAAAGCGTCTGTTCGCCGCCGCCAAGGCGCTCTATCGGTCTCGTACAGTTCTACTGTCTCATCGTATATAATACGCACCACACTATACATAATCTGCGACACACGACCCTTATACTGTCCTGTATGATATTGAAGTGGATTAACGATCTCTCCTGTAAGCATACGCTATTTAGCGAACAAGCCAGGTTTACAGTAGCCGCAGCTCTCATTAGTATGATTTCCCCGCATATGTAACATACAGTTTGTGTCATTGTAAAATGTAAAAAGCGAGGGCAAGTAAGCCATAAAAGTAAAAAGACAACCAAAGGAACAAAGAAAATACACCTCACATATTGGATATCACGTATAGAGTCTTTTGTTTATGTGCAGTGTGTGCGGGGTCGAAACGTTTTGAATATGGTTTATCCCCTTTTTCGTTTGTGTCTTGGCTCACTCAATCCACCATGTGAGCCACGATCCGAGAGAAATAAAAACGTGGGATAGGGCAAGAAAAGCCCTTCCATGTCAATTTTTATCAGATCGCTCTGCGTTGATTCTATGATTGCTGTTGATTTTTTGACCAGGTGGTTACACTGACACATACTATTTTGACCCAGATCTGATAAAAGATCTCACTTAATTTTTTCAAGATTCTCGACCCCACGACAACAGCACTACTACGTATGTATCCACTCACCATCACTACTCACTTCGTACGTGATCGTCGTCATTTAGCGCTTCAGTTTTTACATAGTGTACGTAATATATTTGTTGTTGTAACAAAACACGCCATCTATGTATTTGATTTTTATTTAATACACTAAGAGCATCCCCAGCGGTATCGCAAAAAATATCGCGAAATTTGAGCAAGCTTTCGGTCTCGAAATTTCGCTATTGCTGTAGATCCCCAGCGGACTCGCGAAAGATTTCACTTCCTCAAACTCTCTTTTTATAAAAATGCCAACCACTCGCGAACTTGCCCAAATATTTTCTGATGTTGATGCCGATGAGCTACTCTGGCTTGAACTCCATCACCGAGCAATGGAAGCTTTGAGAAAGGAGATTGAGGAAGGAGGTACCTTGAAACGTGGATCAGTCTTTGGGCGAAAGTACAAAGAGAGAAGACGCGAATTGGGACAAATGTTGCTTCAACGTGACTATTTCGACGAAGTTCCACTTCATGGTCCAGAAGAATTTCGCCGTCGTTTTCGGATGTTCCGTCCACTTTTCCTAAAAATCGTCGATGCCATTGGTAAAGAAGACGATTACTTCGTTCAAAAGAAGGATGCTGCTGGGAAGCTTGGGTTCTCGGCCATCGCGAAAGCAACTGCAGCAATGAGGCAACTTGCCTATGGTGTGCCTGCTGATGCAGTGGACGATTACCTGCGTATTGGCGAAGAGACTGCTCGTCAATGCCTGCTCCGTTTTTGTCAAGCAGTCATCGATGTTTTCGGTGAAACGTATTTACGTACACCAAATGAATCAGACATGGCAAGACTATTGGCTCAAGGAGAAGCACGCGGCTTCCCTGGAATGCTAGGCTCGGTGGATTGTACCCATTGGATTTGGAAGAATTGTCCCAAAGCGTGGCATGGAATGTACAGGGGCAAGGAAGGAGAAGCAACAGTGATCTTGGAGGCAGTAGCAGACTTTGACCTATGGATATGGCATGCTTATTTTGGGCTTCCAGGAAGCCTCAATGATATCAATGTTTTGGATCGCTCGCCTTTGTTTTTGGATCTTGCTGCTGGACGTACACCACCGGTAGCATACCGCATCAACGAAAACGAGTATACGATAGGGTATTATCTTGCTGATGGGATATATCCCAAATGGGCAACATTGGTGCAATCCATCAAGATGCCTGAAAACCTTCAAGAACAGGTATATTAAACTATTTGTTTTGTAACGCCAATATAATAATCATTTATTCTTTTGTAGCATTTCAACACGATGCAAGAAAGCGTGCGCAAAGATGTTGAGCGCGCGTTTGGTGTTCTAAAAGCTCGATACCACATCATCCAGCAGCCAGCACGTCATTGGAATATTGCAACTCTCACCAAAATTATTAACGCTTGCATCATTCTCCATAACATGACCATTGAGGATGAACGCGGTACAGAAGTTGACTATGACTACGATGATGAAGCAACTCGCCGAGAAAAAGCACGCCGCAACAAAAACAGAAAGCGAGTTCGAGTCAGCACTTCTGATTCAGATGGTATTGATGTGAATCCAGAAGAGGTTGCAGCAACAACATTAGCTACAGTGCCCGGTGATGACGCTGTTTTCAAACAGTATCTTAGTCGATATCAAGAAATCCGCGATACTCAGAAGCATCAACAACTACAAGATGATCTTGTTGTACATTTGTGGAAATCGTATGGTAAAGTCAAATGATGGATACTTTTTCTTGATTTAAAAAACTCTTATCTTCATCTCAATCCTACTCAACTACATCATGTTCATCCCCTGATGGTTCTACTGCTTCTACTTCTTCAACTTCTTCGTTCTCTTCTTCAAACTTCTCATCTTCTTCTCCATCGTCTTCTTCATCCTCTTCATCTTCTGCTCCTCCTGCAAGCAATCTTTCTAAGATCTGTTTTTGCCGGATCTCAAAGAACTGACGGCGGACGGGATCCAATTGTGAAGGATCGACAGCCATGATCTTCTCATCCCTTTCTTTTCTGTCGTCCTTCGCTTTTCTTTTCTCTACCGCCACGAGCTGCTCCAAATATCTGCTCTTTTTTCTCGTTTCTTCGAGAAATGCGGCTTGATTTTTCATCGCTTCATCAAAGTCGCGCTTGAGCTCTGTTCGAGCCTTTTCTTTTTTGTTTCCATCCGGTCTTTTGTTGGTGGATTGCGCGGTCGACGATTCACCATTATCGCCTTCTTGACCGACATTGGAAACTGCAGGTGCTTTACCTTTACCCTTCTTATTGTTGTCGGCAGGTGTATTTTTCTTTGCCTTCATTTCTTCCAGCTTGTCGTTCCACTTGTCAAAAGAACGGAGGGTTTCCCAACAAAGCTCAAATGCGAATTGTTTCTTTTCGAATCTGAAATACGCTTCCTTTGCTTGCGTACGCTGAAAGTTACTTATATCAGGCCCTGTATACTAACATGTTTTTCTTATACTTTTTATTCAATACTAACCAGACCCAGTTCATTCTGGCCACTTTGTTTCAAACCCTTAATCTGAGCGTAGTGTCCACAGAACTTTGCAACTTCTTTCTGGATGTTACGACTCCAACGGCTCATCAAGGCTTTGGCCGTTCGTTCGCCTCTGGGATCCTCGATATGCGAAGCAAAATGGGTAGCAACTTTTTGCCAGAATTGGCCACCATCCTGGTCTGTCCCTGTTTCGGCATTGATCGAGATCTTCAACCATGATTTACACAGTTGAAGATCTTCTGCTGGAGAATAGTTCAGGTTGCCTTCGCGACCTCCTGCCTTTCCAATACTCTTCTTTTCCTTCACGGAAGAGGACGAAGTAGTGGTAGGAGCGGAAGTAGGCAAAGGGGAGTTAGGTGGTTGTGGGGTGTTGGGGCGATTTTCTTGCATTTTGGTGATGATTGTGAAGTTGTTGTTGTTTTTGAGTTTATTTTAAAAAATGAGGTACAGGATCAACAAGTAGTTTCGCGAGTCGACAAATTTCGCGAGCTTGGACTCAGAATTCTGCGACTCTCAAATTATGCAAATGGTTTGGCGAGTCCGCTAGGAACAAAAAAATACAAACTCGCTCGCAAAAATTTCGAGATTTGAAATTTCGCGAGTCCGCTAGGGATGCTCTAAAAGACGGAAACTGACGACATTGCGGTTACACTAAGCAGCCGTAAACCCCCGGATTCAAAATTTCTTGTTTACTATGATATTGTTCAGTAGTAATGGCAACATCACTATACAACAAAAAAAATTAGACATGAAATAGACAGCATAAGATAAAGAAGGCAGGGGAGTGATAGATTTAGCAAGTTATCAGATCGCTCTGTAACTGCGTGCTTACAGCGTGTGTGAAGATCTGATAAATCGATAGGTAGTAGTTTACTGATCTTTGATCAGTGGCAGTAAGTAACCATAGCCAGGAATTATTAGCGCATTGCTACTGCCCACTCTATACCACGAGTTTTGCTTTCCCACTCATCCCCACGCTATATCCAAAATTAGACACAAAAACTAGGCGCGCGCGTACAACGAGTGGGGGTTGGGGGAGAACAGTAGGCGGATGATAAAAAAGGGATCTGATCGATGAAGCTGTGTGATGGTGTTACGCCCAGACCAGCTGTCTGGCGATAGATTTTGCATGATTTACAGTTCCTAAAGATTGCTGATATGTTGATGTCGACACTTAATGACGACAACAAAACGACGGACAACACTTGGCTGTCTCCCTCCTCCTCGCTCTACCCTTGTTCATCTCCTCATCGTTCTGTTATAGGCCGAGTCAGACATACTGGTACAGCAAACATCACAACATCGACAATTTTAAAAAAAAGGTTACATGATCTTGACCATACTGAGAGAGTAGTTAACTAGATTTACTTTAAATTTTACTACCTGTAGAAAAAACAGTACACGTTAATCCTAACCTAGCAGACTAGAATCTGTTATCAATCTTTTATTTTTAAAAAATATACGCGACTTTTTCGCTATCCCATAAGAATTCTACCCGTCGTCGTTGCTTTTCCTATGATTCCTGAAACTTAAATCATCTTCACCACCAGATGCACGTATCATGCCACATTCTTCAAGTCTGCTTCATTCATCGTTCTGGGTCTATAAGGCCGCTGGCTTCCCAGACTAAACTGAGGATGGTTCATTTACTCAATGCGGATGAACCTAATCTGACTTACTATAATGCAGTCGATATCATACATCAATTGCGCTATTAAGCTCCGGGATAATCTAATTTAAATAGTTCAAAGCAGGGTTCTTTTGCTTTTCTATAAATCGATCATCATCATCGCGATAGCGGTTTTGGTGCGTGTGACATATCTAGAGCTTACTGTTTATTTGTTAATATATAACGATGGCAAAAAACAGCAGCACTATAGCATTATGAATATCAAGACAAGTATGTGTGCCATTTTTAACACATTTTGCATGTACTAGTAGGATAGGCGTACAAAGCTGGTCCGTTAACTTTGACTCGTGTGAGAAACTGGAACGGACGGACCGCCAAAATAAATAAAAAAATCATGTGTTTGCGCGTTGAATTATTGGAGAGAGATAAGGTGTTTTGGATCGGCAAAAGGTGGGCAGTGATCATTTTATTAGCGGAACAATCCTAGCCGATCCGATATAGTGTGTACGACTATAAGTATGCCAGGAAGTGGGAGGGGGGGTGCGGTGGGAGGGGATGGAAATGGTTGATTAATCTTCTCCGTCATAATTATATCTGATCAGATGTTCTCGATTACTGCGTGCTTAATCCAGATCCGCTGCTACACTGTCATCACTACCCGCTTATCGCCATAACGGCCCGCTTTACATTTTGCTAATAAAGTACTCCGTTGCATTAAATTAAGGATTATATGTAGCATGACTGGTATATGCATCATATGTAGTTTTCTTGTCTTCTTTATCTGATTGCCGTCGTTTGATCAGGATTCAATAATATAATGATTGGAATATTGTTCGACTTGAGCTATTCACCTAGGAAACAGGTTTATTTTTAATATCCCAACAGCACCTTTGCATTTGCTACGGTTGAAGAAATCCATTAAATCTATTTGTACCCATACGCTTTTCGTTTCTTTGACAATATATATTCGTCTCCATGGCATCTTTATCAGAGCTCGATAATGATCGTCGATACACGCATTTCCGCCACCCGCTTCAGTATATATATGAGAAGATTACAGTAATATTTATTATTGATCATTGCTTGTCATCAGCTTAGGCTCATCACGAACGCTCCCCGCGCCAAAATTTTTTTTTGGCTTTTTTGATCTCCACACTCGGCTTTCACAGGTTGTCAGGCTTACTTCAACGCATAAAACGCCAAAAATGAGTGAAGAAGTCAAATTACCTCAAGTAAGTTTTCTTTGCATGATTAAGTCCCATTGATCGAGAAGAGGAATTCGTATAGCAGAATACTCACAACCTTAATTTATTGTTACATATACGTGTCTTTTTTCTTGTCCATGTGTGTATAGAAACGGTACTACCGTCAACGCGCTCATGCCAATCCATTCTCGGATCATCAACTTGACTAGTAAGTTATCAACGATCTATGAACAAAACGCCCCAACGAAATACAAGAAATGGAACGTTAATAAACTATTGTACAATTTTGATATCTTGAATGTATTTTAGTCCTGCAAAGCCAGAGGATATGGATTGGACTCGTCACTATCCCGAATACTACCCTGCCAAAGAAGGCCAAGAGCAGAAAAAAGTCGAATTTGCAGATATTGGATGTGGTTATGGTGGTCTTCTGATCTCAATGGCAAAGGAGTTTCCAGATAATTTGATGCTTGGTATGGAGATCCGCACAAAAGTTGAAGATTATGTTTATGAACGTATCAAGGCATTGCGAGTACAAGAACCAGGTTACTATCAGAATGTATCGATCATGCGAATGAATGCCATGAAGTTCCTTCCCAACTTTTTTGAAAAGGGCCAGGTTTGTTTTTTTTTATACTTAATACAATGGTGGTGGGGGCTAGTGTACCGTAGCCAAAGACAAATTTCATTGATTAACGGATATGTATTCGGTATAGTTGAGCAAGATGTTCTTCTTATTTCCTGATCCACACTTTAAGCAAAGAAAGCACAAGGCACGGATTATCAGGTAAATGTTCACATTATATCACGGCGGATGAATGGTAGAGTGGAACGGATCTAACATTTTTTCCATGATAGTCCTACACTACTTGCTGAATATGCATATGCTTTGCGCGTGGGCGGTGTTCTCTACACCATTACGGATGTAAAGGATCTACATGAGTGGATGGTCAAGCATTTGGACGACCATCCTTTATTCGAACGAATGTCAGATGAAGAATGCGTACGTTTTTATAACTCATGAAAGAAGTTTGGAGTGATCTTTTCGATGAAGAAGCTTATCTTTACTCATATGCGGAAAAAAAAAACTTGATGTAATATATAGGAAAAAGATCCAGCTGTGCCCCATGTACGGGAAGCTACAGAAGAAGGCAAAAAGGTGGCACGTAATCAAGGAGACAAGTACTTGGCCTGTTATCGTCGTATTGAAGATCCTTTTTATTCGCAAGCGTAAAATGTACATATAAGAGTTTTAATTTGCATTACTAAAAAATACTACTACTACTACTACTGGGTTTGTTTGAGATTATTGTTTTTCTTCTGCATGGTAAATGTATGTGGTATCCACTGGTTCTTTTGTTTTTTCAGTCAGTCAGACTTTGACAAGGCCATAGCGCTGAAATCATGAACGGCAGAGTCGCGTTCGATATATTGGCGCAATATTTGTGCAGTGGACTATAATGATGTGTTTCATGTCAATGACCTGGCGTATGCGTATATGTGTGCAGATTTACTTACTTTGACGATATCCGAGCTGGGTCCATGGTTGATGGGGAATGCCTTGGAACCATCCAACTCATAGAGATTCCCATCCACTTCCGTAAACGCTACAAAATAGTGCCGATCCGAATCATCCAAACGTGGCTATATCACACATATGATGCAAAAGTTATATGACGAAGAACGAAAAACGAGTCTCTTTCTCTTTCCACATTATGCAAACCTCGGTTTGTCCGGACATGGCCGCATTCTTGTGAACGGTGGCCAACTGCGCACAGTTCTCCAACAGTCCAGCGCGTTCTTCAATTGTCATAGGCTCTGCCTGGGTGACAATGTCTTGAAACAATCCCGGACCTGAAAATAGATTAATCTTTTGGATCGAGAAAGAAGTACTACTTCCTGGTATACACACATACAAGTAGGGATTAAGGACTTACCAAGGACCTGTTTGTTGTTTGCGAGGGCGTGGATCAAGGCCATCATGCCACAAGCGTGTCCAATCGTTTGCTTGAAGTAAAGGACCTTTGGGCTGATATCTTGACCTTGTTGAGTCAACTTGACCTTTTCTTGCTGTCTGAACTTCTTGGCGCTGTCGGTCACGGGATATAAGAAAATGATAGCAGTGACAGGTCGTGGAATCATGCCGAGCGATTCTTCGTCGAAACCTGTTACAGTGTTATTGTAAGTACTAGCTCCTGTAACAGAAAGGATCTGATACATACCATAAATGTCATGGAAGCACCACGCCTTGTCGACACCATTTTCATGGATCATCTTTTATAATTAGAAGATATAGCATGATGTTTATGTAAGCATCCTTCTGGTTTGTTTTCTAGAAAAGGGTAGCTCTGTTATCGCTGCTATAATCTTATGTATAACACTATGTAAACCTTGTTCCAAACCTATTAAATATGCATAGTGTGTTGGTGTCAACATGCATTTCAAGAAACGTGGGTGGCTTCCTTTAGTTATTTGTGTCGGGTTTGAAACGATCAACTTACTTCGGGATTGCCTTCCAAACGGATCCACATTTGCTTTGGTTTTGGTCCAAGTGTGCAATCGGTTAGATTCTCCATTGCGCAGAATGCGATGATTGTGAAGCAGAGTAAAAAAAGCGAAAAAAGTATGTAACAGCGCGCGCAACACATCATGCGACAGATATACGCAATAAAATTGTTTGCCGTTTTTAGACATAAGAGGCCAGTTACAGTGCTGCGCAGTAGTAGTTATAATATCATATTTTTTTATTTGTCTTGAAAGACTTAAGGTTTGGATAAAACCATAGCACTGTAGTCTTGTCGATCTGGGTCGCGTTCCATGATCTGAAGGATCACACGAGCAGCGCACTAATCATCATTGATACGAATACCTTGTCAGTTATACTCTCACATGACTGGTTGCATACCAATGCAATGCAGCTGTTTCTACTACTACTTTTGCTGCTTCACCCTCCACAAGGTCGGTACACGGCCCATGGTTTATAGGAAACGGCTTGCCACCATCCAGCTCGTAAAGATCTCCATCCATCTCTGTGAAGCATGCATAATGGACTTCAACTTCCGCTTCGGCCGCTGGTGCCTATAATTATACGCATTATGTATGCAATGTCGTCAATAGAAAGCGAGTATATGATTTGTAGAAGCCAAGGCAGCTTTGTACGCTATATACCTGTGTTTCACCAGCTCTTCCAGCGGTTTCATGGACTGATGCAAGTTCATTGCTGGTTTCCAGTAAATCTACTCGTTCATCCACTGTCAAGTGCTGCGCCTTGTCAATTAAAGTACGGAACAAACCGGGTCCTTTATGGATTGCGGTATGCGCATATGGTACAGAACTTGATATTGATTAGTATGATGTTACCGAATGAAGATGTTGCCATACGTACCCACAATGTCGCTGTTATTTGCCAACGAGTGGATGAGTGCCATCATTCCGCATGCATTATGTATGGTTTGTTTAAAATACATAACGTGTGGACTAACAGTTTGGTCCTCCTTTATAATCCTTGCTTCTTGCTCTTTAACGTATTGTGCGTTTCCTTCTGCCATTGTAGGATATAAGAAATTTATGGCTTTTACTGGTCGAGGGATCAAACCGAGTAAGTCTGCGTCGAATCCATATACGTCGTTAAATGTCCAAGCTCGGTCAATACCGTTTTCATGGACAAGCTGTACATTGCTACAGAAATACACATGATAGGTCACTTAGATGTTTGTCCATGTTTTTACACTATACATAGTAGGCAGCCGCAGAAGTACCTTGTTCCACACCTATATATCGTATACAGAGATGAAAACATGGTGTTTTTTAAATATATTACAAACGGAATAAGTAATGCCATATAATATGATACGAAGATATCTTACATCTGGATTTCCTTCTAGAGGAATCCAAGAAAGACGCTGTTCCTGGACCATTATTTTGCTGTCAGAGTCACTTTCGATATGTTTTTGCTTTGTTGCTGCGACAGACATAGGAAGATAAAAGAGAAAAAAGAGAAAAAGAGAAGCCGGTGCCTTTCGACAGAATGACGCGTCACTTTTGTGTTCGAGCAGGACGGCGGTTTCCGTTTTTGACTCTTACCAGAATTTCGGTGCAACAACATCGCACAGATGTGTCTATTGACTATTACTGTATGATGACCGCTGCTGATATTACATGATTGCTACTTGATACTACTTCCAATTTCTCTCTTGATGTTTGATTAATTGTTTATGCTTTGCTTGGGATGATACTTTATAACTTTGTTACTGCTGTTACTGCTACGATAACAAGAGTATCTCTACTACTGTTGGCAAAACATGCTCAGTATATATTATTTAACAGAGAAAATCATAAGCAGAGAAATTATCATATCATTAAGCATTAGCAATGACAGAACTTGAAGTCCGATTTCACCTATAAAGCAATTTTAATCTGCCTCTTCGCTATTGTTTTTCTTGGAACTTTTTCGTGAATATGGAAAACAACAATGAACGAGATCATCTCAACAAGTTGTTATCCGATGCAGCGATCCTAGTAGCAGCTGAACGAGAAAACTCTGAAGAATCTCAAGGTTCATTTTGCTTCTTTTTTAATTCATTTCTGGCAAACGTTTTAAATGAAAAGCACACCAACACGCGGTTTTCCTGGACATATACATATGCATATATAATTGTGCATAACTAGCACAACAAAAGAAAACACTCGAAGAACAGCTTTCCTTGCGACTATTACGATTAGCCGTCTCTAAAGAACAAAAGAACAACGACGATCCAGAAACCATCGCTGCGACGCCAGTGGTAGCAGATCCAGGCAATGAAAAACGTGAATTCGTACAAAAGTGCCTAGATCTACTCGTTGCGATTCAAGCATCGCTTTTGTCAGTTATTGAAGACGAACAAGGTCAGCTTGAAAAAGAACCTCGGATTATTTTTCTTAAAGCCTCATCCGCCCTTCCTTTTGACTAGAAGAAAGATACTGAATGGTTATATGTCTGTTTAAAAGAACATACAGAACGCGAGTATATTGGCGTACGCGATCTACGACTTGTTCATACTCTGCTGCAAGTAATCATATCTTGGGGAATGTATCCATACTTTCAACCGGGAGTTGGCGTCCCACTATCAAAACGAGTCAAATCCGGCTACACCAACCATGGTAAAAACCGAGAAAAGAGAGATCTGCTGCTTGAAAATCAGCAGTAAAATCCAAATATGGCTGATACACTCCTCCTCTTTCTCCAGAGCTAGTGACACAGGAAGACCAATCAAAAACTTCATCATCAGCAGCATCTACAAAAGAAGGTATCACTCAACTACTACAAACGACCAGTGCATTAGTCGATTTGGTAGCAAGGACACAAAAAGTACCAGCAAGCAAAACCTATACCACCGTGGGATCGATTTTGTTGTCACGTCATTTACCAGATCTGTTTGCTGGATTATTGCAATTGGCATATGCTCCTGCGCCTAAACCTCGTAACACCAAATTAACACCGGCTAATATACCCAATGATCCATCCATGTTTTTGGCTTCTCAGGCCCAATACAACAATGTATTGACTCGCGCTGAACGTGATAAATGTGCTCGTATGTTTGCATGGCTATTTGAAAGGTCAGGATTTTAAGAAAGGATATGGGAGTGGAACGTACTGTGTTTATATTTTTGTGAAGAGCTGTATCTGATGAAATGATTTGCATAAAAAAATAGGGCAGATGTGCATCGCTGCATGGAATCTCTAATGTTGCTTTTGGGTACTTCTCCACTGCATCCAGTGCCTGCCTGGCTACGCAGTATATGTGGTCGGTTTCTCTCTAAGATACTTTTGCGCCCTAATGGCGTGGCTACCGTTATTGAGTTTACTGTCGGCGATGTAGACGATGGTAAGTTTGGTAGACAATAGGGAGAGGGAGAGAGAGCTGGTTATGAGCTAACTGGGTGCTTCTTCATGCTTGTTGCAGTATCCTTGGATCAGCTCGAAAAAGTCTCAAAACTCATTCTCGCTGTACCTCAGCAAATGCCTTCTGTCGAGGTTCGTACATTTTTTTGCATGGTTAAAATGATATGACTCTTTTTCATGAATTACCAACGCTGGAGTTCTTTTAGAGCTATTATACTGTCATTGCACCACAATTCCTTACTTTGCTGAGAGAAAGTGTCAGTAGCCCCAAACCACATCTATCCACGCGTCAAGTTGTCACATTCATCATTGGACGGATGATTTCCTCACACACAAGTTTGTCAAAGAAGCTCATTGTCGACAACGTTACTGGACCACTTGCGAATAGCTGGGATCAAGTCGAGGAAGACATGGAGGACGACGAAGATATTGAAGCAATGTCAGAAGAAGGTGTTCAAGAACTCTTAAAGATCCTGCATCAAATGATGGTTGGTGGCGAGCCATCACCCGTTGTGATCCATACATTTTTAAATGATGCTGTTGTACCGCTTTACCATCTGTACGATTTCGCCATCAAGTCCAAATCCGGTCTGCGCGAGACCGTTCTAGATATCCTTGTCACTTATTTCCGTATCATGTCACCGGGCGAGATTCTGCGTGATCTGAAAACGATTGTGCTATCCAAGAGGGATTTAGCTGGTGCGCGACAAGCCTATTTCGCAGCAGGACCGTCGGGTGGTGTTGTTCTTCGTATGAGCAAAGCACTGCGACCGCTGGCCGGCAATCAGCTTCCAATTGATCCAGCAGTGATGATAGAATTTATCCAAAAGACAAACAGCCCAGATCTTTGTGGCGATTTCTTTCTATTCCTGCTCAACGAGTATACCAGTCTGCAAACATTATCTGCTGATCCAAGATTGTAAGTATTCTTTTTCTGCGCATGCGCTCGCGACAAATGGTTATAAGTTCAAGGATGCTATATCAGACTATTAAGTTGCTAATGATGTCCTTATCTTAAGGATGCTATTGATATTACAATTGATCGTGGGTATGCAGGATTCGCTAGGAACTGAAATTCTTTCGAAACCCGAACAGATCCTGGCATTTGCGAACAATGTCGTCACGGACTATGCCGATCGTCTTGAAGAAGCCAAAAATCATTACACAAACAGCAATAACAGCGCAAAAAACTTATCCAGTGCTACAGCAACAGTAGATATCACCAGTATAGTATCGGATGAGGATCGACAATTCATGGACAATATACCCACCGAAGAAGACATTGAAAATGACTTAGAGTCATTAATCATGTCTATCAATTTATTACGGGCAGTTATGCATGGTAAAAAACGGTTTTTTTCTCTACTTGTGTTTCATGTAACTAAAATAAGGGACGACGAACTAATAGTTTATTGGTTTTTCATTTTTTAGAAAACGAAGAGCTATCACCACGATCAAGCCAACTACTAGAAAGTTCGATTGCTCCGTTAAAACAACTCGAATCATACAAGATCCATGAACTCCAGGAACCGGTTCACGAAGTGTTGCTGGCCATCACCTCGTACATTTCGGCACAGAAAATGACTGGTAGAAGCAAAAAAGGCAAAGGCACCGCTGACCAAGAAGAATCAGAGCAAAAGTTCCTGGATGCTATGCGAGCGTTACAGGATGATCTCTTGCCCGTGCGTGCACATGGTATTGGTATCCTACGTGACCTAGTTCTTGCTAAAGATCCACTTGTGTCCTCTGGACCAGCACTCGACAATCTGCTCGATATTTTTGTGCGGTTAATACAGGATGAGGACAGTTACATCTACCTAAATGCGATCAAGGGCCTGTCTGCCCTTACGGATATCCATGGCAACAAGATCATTGAGAAGCTGGGAGCGACTTATGCTGACGAGAAAGAAAGTTTGGATAACCGGTTACGGGTTGGTGAAGCGCTCCTGCAGACAGTACAACGATCTGGAGATGCATTGAGCTTATATGGTAAGCGGTAACATTTGATTTTGGAAAATTGTCATAGTAACGCGATCCGTGGTAGAGCATTAAACTCATAATATGGGGAACCGAATCTTTTTGTAGTGGGTGGTTTGATCAAGCCACTCGAGACAGTGCTAGCCCGACGACAGGTGGATAAGCATTTACGTGTATCCGCACTATCTATTTTGAGTACTGCTTGTCAGACATCTCCCATGGCACTTGAGAGATTCATGCAACCGCTGACAAATTGGGTACTCAACATTCTCGAGTTTGAAGAAGAAACTGAAATTCGGCGAGGTAAACTCAATCATATTAAGAATATGAAAATAACACGCCACATCTCTGACAATCCACGCATACATGCAAAATTCATATGTAGCTGCCACCGTCCTGATACTATCTCTGTTCCGTGGCCTTGCCTCTGACACCTTGTACCAATTTCCTCCGGAAGAACTTCGTCGCACATATCGATCCCTTCGTTATATCGAAGACACCGACCCTGATGAACTGACAAGAGGTCATGCTCGTACCGCACTAAGTGACTTGGATGTGATTATGCGACGAGAACTTTTTGAGAAATAAAATCATGATCCACCAATTATCCCAATCCATTGTTTCCACAGCGACCAATTACTATTTATCAGTATTGGAACATGCCTTATTTTTTTTATCGTGATACTTTTTCTGTTCGAGAATGCGTAAGGAAGAAAGACAGTCTAAAGAAACTATATTATTTACAAGAGTAACTTTTTTAGGGTAGGTTTCGCTGGTGTGTGTGTGTGTGTGTGCATTTTGTATGTTGGTGTCGATGTGTGTTGTATGTATAAATATGTCATGATACGTTATTTGCTTTTGTCAGGTCGAGCAATGACAGTATCGAGCTTGTCACCCAACTTAACGAACGTGTGTCGAAGAACGCGCGAATCAACCAATAACTTTTTGCCCAAGTCTTGTACGATCAGCGGATTGGCATCAAAGTGCATGATCCAGTACCTGGTAAATAAACAATTACTTTTAGTTTCCATACTACCATTTCAAGTCTCTAATAAAACCTAATAAAAGTAAAAACTTAATAATGATAACGTACTGGCCATCTGTGAAATATTCTTGATGTCTCTTGATACGATGGGGAAGCTTCTTTTCACCCCAGTTGTCAAAACCTCGAACAACACCACCTCGATTCAGAACCTGGGTGGCAGAGGTCTTGACGAGATCCTTCAAATTGCTCTAGAGAAATAAATTTTGAGTGTTACAATTGTAAATATCCTTTCCTTTTATAAAGTAGAAACACAAATGGTTTCATTCAAGTGTATTTTACCTCTGCAAGCGTTGATCGCGCAATGCACACCAGCTCGTAAAATGGCATGTTTATATAAATGTGTGTAGAGAAACGAGTGACAAAAGTCCAGCAGCAGCTGAGTATAGAAAAAAACAAAAAAACAGTTCGGAAGTGCCAGGCATGGACTACCCCGCTTCCTGCCTCTTAATTCTCCATAATGGATCTCAGTCTAGTAGCAATAGCAGATGGATCAACAAAAATGTGCAAATAGCAGTATCACTATGATGCTTTCTTTATTGCTATCGGATAGATAAAGTTTGATACTTCTTCAATAATTCCATGTCTTGACGTGTTAACCCTTCGACATTTCGCAAGACTATTGATTTCAAATTTGCCTTGCTTCGTAGAATAGCCACAAGCAGGTGGCCGACATTGGATAACTGCATGTTACCTAGTTCGAGCGCTGACAGCAATGGAAGGTTTCCTAGCAAGCGTATGAGCTCATTGGCCGAAGATGCCACCTCCTCTTGTATGGCTTTGCTTTTGTACAAATCAACAGAAAAAGAATGTAGACTTTTGATCTTTGCAGCTTGTAGCAATGCTTGGCAAGTAAATCCTTGGCAATCGATGATATGCAGAGCATCCAAGCTGCTGACTGGTGTGGCTACTGTCGCTGATAATGTAGTTGTAGCTGCTACCGATGATGATGATGATGATGAAGATAACGAGCGTTGACCAACACCCGTCCCCGAAATTTCTTGTTCTTCAGCCACCATCACGTAATGTTCCATCAAGCGCTCATAAAAGTCTTGATCAAGTATATAAAAACTGTCCATATGTAGTGTTGAAAGTTTGGTTAGCTGCATCAAAGCTTGGAGCAGATTCTGAACATGCTCTGCATCAACAGAAATTTCACGTATGTTCATATCCGTGCGATCGGCTCCCAAATGGAGCCATTCGAGGCGAGGAAAACAGCGCAGCATGTCCGGAAGCTGCTGATAAAATCCAAGACAGCCATTATTAACTTGAAGATGCGTCATTTGATTCATGGTGAAAGAAGAGAAAGGACGCCAATCAGCTACTGTAGTTGCACGACTAAGGACATCCATTGAAAGCGACATCTTTCGCAGAGTGTCACGACCGTTTGCCAACCGCTGAGATAAGAACCTTGCTGAGCGGATAGGATCAACAATCATGCAGCGTAGTCCACTTTGTCTTTGACTGGCTGCGATACTAGTCGTCGTAGTTGCTGTTGATTTTGTAAAAGTGCCCAAATCATTACCACGGTCGTCGTCGTCATCGTCCTGCATGTGTTCGTTGTTGTAGGCAGACTCCGGATGAAAAGGAAGTGGGACATATAACGAACCATACCGGATTTCTTCCAACTTGGGACAATTGTCACCAAGCACGGTCAATAGATCGTCTCCAGAAACGTGCCTGCTGCAGTAGAGCAAAAGCAAGTATCGCAGGTGAGGTACATACGGAAAAACGGGTCGTAACGATTCCATCAGTAACGGTGACATGGGCCAACGACAGACAATGCTTAAAGTGTCCAATATAAACGGCTCACTGTTGTTGTTATCATTTTGAATTCCGTTTAGTTGATGAGATGCGTCGGCAAGCGAGTAAACGTTAAGGCGAATGCATTTCAGATATCGACAAATGGACAGTAGTCGTCCAAGTGAAACAGCTACGAATGATTGTGACCTTAGGTCCAGTTCGGTCAACGTGAAAGATATGCCAGATAATGCGCTATACAGAGACTTTCTCAAAGGAAGGTCAGCCTCGGTGTTCTCTCCTAGACATCGGCATAAGAGGGGAAACGTTATTGTCATTGCCAAAAACAGTGGTCTTTAGACGGCCGGTTTATCCCATCTATCACTTTTCTTTTTCTTCTTTGATAAATGCAGATGTGAACTGTATACCCACACATACACCCTCTTAAACATACACATACACGCTTCTTACTCCTTTCACACTGATCACCAGAGTACGTCATCATTACGTACGAGCAATATTACATACCGTTGTCTTGGATAATGAGTGCTTCTAGGCTTGCAAAGTCGACATTGCCCGACGCCATCGCCTTGAGCGCATTGAGGTGTCGATGGATTTTTCCAGGTTGTGCATGAATATATAGCGTGCCAATATGCTCGGACACGGCAAACAGAGTCTGGCGCACCATTGTCATCTTGCCGCTGCCGTTGAGAGTTACGTATCTCCAAAGCTCCTTACAGCTCAAAAGTTTGTAGCGCCAGGAACGAGAAACGAATAGACAACGTATGGCAGTTTTGGTCTCCATGTAGATGGCGATATTGCATACGAGCTCATATGGACACTGAGCTATAAAGTCGATACGTCGATCCAATCGTGTTTTGGCAGCGTCGATTTGTTGTTGAATTACAAGTTGATGATCTGCAGGGACAGCGCGTAAACCTTGTTCGAGTACCGAAATGGCTTCTTGCTGGTTTCCTTGATATGAAAAAAGTCTGCCAACAAGAACATAATTGTTTGGATCTTGCGAGCCGGCTTTTATTCTTTCTTGGGCCTCAGATAATTCTTCGGAGAGGAGTTTGTACGTCGATGCCCTTCTTGTTGCTGTTACTGCGGCTGCCGTCACTGCTGCTGTCTGTGTGGACCTGAAGCTGCTCTCCGGTTGTTGTCGCACGTTATTTCTATGGTCTTGATCGCGGTCTTCATTGCTTTCCGACATTGCGATGAATTGTTGCTGATTAAGCTACTTGATTGATTTTGAAATGAGCTTTGTACAGTTGGAAAAAACCGTGTTAAATTTGGGATGTGGTGATCGAAAATATAATGTTCCCGCATGAAAAATTGAAGTCTGTGATACTCAGCAAAACAATGCACTACTTTCCTTAGATCGATGACCAAAATATATGCAGCAATAACAGTACATAGGATTTGATATATACTCATACTTCAAATATCAATTTACGAATGTACATTTTCATTGTGATACTTACGTGAGTATGATACGATCAATGCCAACAAACTTTTATACCATTTCTACGTATCTAATACAACTTCTTTTTCGAATACCTTCCTTACGGCAACTTTCCCCCCGCATATTTAATCAATGCTGGACCCAAGGTCTACTTTGAAAAGATTTTCAAACGCACTAATTTTGAGCATCTTTTTCGTTCAGTATAAATTTATGCAGTTCTAGGGTTGATAACTCTGGTAGTTGGCCGATACATTGCGTGAACTCCTCTAAATGTTTGTTCTTCAACCGTTTCCTGTAAAAGTTTTCAATTGCAATGGTGAGATGTCGAAGCCTGTTGATTTCTGCCACAGGTAGTAAAGTAGCTCGTGTCAGGCCGATACATCCTTAGTAATGCAAGTGGCGTATATTGGCCCCTCGCTCAGCATCTTGTTGTTGTCGCATAATCAAGTACTGTCTTTGACCGCGTACATTAAACTCGTCGGAAATACACGCTTGTCAGCTTGCCTAGCTCTGTCGTGGCTAGAAATACATTGTCTCGAACGTTTCGATCCTCCGGGTTAGTGTCGAGCATATGCCACGGGCTGTGCTGCAAGTGTAACGATCTCAGAGCAAGCAAATGGTGTAGAATAAAAGGAATTTTGTCCGTAAAAGGCATGACATCTCCGTTTTGTATCGTAAAGTAGTCAGTTGGTTCAAGGTAACGGATGAAAGATGTTCATGTCCAAGCAAACTAGAGCTGTACATGACATGTTGAGCACCAGTGTTTGGAGCGTATCACAGCTTTTCAGTAAAGGAGTAGCCAAGGGTAGCGCTGATCGAACGTTGCGCATAATCTAACCGTAATTGACCTATTGTCATTTGCTGTTTGGAGTACAACCAAATGCCTCTTCCCTGAAGACATCAGATGATGCGGAACAATGGACACGTTCGACAAATTTGCTTATAAAACGGGAACACCTGGAAGAATCTTGGTCCATTGACCTGTCGAGCGATATCGAGTGCCAAACAGGTGGATGTTCCAACAATTTGCTTCTACCTAGGACTGACATCTAAACACTTTAATAGAGTTTCATGATTTGAGCGATCTCATTGGCAATGTTGCAGAAAATTTCTATTGGGTATTCGGTAAAGAAATCGATCTTCGAACCAACTGTGATTTAGCAGCAGCAAATCGTTGTTGAAGAATGAAGTGGTGTCTTGCAGCAGAAACAGCGCTGAAACCTTATTCGAGCACAGATATAGCTTCTTGTTGGATTCAATGTCACGAATAAGTTTGCTCGCAAGGACATAGCCGTTTGAAATTTGTGAATCGCTTTGGATCATAGAGCTAACCCTTCAGGAAGAGTTTTGTATGTCGTCGCTACTGTTGGTATTGTTGCCGAATTTTTAGGTGGAACTAAGAATCAATGGTCATTGCTTGACTCAGCGGAGGCATGCTAGCACCATTGTCAGTTGCTGTCGAGAGTACCGCCATTTCGTCAGACTGAGTCGGTTGTTGGGGATGCAACGTGCAGTTATTAAATCGATCGCGTTTTTCTATAGTTACTATAAGCGCCCGTAAACACTTGGCACTCATTCTTGGCTCCGATTTTTTTTGTTAAATGCATTGTTAGTCGTAGCTTCGTGTATGTGAACGCCCTTTTCCATTCAAGAAAGTCAGTTTTTTATACTATTACAAGCTTTGGCGAGACGAGAAAGTGAAAGGTAATGTTAAGCGAGCGTCACCAGGTTATATAATTCGCAATTTGTAGTGCTGTCCCGCTGTACTTGACCCTCAATAGTCATGACTTGTAGAAAGCAAACAAATGATCCTTAATCGTTGAGAGGTATCAGATACCATAACTGCGCAATTTCCCGCCAATGACGGTGAAATGCTAACAATAATATTGGAAAGTTACACAGAAGCGCAGCTTCTTTTCTCGGCGTACCATGGTCCCAATTGTACGACGAAGGTTCTTATTTATCACGTTTTCTTGATTTCCAGCTCGCTTTTCATCCTTTCTTTCTTTCCTACATAAGCAACCTTCTATATGTACACATATCTAAACACTGCTCTTGCAGTATTACGATTAATCATCTTTGCACAATTCTTCGTGGCAACAAAAAGCAAACGTACTGATTATTACTACATCTGGCTCCCAGCAATCGCAACATGGGCACAAGACGGCTTTACTTTATACTATTACTACTACGTAAACCCAGATGATAAAGAGAAAGACCAGATGATGCCCTATCAAACCAAGGAGCTACTTTATATCAAGATATTGCTTTTGTTTTTCGCCATATGGAAATACGCTTTATACGCTCCATTCGCTCAAGCAGTCCAAGCCAAGAACTTCCCCTGGCGGGTGATAACGTTTTTCGTTTGCATTTATTCTATTGGCGTATTGAAGTTCTCGTTCGATATACGAGGCAGCCCTTTCGATCATTTTCCATTCCCGTGGTTAAATTTCAGTATGTTCAATCGCATTCTTGATTGTATGTTGTTTGTCCATGCCATGTACTCTGTATCGACACCTGATGGTATCAAGAACAATCCTTCGTTCCTGATGTTCGGATGCCTTATTACATTGCTACCCCTCAATTCAAGTCTTCAGGCACTCGTCTTATTGCTACCCAAGCCATTGATTTCCACCGCATGGATGGCATCCCTAATATGCATTCTTTCTTTTGCTCTCTCGTATGAGGGCGCCTTGGTGCGTCAAATGATTGTCGAAGCAAGGCAGGACAAATTTGAATGGCCTGAAGTTTCACATGATCATGTAGAAGATAAAAAAGATCATAATTTTGTATAAAAAAGGGATGCATGCACAATTTGTATATACAGTACGTGAAATAAAACTATTTGGTTCCCCGAGCAGAAAACTGATCATTGCTCTAAGTTTATTATAAGCTCAACTTTGCCTCTTCACATGTATGTTTAAACACATATGTACATGCCATCGTTTTGTTGCATAGATATGTACATTGAACATTTTCTCTTTTATATGCTTCGTCAAATACTTACCTCTTATGAGCCAGGCTCCAACATTTATATTCAACAATATTTGCCAAGTTTCGTATAAAACTTATTTATAATGTATTCTCTTCTATAGACTCTTTCCTGATAAATTCTCTCTATTACTGTGTATCGTTAGCAGCACATATTATGGTTCGTTAATGAGACAATCAGCATTACAACAAGAATTTCTTACTCCTGCAATACGACACGCCAGCAGAAATACCAAAACAGAACCACGAGATGGATGAGGTTCAATTGTACGAAATTATTGATAAGGGCGAAGAAGAAGGAGGAGAGGAAGAGAATGAAGAACACCGAAGAATTATGGTATCCATGATGAAGCTGATGACGATGACGAGGATCAAGTCGGTAATGACAACTTGGATTCATGAGGTATACCTCAGTTCTTCGATTGATAGGAAATTTTATATACTAGTTTCTATTACTGCAAACACATAATATATGCAAACATGTCCTCCACCAATTAATAAGATATTACATTAATACATAGCGCCATTGTTTGGATTGTCTAAGGTCAGCAGCCAGTATATACACGATACACAAAATAAAAGCAGTGCAATACCACGAGCTCATTAATGTAATTTGTAGTTATTGTACCCATGTCATGAAGAATGAGAACATAGACAAAGGGCTCCTGCTTTTTTATTGCTGAGAAATTTGAAATGAATCAGAGGAGTCAAAGGCGACTGAAACACTTCCTACCTTAACCGTGCTATCAAGTGTGTGTGAGAGAAAGAGAGGGAACGAGGACAATCAAGATAAGCACAAGAAGAATGGAGTTAGTACTAATAAGGAAAGAAACAAGAAGTTTGTTAAGTTGCACTTCTTACAACTCAAATTCTCGGATATTAGCATCATACAGTATCTTTGGTCGATACGGCAACCCACTTTTTCAGTGAGGCAGCGTCTGTTATTCTGACTTTATTTGTAAGTGTCTGCTGTTTCAGGAGCATATATTATAATACATAGCAGCAAGAAAAAAAGAAGAGTGTAGAGTGGGAAGAAAACCATCCGCGGCATGTCTGAGCTTTACGCTAAATATATAATATAGTAAACGGTTACACGTCATCCGCATGGTTATTGTTATACCACGCGAGCTTCTTATGGGTAAGACCGACAACTTCTTTTTGGCAAGCTGCAGGTGTCAAGCAAAGAAGGATAGGTGCGGTAGCTGTTGAGTATCTTCTTCTACGCGAGTAATGACGCATAATAATATGTGACTTATCATGATGGCCTTGCTACAATCTTTTCATGATAGTTACAATGTATCTCATTGGTGGTTGTTTCACGATATTGTAAGCATGTTGAGATAAAGATGACACGCAGGATCCCACTTGTATTGTTGGCTTGACGTTCTCACGGGTTGCACCTGTCACTTTCCTTTTTGGGCACAAAGCACGATTCATGTTCAAAAGAGTGGAAGTCCTTTGTATATCATCGAGACTAATAGACTTTTCTAGATCAGATAGTTGTGGGCGTGGGGCAGGTTGTCCATGGAAAGAGATTAAATACAAACTAAGAAGGGTAGAGAAGCAGGAGAAGGTGTTGAATACATATAGTGAATCAACTACAAAGAAAATGAAACCCACCAATATACATATGCATGTGCACACAAAGTACCAAGATACGGCATTCTCGTATCGTAGTATCATAGCAGCTAGTTTAACGATCTTGAGGGAGAATGCAACTGTAACCAATGATACACTGTTACTATGTCTGCTATGTAATTAAAAATAATACCTGATAAAATGATACATGCTTAAAAATTTTACGATTTTAAATACACAATAATCATTTATATATAGATCTTTCTAAAACTGCCAAGAAAATGACAAATTTGGAAACAAGTCCCTCATGAAGAAGATGAAAATGAAGAAAAGAAAGACAAAGACAAACAGAGAGTGTGAAAAAAGGTGGGGTATATCCTAATCTACGCCCAGCGAGAAATAGTGGATGCTAGCTGATAATAACAATAATAACATGATGATAATAATGAGAGTGGAAATGAACTAAGGGGATGTAGATGAGAAGAAAGAAAGGAATAAGTAGATATGGAATAATAATAAGTGGGTAAGGAGGATTGATGTGAATGAGGAAACAGGGTGTGTAATATATGGCATAACCAGATGCATAAATATCGGCCTCTTCTTCCCCGCTAATCTTTCCAACCAATAAAAGGTCTGCCCTGATTGAGCTTGCTCCTCGTTGGCTTTTTTTTTTGGTTTTTTAAGCTTCCTCAACATACACTTCCACATCAACAATTCCCTTTAGATGGCTCATTTCATTCATTATAAATCTCTATAATGTCTCAATGATTCTGGAATACGTGTTGATGGTAAAGGTGATGCTTGTGATGGTGATGGTGATTGTGATGCCGTCGTCGTAGCAATACTGAATTTGACGGTTTCTTCAACGACTGTACCAACCGAACTTGGCGATGATGGGTAGTATATCGGTCGACTGCTTGGCGTCAAAGACGGTGTAGGCTCGTTATAATGAAGATGATGATGACTACTATTGTTCATGACCATGGGTACTGTCCCACTAGTAGCAGTGGTAGGAGTATTAGCAGTGGCACGACGACGACCCACTACAGCATCGTATTGTGCCTTGTCACGGTCCAGGCCTTCCAGGGCATTCATGGCTTTGCTACGTTCAACTGAGATAGCCGACGAGCTTGTACTCGTCACACTGCTGGCTGTACTGCTGATTATACTCGTGTTGCTTTTTTGATGGTGGAGTGATGGTTTCTTTTTCAAAGACAATGTCAAATCGTCTGGAATCGATAACGGGCTGCGTCGTTTTCGACGTTCTTTCAAAGGTATATCCGGTACTGGCGCTGGTATCGTAAATCCTCCTCCATCGTTGGTATTACCGAGCGTGCCGCTTCGAAATGGGTGCATTTCGTCCAGGTGTTCACTTTCTTCTACGTCTTGCTCGTGCAAATCAATAGATAAACGCACAATCACGGGTGGCCGTGCTGCTGGGGAAGGTTCGACGAGTTTGCGTCGGTTCATGGTGTGCCGAGGTGGTGGCGATAATGCGGACGAACATACCGGGCCAGCCGGCATGGAAATGTGATGCATTGCCGAGAGTGATGCACTGTCTTTTCGTTTCTGTGGTCGATCTAAGAAACCTTAACTTGTTAGCTCTTTCTCTCATCCTTTCTATGTGATTCATTATGTGCGTATTGTATGTGCCTTAACGTTGCAAGTAAAAAAGAGAGAATAATTCCACTATTTACCCAGGACTCGTCGTTCATCATCTGCGGGCTCTTCGGTGTAATAAGGAAACCCGGCTTTTCGCTTTAACTCGTCGCTACTATGTCGACGCTCAATAACCGTCGTGGCTGCTGCTGTTGCTGATGTTGTTGTTGATAGAGCAGGCATCTTTTTTGCTGCTTCTATGGCTACAGCCACTCGATCGTCGTCAGGCATATCCTCGTCGTCCTCATCATTGTCATCGTAATAACAGTGGTTGTCGCGCTTCCTTAGAGCTTTTATCTTGGTGACAAGCTTCTTCCACCTGCGTGACACAGGACGAGTGGTCGCAATGAGTGAATTGCGAACTGTACTATTGCGAAACGATGGAGTGTTCATCTGACATTTAGAGAGAACTGAAGAGACGAATGAAAGAAAGAAAAAAGGTTATAAGAGTAAAGTGGGGAAAAGAAAGTGAAAGGAAAGAGAGAAAGAGAGAAAGAGAAAGAAACAAAGAATAAAGGCAGGCTTGGAGTGTCATACTTGCACGCAGTCTAGTCTAGTCTAGTCTAATCAAGGCCTTTCGGCTCTTTACTCTATACATGTGCTGCTGTCCTACGTTCAACCCTTTTTTTTGCCACAACAGGCGGCCCATTCTCGCTCTCTCGCTCTTTTTAGTTTCGGTGACACAACAGAAAAAAAAGCCAACCCACGTTGCGCTCCTATCGGATACCGACCGAGCGTTAGAGGAGGGAGGGAGGGAGAAGGCAAGCTTCTTTCTTATTCATGTCCGCCAATGCATCTTGATATATCTCTGTATCCGATGTTTCTTTTGAGTTTTCGGTATATACCCGGTTGCAACGAAGTTACACACGACAACGCCCATTTTATCGATAGAAAACCCCTAAATCATCACTTGCTATGCCAAATCGCAAGGTAGATATAGCGCCCTTCTAGTGGCTGACTGAGTATGTGCACACTCTGAGCAACAGCAACAGCAGCAGGCTGGATGCCAGTCCAAGTCCTTATTGGGCAAAAGTTGGGTCGTACCATGTTTGTTATACTTGGGCGGAGAGCAAAGCAGATCATCCCACTCACAACATGTGCAAGTTCCACAGAAGAGCGACCCCAGCGATTTTAAATTGCATACCAGCGCTGCAAAACAACAACGTTAACTGCCCATCTTTCACCACTTATAACCTACTGGTTGTATGAAATTAATAATTATAATGGAGTGGGGGAGGGGGGGAGTTGTATGTCGCGTGGCCACACTGTCCCCTCGCTTCATCCGAGGAATGCTATCTTTTAAGTCAGCTAAGAAAAATAGTGACCAAGGCACTTTTAGAGTTCACCAGGGATATAATCGCATCAGATGGAACTTTTCAGGAGGTGGAGCTTTTTGTGTTGTGAAGTTGTGTCTCAACTCTCACTCAAGGAGTGTTGAAAAGAAACACTGGCGTATCTATCCATCCAGCTGTGTATCTATCACAGTATACCACCGTGCATTTCAATAGTCATGTAAAAGATCACTACAGATAATATGTATATACTGTGAACATCAACCACCGTCTTCTTCTTTATTAGTAACCAGTATAAATGTATGTAGATGGAATATTTATTCTCGGCCAAGCTTGCCGAGTTGGCCTAGAAATTCATGTGGGGACAGTATAGCTGTCGATCCATAGGTAATTCTCTTCTTTTGATTGTTTTGCTAAAATAAATATAAAACAATGAGTTATATTTACTCACTAACTCCCTCCCCCTAAACAACTCCTCGTTTCTTTTCTCCTCTCTCCTGAACTCTTTACCGTGGCAATTTCTTGCAAGTTTTGGTATTCAACATAGTTTCCACCGCCAACGACAAACACAATGGCTTCTTGGAACGCCGTCTTGTGTTGACGCGGTGACCGTGAGTTACGGCTCATCTTGGGATCGAAATACAAATAGTCATCTGCTTTTGAAGGTTCATTTTGGGGCGGTGTCATGATATCTCCTACGATCTTGCTAATAACTAGTTCTTTACGCACAGGAAGCAGGTTCTTGACACCAGATAAGATGTTTTCAAATCCACCACCTAATCCTCCTTCTTTCAAACGATCTGTCAACTATCGAAATTGATAAAATCATTAATCCATCCATTTGGTCTATTTCATGTTTTCCCACGTCTATCCACAACAACAGCAACAAATAGCCCCCTTAACTTTATCAACTTGGTTGCCCCCCCCCCCTCGAGCGAAAATCCTTTTCTAACCTTGTTTCCAATACTGCTAAAGCCGCGGAATAAGTCATTTTGGGAAAAGCCTGAACCTTGACCGGGTGTAGGCGATGAAATCATGGACGTCATGCGCATCAGCTGTCGTACTCTACGAGTTACATATGCACGCATTGTGAAATCATTCCACGGGACAGAATAGTTAGTAAGACTAGTTATTATATCCGTTTTTCTTTTCGCTCCCTTGCTCCGGCTCTTTACCTCTTGATATAATTCAAAGGTGCTAGATCACATCCTGCTGCCTCCAAGGCCTTTTCATAACCAGCCATATCTTCTTGAGAGATTTCCTCGGTAATTGACAGATAGTAGATCAGGAAAAGACGCATCTTGTCTTCCGGATCTTTCTTTTCTTGATCTGAAATGACTTCCAACAATATACTCTTATTCTAGTATATAATTGCACGACACCAGCCAAAATGAATTAATACCTATTGTTCTCTTGATTTATGCTCCGACACCAGAACCTGTCAAGCCAGTCCAATCCCACTAACCTGTCGAGTGATATTCTCTTCAATCTGAAAGAATGTATCCAACTGCCGATCTTTGATCTTATTCAACAACGCAGTCGCCACGTTCATGTGCATGTCCAGGGTCGCTTTTCGTGCGGTCAGTTCCGGTAATGCAGTAATTGCAGATTTAAGCGTCTTGGTGTTACTGGATAGGTCAAGCTGACTGACATCCTCCAATGAACTCACACCGCTCATGCGTGTAATTTCAGCTGCATCCTTCTTGTACTTGTTCAGCTCAATATCAATGTCCTCTAGTTTTTTGGGTTTAAATTTTGAGATAACGTTCTTCTTCGCGATATATACAAGTTACTTACCGGCTACTTGCGGAAATGGACTCGAGGCATTCTTGTTCCAGAAAAAGTCTTTGTTTTCGATGTCGTAGCTCTTGCGAGTTTGATTGATCCGTTCGTCGGCCTTGAATTTTTTAAATGAATTACATAAGCAAATCCTGCAATTCCCAATTATTTAATTTCTCTTGACCCCGCAAGCCCTCCCCCAACGATTCCGGCCTCAAAAGACGTACATCGACAGTGATACGGTTCAGATTCATTTCCAGTACGTCGTGAATGAGTGATTGATAAGTCCACGAGTGACTAAGCATGGGTGTCAGATCCATATTTCTGTCCAGCAGAATCAATACTAAATGGAGGGGTCAGTGTGCTTTTTTTTTCTCGCTTTATTCCCCCCACCTTTTTTTCTCCTCCACTGATTTCATCCGCCTTCAAGCACAACTATGATGTAATTACCAGGTCTTTGCAGACTGGACGAGCTTTCCGAAAACAAATTAGTGCGCGAGTTCATTAAATGATCACGTAACTTGCTATCCAGCTTGTTGGCGATCATTTCAGCTGCATTGCCGCGTGGACACCGAATAATGGGAATTACACCTACAGTAAACATACATAGGATACATCTAGTAAGCAATTTATACACATACAAAATTGAAGCATCACGCCTCTCTTTCTCTTTCTCTATCTTTCTCCAATTTTTTTACCCATTGTGACAACAACAGAAAACAATGCATTGACAGTTTTATCGACAGTTTCATCAATCAAGGTCTCAGCCGCACTCGGGTTATTCAAATTGACAAACACCTCTGACTGATTCAATGAAAAGACGTCTGGATTGGTGCACACAAAGTTGAGGTATTGATCATAGACTTGACTGATAAGATCCGATGTATCGTTTGCGATCGTCGTGGATGCAAGCTCTTCCATAATAGGACGTGGAATCGTAGAGGCAAAGTTGATATAGTAAGAGTCGTATAATCCACGTTGCAAATCCTCGCACATCTTTTTCACGTTTTCGGATGTTGGTTCGACAAAGTAAACTGCTGGCACGTCGGGTAATGATGAGCGATCTTGGGATAGTAACCTACGCATATTGTTAAAAGCATTCGCGTATGTGTCAGTTATATTACACTTGGTTTCTATAAGCTTCTAATGTTTCTATTATTGATATATAATGCTGATTTGACAAGCAACAGTATCTTTACATATGAACAGTAACGCCGTTTTCGCGAAGATCATTGACTCGCATAATAGACGAGATAATATCTTGGCCGAACTTGTCAAAAATCAAAGTTTTCCATAATACACCACCAGGAAGTTCGGTTGACGTTGTTGTAGTGTTTGCGACATCATAAGCTCCTTCCGAGTTAGAAGCATTCAAATTAAGCATGGACGCGACGGCAGCTGCAATTTAAAAATAAAAGGGATTGATTGGTTGTTACATTTTAGAATAGATCCTTTGTGCGATGAAACATGATGTATGAGATCAAACATGCATAATATAGGCGATATTGTTTTATTAGACATACCGTATTGCTTGGAACGTAAAGAGTCAGCATCGCCATTCTGTGTGGTGGTTAAAGCGGATTCGTGTTGCATGGCGGGAGGGGGTAGTCGTAGATGGTGGAGAAAGCAGAATCGGAAGGTCGGAGTGGAGAGGTTGGTTTGGAGTTATTTCAAAGGCATAAGCAGCTCTGATCTTCAAAAACGTGGCACGACCTTGGCACCTTTCAAAGGTACACTAAGTAATTAGGTTGGGAATGCATATATGCAATGTATCCAAAGCGACTTAACAACATATGCAGCTTAATAATCCTTTTATATTAACGATGGAAGTGGGGGGGGGGTATGCGCAAAGGAAAGAGCTATTTATTTTATATACATGGTTTAATGGAGTGTTTGGAGGTAACGATCACTTTGCATTGACGTTGGTAGCCAGCTTTTTCAAGTCACTCCCAGGAAGCTGTTCCTTGCCACTGCTGTAATAGTTAACCGCGCATTCAAGCTTCCACCTTCGCCAAACATCTTCTGACGAAAATCCCATCTTCTGCCAAGGCTTCTGTTCAACTTGTTGTTGTTGTTTCTTTTCTTCTTCTTCATCCTCTTCGTCGTCTTCATCCTCGCTGGTGTATCGTTGTAAAAAGACTTCGCGATTATCATTAACCAAGTTAAAAACATACTGAGCCGCCTCGGCCGCAATACGATCATGCCGCTGTCGTCTTGCCGTCCACTGCTCATAGCGAGTCTTGATAAGTTGTTCGTCATCACCATGATGATTCAATTGGTGTGAATCACTGTCATTAGCGTTACTACTACTACTACTACCAGCAGCTAGTTCACGTGCCAATGCTGCCTGCGTCTCCAATTCAAGCTTTTCAATATCGGGAATCAACTTTGTACGCAAAAGGACGCTCAAAATGTTGGTCTCGTGTTCTGTCGTGGTAGGAACATAAGGATGCAACATGAGTTTCGGTAACGTTCCGTTGCTGCCGGCTTCAATATACCCGTAGAAATCTTCAGACAAAGATGCAAATTTGGCGGTTAACATGTTGAACTTGTTGAGTAGATCCGGCCACGTAAATGGATATTTTGGTTCTTTGAGATAGGCGATTTGAGATGCAAAGGTTTCTTGTAATGACCATAGTTTACTGCGTAAGGCTTCGAGTTCTTGGATTGTGTTGGGATCGAGACTGGGCTGGCCATGGCGTTGATGATCCATGATTCTTTTTTGTTTTGTGAAAGGGGGCACGTGAGTGTGTATATGTATATGTTATGTGCTGTAGAGTGTAGGGTTAAAGGACAGAAAGAGGAGAGTGCTGACTTTGCGAATTCCTTGTGGAAGAGCAGTAAGCTTTTTGATTGATTTTCTTGACAGCAAATATTGTGGTGCGTTCATTCAAATATGCCGTTACTCATGGCTAATAACACACTATATTACTACAAGCTATCACCTTATAACTACATAAACACCTCACCTTCTATCGCGCCTATGCTTTCCCTGTTTTCCTCATCTTTTTCATCATCGTTTTCTTTTTTGTTATCTAATCTGTTCGCGAGCTCTTGTTCGATTAGCCTTCGCCATGTCGTCAAGCGCCTATATACATTCAAATAAGGTCTAATAACTTAAAGTCAATGTTGTGTAGGATAACCAGAACTCTAACACATCCATAGTCATTGATACGACTTACTTGCTTTAAATACGGGTCCTACGCGTTGCCATTTGGCAGATATAGCTTTCAATATACTATACACCGATGGTTCGCTCAACTTCGTCGTAGTTTATCAGCAGGAATAACAGAGAGGACGTACGTTTCTTCGCGAAAATCTACCAGTACTTTTCTCTTGCTACAGTCCTCGGTTTTTAGATAGGTGCTGTTGTTGTTGCTACAGTTACTGCTACATTAGTAGATAAAGAAACAAACTTGCGGTGATGACTTTAGTTGATATGCAAAATTGTTCACATCGAAGCATGAAGCTGTTGAAAAGAGAGTTATCGGGAAGTTTTCGACTCTATGATGAATAAAACTAGTATGTCGTAGTACGCCAACTGTAATGGAGCTTTGATATTTATACCACGGTCGACAATCTATCCACTTCATCACTCTGCGAGCAGGATTTATTCTATACGATAGTATCACTAGTAAATACTGAAATCAAGTTTATATTCCGAAAACGACGACAAGCACGGAGCTGGAGCCATTTTGACACATGCGTGCACTATCTGGTGAATTAATGGAGCTGTCTAGAAAATAGTCGTATTGAAACAACCATATATTGCACAATATCATTGTGTTCTATTGTTGGTCTTCTGAGCTACATGATCTATTTCAAATTGAATTATCTGTGCTGATCTGAACTACTACTTCAACGTGTTAGCTGTCAAAATTTCTTGATTGCCATGGCAACAGCGCTCCCCGCGCCTCTTACTTGCTAAACTGGGCAGAGCAGTCACTCTTTTCAAAACTTCTGACTGTATACTTTTCAGGCCTTCTTGTGTAAGAACGCAAAAAAAGTGACAACACACTATATAACACATAATGTTGGCGACTCGAGGTGTTTTGTTACAACGTAGTTTACAACCGTCAACAGCAGCAGCAGCAATTAGCGCTGTCTTCAGACAACGCATTGCTGGTCAATGTCTGAAACGAACTGCCTCCACCGTCACCACAGCCACCGACAACGCCATTCCCTCAGGACTTCCATTCATGTTCTTCAAGCAAGGTATGAAACTGACACGAGCTTATATATACGCGCAAATACTAAAAGGAAACACTGTGTTTGTAAATATGTTTCTCATTAGTTCCTGAAGCACCCGTCTCTCAGTCTGTCACCGAGTACCTTTCTCAAATGCGACCATTTTCCGCCCCACCTGCACCTCTTCAACAATCGATCCACACACCACCTTCGTCCGAAACACTGAATGAGGGCACCATGTACATGACGAGCATTTTACGAAAGCGACGTTTGAAAATGAACAAGCACAAGCACAAGAAACTGCGAAAGCGAACAAGGGCACTGAGAAAGAGATTGGGCAAATAAAGATTATAGACCTTATGATGTATATTTTAGAAAGCAAAGAAAAAAGATGTATTATGTACGTGTTGTTGTTGTTGCTTGTGTCGTTGAATGTGAATATGTGTATTGTTGATGAGGGAGGTTGTTTGAAGGGTGAGGGTAAAAAGGAAAGATATTTTTTTTTTCAATTGTGAAGCTCATAGTGATTCTTCATCATCTCAACATCTCTTTGGTTCTTTTCAAGGATATCCATTGTATGCTGTATGCCAGTTTGTTGCTCTCCCAGGACCTATAGTAAAGATAGCAGTCGTCAATATCCTCTCTTTCTCTTTATACTAACATTTGACATTGATTACCTTTGTTATGCTTTCCCTGTTATCACTGCTTACACCATTCCAGCCATGCACATCATCCAATTTGCCGTATTTGCGTCCTGACTCTTTAATCAACTGTAACTGTGCCCATAACTGGCTCAACTTGCCATGGAACTGTTCTGATTGAACCAGCTGTTCTTGGATATTCTCCAACGTCGCACGCAGTTTCTCTTCATCTGCCGTAAGTGGAACCCCCTTGTTGCGAAGCACTTGTGCCTTTTTCAATAGCTACAATCCACACACACACATATATATACGTGTTCCAGGTTTAATATTCATACACGTCGACAAATTCTATATCAAAAGGAAGAAGCTTACCCATATTACTCGTTGGATGAGTTCCATGTGTCGTGTCTTGTACTCCTCTAGTTTCTTGGCTGTTGCCACGGCATCCGTGTTTCTCAACTTGTCGACTTTGGCTTGAGTTTCCTTGAGGATCGCGATTTGTGCTAAAGATTGCCTTTCTTGAGCTTCCATACGCTTCTTGACATCTTCAAATCCAATGGCCAATGCAGGAACAAATCTGAATATACATATATTACACCAACATCAGTACATACACGCACGCATACGCACACGTCGAGTACAGAAATCATCAGCTATTTTTTTTACCGAGATGGATCAGGGTTTTTCTTTTGAGCCTCATCCCATGCCTTTTTGTCGTGGCTTGCAGGCTTTTGATATAAATGGACCTGCTCTTGAGGAACAAGGTTGTAAAAGTAGTGCTTGAAGCGGCAATACGGCGACTGTGGATCCCACCACGACTTTAACAATGCCAATGCCTGCCAGATATTTTGGGGTTTATATTGTTCGCCCGTAGTCAATAATGCTGCCTGCTGTCGTCGTGCTTCATCATCCACTTGTAATAACAGTTGCCAGATTTGTCGATCGCGCTGTTGCTGGTTCATGGTGTTTGTTCCTTGATTTATAGATCATTGTATGTATAGTAAAAATGAGTTATACGCTCTCATTCATATCATTCATTTTATTTACTTACCAGTCAAACCGCCCCCAAGACCACTACCGAATCCACCCAATGACGTTGTTGCATTAGTCGAAGAACCGAATCCTCCGCCAAATCCTCCAGAGGTAGTAGTTCCTTTGTTGCCGAATAGACTACTACTACCACCTAAAGAAGAAGAACCGAATCCGCCGCCAAATCCACCCAATGTGGGTGCTGTAGATGTAGCAGGTTGTTGTAGACCAGTACCTGCTCCTGCTGGGTTACTGAATAAGCTGGTCGTAGATGTAGCAGGTTGTTGTTGTTGTCCAAATCCAAATGCACTTGATGTTGCAGGTGCAGCGGCACCAGTGGAGGTTGCTGTTGGTGCTGTTGAACCGAATCCACCACTGCCGAATCCACCCGTAGCTGTTGTTGTTCCAGACGACGGATTGCCGAATGAAAGTCCCCCGCCACCTAATTGTTGTTGTTGTGGTGGTGTCGCGGTGGTTGCAGCGCCTCCGAAATTAAATGCCATATTTTTATGGGTCTTGAAAGAAGGGAGAATGTAGTTATAGAGAAAGGTAAAATCGCTGGAGGAGAGAAATAGCTTCTTTACCAGAACGCGTATGATAATAAGTTCCGCTCTATTTCAACCAGAAACAGCAGGTACTCATGTCTGCTGGTCTACTCTCAATCTATATAAGCCACTAAAAATGCATGGTTCCAAAAACGGCCCGGAGAGAGTAAGATTGAGATTGAATGCTGGGGCATATATCAGTTTACAACCTCCAACTTCTTATTTACACATAATAATGACTGGTACCGCACGAGAGAAGCTCTATACGCAAAAGAAGGGTTACGGATTCTCCCCAGCTTTGGAACGTACTCGTCAACCTTTCCGAGTGCGCAACATGTTCACCTTACTTGGTCTTTTGGGCTTCACTGGTGGTGTCTGTAAGTTAACTACATTGACAATTTGAGGGGGGGTGGGAAGAATCCCACCTTGTCCTTTTCAAACAAATTTCAGCGAACAAATGAAATAGGCTTAACCTAACAACTTTTCGATGACTTGAACAGATGCTTATTCGATGCTTGCTGTCAAGCAGGACGACTTTAGCGATGTACCCTTGCCCAGCACCTTGCCTGGCGTGCAGGACGTGACCAGAGAACATAAGGACAAGCAATAACGAAAATATATCATAAAGACACTATTATCTTTTCCGTGCACCGTGCAGAGCTCTTTGACAGACACCAACAACAACACAACAATTTTCTTTCTCTCTCGCACACTCACACATACGCACGCACGACACTGTGGATTGTTTACTGTAAATATAATAAAAAAGATGATGATAATGATATATGCTCTTTTGCTCCTTTATCAAGAGAAAGAAATGGATTGATCGGCTAATCTATAAACAGTATGCATGTGCTTTGAAAGGAAAAAGCAAAAGATGAAGAGGTCACATATTACACGGTTGGAGGAAGGTGGGAGGGGGTGGATTGGAAGAAAAGAAAAAGGTGGCGTTATATATATTTAATAGTTTCTGTGCCATGGCCGCTGAACGGCAACAGGAGGAACAGATACTTCAGGACCAACGAGATTGTTTCTCAGCTGGTGATGGCCTTGGGATTTTCGAAAGCTGGATGGCTTCTTGGGTCGAGTTTTGGTTGGCTACATTTGTGGAATGACGCAAGGTTAACACACGTTTGCTAAAGAGGTTCGGTATCAATGACATTTACATGATGCAACGGTGGCGTGGAACTTGTTGGATAGTCGTCAAAGGATAACGGAGCAACAACAGGCTTGCGTGATGCAACGGCAGGTTTTTTGTTCTGTTGTTGTTGTTGATGTTGATTCATTGATGAACTCTCACCAGCAGCAGCAGAAGGAACAGCACTCATTCCCCATACGGGTCTGGGTCGTGCGAGAGCCTTGGGTGGGGAGTTCTCCAGAATGGACTCAGATGAGCTTTTCTTGCCTAAACGATCCTGTAACAGATTGATCCAAGTTTTACGTGGTGATAAGGGCTGTTGTTCTTGTTGCTTTTCGTTGGATACTATAGGAGGGAGTGGTTTACCACCACCACTATTCTTGACGTATGTGGATGGAATAAAGCGGTTCGTCGTCGTCTTTGTGGTTGGTAGTGGGGATGAAGATGAAACTGTTGGCTGTTGTTTCTCTTTTGCAACTGCAGCTTGCCGTAAACCTGGAGCAGCACGATTATTCATTTCTGTGCTAAATGCTTCCCAAAACCCGCGTGTATCATTGTTACTGGGATTACCACGCGAGGGTAAAGAAGAAGGATTAATAGTAGTGGTTCCCCGCAAACCCTTTTCATGTTTTTGTTGCCACTGTGACAAAAGATGAGCTGAAGACATGGTCATCAATGGCCTCCGTTTGTTGGTTTCATCTTCACTTTCATCGTCTGAAAATGGTGATGGGGGTGGTATGCTAGTTATCACAGATGAGAACGATACGCGCTTTTTTGCACCTGCTGTGGATGTTTCCACCGGCGGGACTGCAGAAGTAACTGAATTCGATGATGATGGCGGTTTTACTGCTTCTACTGCTGCTGCTGCTGATGATGATGATGTTGATGACAATGATGATGGTGCTATTGCTGTTTCTGCTACTTTAATTTGCTCTGGAGATTGCTGTTGGTCGTTGATGGGATGTTGAGCGAGCTGCGGCATGTATACTGGCAGGGGATTTGGATATCGTGATAATAACGGGGATGATCTGTCGCTGCTATTGCTGCTTGTGACGGGGATGGCTGGCATGGTCTTGTGGAATATTCTGTGAGACTCGGCCTTTTTGCTGTTACTTCTCGTAGGTAATGACATACTGACTGTTGTGGGTGTCACAGGATCGATTCTCTTCTTGTTGTGATTGGAGCTCTATCGAAATATACTTTAGAAAGCATGCAAATGGATAGAAGATGTAGTGTAGTATAGAAACTGTTTATTTACTTGTTGCTGCGGTTGCTTGACGGGTGGCAATGCTTTATACTGCCGCATGGATTGCTTTGACTTGAACGATTTCTCTTTTTGAGATCCAGTAGATGATGATGATGATGATGATGAAAAAATCTGTGAAAGCGCACTGACGCCTGCTGCTGCTTTTGCTGTAGTAGGCGTGGTTGTCGATGTTTTACGCCCACGCGAAACACTCTGGGACGCAGTTGATAACAGTGGTGGCTCGTCCCGCATGAAGAATTTTGCCGAGCGTTTTGTGGATGCCAAGGATTCGCTGGTCGTCGAGTCAAACTTTTTCGATAAGCCTTTTACACCTATAAATGCATCGCTCAGAGGTCTTGGCTTTTTAGGCTTTTCATCATTGCTATCATACTGTCGCTGTCGTAAAAAGGCTCTGTTAGATGACGGTGGGGTTACACCTCTATTTGTTGTTTGTGCTGATTTCGAGGACTGTAATTGTAATGATGTCCGTTTAGCCGTGTCAACGCTCTCTTGTGCTTTGTCTTGGCTGCTGCTATTGTTGTCACTGTTGAGCTTGTGTAATGCCGAGGTGCTCTTGGATGTGGATGGAACAGTAGCAAGGGGTGGCGGTGAAGGAGCCGATTTCAGGTTTCGTCGAGCGTGGAGCAACAAAGCATTTTCTTCGTGAACTTCCTTCTACATGTATTAAGCATTTAGCAAAACATCTTTCTTCTTCGCGATGGATCCAAATTATGGAAAGAAACGACATACATTATTCTGTTGGGTTATTTGCTCTGCTGCTAGTTGATGACGATCAAACATGGTTTGAATTCTGAGTGGCGGCTTCCGTTCCCGTTGGATGAATTTGGATTTGGTGGGCTTGGGAGGCAAGACGACTGCTGGATCTTCCTTCTGAACAGTCTCGTCGGACGACTCTGAAAGTCGGTGCTGCTTGCTCAAATTATCATCGCTTTTGATAACCAAAGAAGCATCCAACTTGTCTTCTTTCTCCATAGAGTTATTTAACTCCATCTTTTGTATCGATGACGATAATGGTGGTGTGGAATTATCAGTTGCCTGGTTTTCAATTGGACACTTTTTATCGAGTCAAACCGTTGTTCTTCTGGCTTTTTTCGCAGCTAACTCTCCCGCCGTATTTCCTCTTCCAATCTTATCATTTTACAAGGTGAAAATTACCTCGATATTGCTTTCCTCGTTATCACTGTCCTCAAGACTGCTGATGCTGCTGCTGTTCTCTTCAAACTGCGCTTCAGCCAACAAAGACGAAGGAGAAGAAGGAGAAGAAGACACTTCAGTCTGTTGCTTCTCTGTCGCTTCCTCTTGGCTGGTATTACTGTACTGATCAGGTTTCTCTGCTGAGGCTAGTCGATCCGTCTCTTTCTCTTCTCTTTGTTGCTGCTGCAGTGATCGATGAGGAGGAGGAGGAGAAGAGCATGATGACTGGATATCAGGAATACTAGCACGTCGTTTAAATTGTGGTGGCGGCGATGCCGATGTTGCAACTCTTGCCTCGGAAAGCATGGAGAGACGTCGCGCTTGTCGTTCTTTTCTTAAACGATCGAGCTCCTAAACAAAGCAGTGACTTAGTGTTAAGAGAATACCCATGCACACTTTGTTGAATTTCTTACTTCTTCGAGAACCTGAAGCGTTGTAAAATTGGCATAATCCATTTTCACTACCAAGTCAACCGTTTAGTTCCTTTTGTGCTCAACCACAAAAAAATTGTGGGCGCATGTATACAAACTTACGTTCGGCATTAGGAGAGTAAATAGGCGACGGCGTATTCAACGCAATTGCCACAGGTGCCGTCATGTTGCTCATGTTGTCAAAACCTACTTTTTTTCTGCTATTAGCGAAATGAGGGGTCTTTTCCATATACTCTACTTGGCGGCTATGCTTACCAGGCAGCTTTTTGCGAGTGTAAGTATACGTGGGTGAGTATGTGTAGATGATTTGGAGAAGACGAAAAGAGAGCCGAGGTTGTTGAGTTATACCTGTTGCTGTTTGTTGTTGTTGTTGTTGTTGCGAAGCGCGTATTGCATATAGTCCTCCCTCTATTATGCAAATGTAAACACATTACCAAATATGGAACTTCTCCCCTGATTTCGTTTGTCTTGCTTCTTCAAGTGGTGATCTTGTGCGACTTGATTATTTTTACATTTTTCTCTTTCTGATCATCGATTCTGTATGTTGAGAGGGTCTTATGAGCGAATCTAAGCTATGAAGAGGTGGTATGGCTGTCAATATAATATCTAACAATAAAAGAAGCTGTGTGTGTTCACGCGCGAAGATTTTTGGTGATTGCCTTGATAAGCATTGCTTTATTCCTCAATTCGCTCTCTTCTTTCTACTACCACGGCATTTACATGTTGGGCTCATGTAAAAGTTATTCTCCATGTGAAAATGATTGTGCGCAACTATCTACTTATTCGCAATCTGCACGTTTGCCCATGAAGGTAACACCTAGTTACTATCGTCTATCTTCGTAACTATCTCCTAGGTATATATGCCCCCAAGCGACGTAATCCCCGTACATATCGCACAAATGAGCAATACTGCCGACAGACGAAACTTGTAAAAATAAGTCACGGAAAGATTCGCGTACCTGATGTAGAACTTTTTCATATATGCGTAAACTTTGCAAACCACCGCTTGTCAATGAAGCCGATCAATGCACCTTCTTAATGTATGTGAAACCAGCTAGAGGGCAACGAGCTGCACTCGTCATTATCGCTTTATCTTTGCTAAGAGATTAGACAGAAAATGCGAGTTAACAAACGATTAGCACGGAAGAAACAGACCTAGTATGAGGTACTCCGTTGGTCAAAGCGCAGAGTTGGGCTCGGTGCTGTGTAAACAAGGAAGCGACCTAGGCGCCAAGTGCACCTATGCCAACTGCACTTTTACATATGTTACAGTCGGCGCCTCTCATACGCTTAGCTTATTGACCCAGTATCTGACGACTAAACTCTTTTACTTTTAATTATCATTGTCGGTATAATCAATATCACCATTGGCACATATTCTCTTCTTTATCTTACTGCGTCTTCTTCTGCGACTGCATGTTCTTCAGCTACCACAAGCTTCTCCATGACTACTTTATAAAAGGATGCGCTGTCAAACTACTTACTGGTCATTATATCTTTCTCTTCTTCGCGGTTTGCCCTTTGCCTCACGATGATGTGTGGCCGCTCAATGAAATCCGGCTATACTCAATTTAAACAAGTTGTACTGTTTACTTGCCATATTATTCATCTTCAAACATTCAGCTTGCAGCTTCGCTCGTGCTTGCTAATACAGGTTCTCGAGAACTTGTAGGCTCTAACCACCTCCTCTGTAAAATACTCTAGGCAGAGAGACTAGACTTTGGCGGGGTTAAACTCAGGTTGTCTGACAGGGAAGACATATCGATGATGGCCCTATGCAGCACCTTTCGTGTTGGTGAGTAGACAAGGATGTATACCAACGTTTACATTTTAAATAGCCTCGAATAGCTGAAGGCTATGGTAGAATTGTCAAATCTCGTTACCATTCTATCCTTAAGTTTTTCTGGGGCTTCTGGATCCGTAAAAATCTTTCCGTTTTCCTTTATACAGAATGCAATGCTCTTTCTTGGTTTTCGGCGCTACATGCCATCCTTGTGCATGTAAGCGATGAAGATTCACTGCCAGCTAGATCATAAGTTGATTTCCTAGTGGGACATAGTGTTAACATGTTGAATGCGGTGGTTTTATTTAATTTTGAATATGTATAACATGCATGTTAGAAGGAAAAGCAACCCCCGAACATGTTGAAACGTTCTATCTTACAGAGGATAAGTTACCGAGGTAACTAGAAAAGAGTTATGGGTAATGATATACTAAAAAGAAAATGGGAGAAGAGACTAGAAGCAGGATGAAAATGTGACAAGAAGGGCTATTATGTTTATAAAAAGGGGGTGCTTTTAACATTTACAAGAGATACTCTGGAATGTCCAAAGTGCATTGCTTAGTAACGGTACATATCGGGCTTGTAGGGACCAGCAACGGGGATGGAGAGGTAGTCGGACTGGACGGTGGTCAATTCAGACAACTTGACACCCAACTTGCCCAAGTGAGCACGGGCAACTTCTTCGTCAAGCTTCTTGGGCAAGACGTGGACACCGACGGACCATTGGCCGGGCTGGGTCCAGAGAGCGATCTGAGCCAAGACCTGGTTGGAGAAGGAGTTGGACATGACGAACGAAGGATGGCCGGTGGCACAGCCCAAGTTGACAAGACGGCCCTCGGCAAGCAAGATGACGTGACGGCCGTTCTTCATGGTGAAGCGGTCGACCTGGGGCTTAATGTTGACGCACTCAGCGGCGTTGGCCTTGATCCAGGCAACGTCGATTTCAATGTCAAAGTGACCAATGTTGCAGACAATAGCATCATCCTTCATCTGCTCAAAGTGGGCACCAGTGATAATGTCACGACAGCCGGTGGTGGTGACGTAGATGTTTGCTTCCTTGACAGCGTCCTCCATGGTGGTGACTTCGTAACCTTCCATGGCGGCCTGGAGAGCGTTGATGGGATCGATTTCGGTGACCAAGACACGCGAACCGAAGGCACGGAGGGCAGCACTATAGTGTTATGTGCGTTGTGAGTCACGGTTCTTTTGTTGGCGTAATAAATGCACAACCTCCCCACCCCAATGTGTACGCATGTATGCAAGTGTAAAAGAAAGAAGAAAACTTACGCGCAACCCTTGCCGACATCACCGAAACCAGCGACGACCGAGACCTTACCGGCAATCATGACATCGGTGGCACGCTTGATACCGTCGACGAGCGATTCACGGCAACCGTACAAGTTGTCGAACTTGGACTTGGTGACGGAGTCGTTGACGTTGATGGAAGGCAACTTCAAGGTACCGTTCTTCATCATCTTGTACAAGTTGTGAACACCGGTGGTGGTTTCCTCAGAAAGACCCTTGATGCCAGGGATCAACTGGGGGTACTTTTCGTGAACAATGTTGGTCAAGTCACCACCATCATCGAGGATCATGTTCAAGGGCTGACCATCGGGGAAGTAGAGGGTCTTTTCGATACACCAGATGAATTCCTCATCAGTCTCACCCTTCCAGGCGTAGACGGGGACACCAGTGGCAGCAATAGCAGCGGCGGCGTGATCCTGGGTGGAGAAACTAATTTGATATATCAAAATTAGATCAGCAAAAGTACATTCTCGCCATACAGACACCCAATCAGGCTATGCCTCTCCGCCTCTTTCCCCCCCTTCTCCATCTTTTACGTCTCCATTTATCTTTCTTTCAAAACATGAAAAAAACTTACATGTTGCAGGACGACCAGGTAACCTCAGCACCGAGGGCGGTGAGAGTCTCAATCAAGACAGCGGTCTATATATTCAGTAAAGAAGACGCTATGTGTGAGTTTACAAGAGCTTGATAGTCTGTTATAAACAGTGAAATTTTTTTTCTTCAAATCGTACCTGGATGGTCATGTGGAGACAGCCAGCAATGCGGGCACCCTAGCATAACAATAGATGTAACGCATGAAATTTTAAATGAGTCAAACTGTTGTTGGTATTCATCACATATTACAACAACATTGGCAAAAAGCATAACCCTAAAAGATAGGTGCTACTTATTTATTATGGACATTTACCTTCAAGGGCTGGTCGGGGCCGTACTTTTCACGGATAGCCATGAGACCAGGCATCTCCTGCTCAGCAAGAGTAATTTCCTTACGACCGAAAGCGGCGAGGGAGATGTCAGCGACCTTGTAGTTAGCAGCCATTATTATGGTGTGATGAGATGAAGAAGGTGAAGGTTGGGGAAAGAGAACTCTGGAACGCGACGCGGCCTCAAAAATTTATGTTTGCTGTCAGAAGAAAAAAAAAATTTGTTCATCGACCAATCAACACCCCACAGTCGATAGAGTTCTTTATTCCAGTCACAGTTGTTGTGCTTTGCTGGTGTGCAGCTTTTAAGTTCGGCACCGAACACCGCGGTGTCAGTATAGTCTCTTTTACTACTACATCATACCATCTGCTGCATGCACTTCGTTACGCTCAAAAAGATCCTTGGCCTACATGCACATCATCCTGCGTTTATATCAAACATTTTTCATCGTTCACTAGCTATTAAATCGTCGATCTGTTGTAAAAAGACCTACTTTGGATTTCGACTGATTATCGCATAAGCACGCTAAATCGTATAATAATAGCAATGCTGTCTGACATTCCGCCCAATCAAGGCAGCAAAGGTTGTCATGTGAAAACGTTGAAGCGAGCGGGCCCTGCTCTGTGTTACACCGGCCCCATTTTGGACACGAAATAGACATTGAGAGAAAAGCTTTGGGGAAGATGATCTGTTATATCACTCTCCGCTCTTCAATCCAGAAAAGCAAAGCTCTATGCGCTGAAGAAAAAGCAATGCATGACGGTCTACGGTTATGCGGTGTTTGACATACGTAATGTACAGATGACGCAGAAGCAATTGACTTTTGCGATCGAGAAATATGATCTAGTTAAAACACAGACACTTTATACATATGCATACCATATATATATATACTTATATACTACATATTAAACGACCTGGATTATCGATGATAACGGTGTAGCGTTCCTTCTTCCTTGCTAACGAGTTACGTCATATATAGAAACTGATGCGCTCTTGTTTGATTGGCCACATTCACAATTGTGCTTGTGAGACCTATAATATGATGTAGTAAAGCAGAGATTGAACGCAGGACAAATTTTCGCGTTCGACAGTTACAGGCATTTATTGATTGAAATACAAATCACAACTACCCCAAATTGTCGCTATAGTGTAGTAAAGTCAGGAAGTGCAGATCAAACTCCTTTCGCATGTAGAACGGCTATCGCTAAGAACAACAGGTACTCGTAGTAGTTGATATGGAAATTAAGAAACCAGGAGGAACCCTGCTGTCAAAAAGCGCTCTCTGTATACATCAGCAGCATTAAAAAGCATATACTATTACATCCGTTTGGATCATTTAATTAATAGACCAGAATATATATCGGCCTCGCCATCACATCCGCCTATCCCAGATGACTCAGGATTGATTTATATACTTTTTCTCTTTTTACCTGAATTATATAGTAATTTTTATCCGTTTAACGCATACCACAAGACTTGTCATCTCACTACAATCTAATATGGCGGGTAATGCTGGATGAGAAACAACAGCACCATTGACTGTATGTACTTACAGCCTGTTGAGTCACTGATGACAAGAAAAACCTAAAAGCTCACGACCTGCACAGGGTAGCGTCATGTGAGTTGTGCTTTTATGCTGTGAAGCTGTGTGCGAAGTTGTCATTCGTGTGAGAATTGTCAGTTCTGATAAATTTCTTCGTTATTATAATCGGTTGCATAGCCCACTATTGAAGAGTAGGGCTCTGGTTGAGTCCTGCGTTGCCCGGCGGCGCCTTCACTTAGGTAAGTGCACCTGGCACGACGACAATTTCTTATCAACGACTAACATTCCCCTGACCTTTATGTATTACCGTATAGTGAGGATGACGTACCCTGTCCCCAGTGTGCGTAGAAAGCTCGTAAGTACTCTTGGGTATTTTTATGGGTTGTTGGTTTTTATTCAAAATTACTGTTATTAAGCCCAGACATGTCTTACAGGCCAATAGATGCAAAATAAAAAAAATTAAAATACTCTTTTGTAAAAATGCGGGAGCCAGTCTGCTGCCGGTGACGCGATTGCGCAAAGAGACGTTGACGTAAACGTTTGTTGAGTTGATGGATGAGCTTTTTTGTAATAATTATGAAGCTAGACCTTCTTGTCATTTATTGTTCGGTTAGCGGTGTGTAAAAGCCGGCGGCGTCAAATACCTTATAGTAGAGCATGCTAAAATCAAACGTATCTACCAGATGTTGAGAACCGCCGATACAAGTTCTCTAGCTGGCAACCGTAGTCAAGGGTCGCATTTCAGCTAAGTTCTAGTGTCGACCTATACAGACCTTCGCCACCAGAATCGAAGGCGAATCAGCACAGTCTCCATGTCTGCTGTGCTCGTAGTAAAAATTTAGGATTTAGAACATTGGTATGATTATCAGTGTAAGAAAGAGGTATGATACGTACGAAAAGCACATATCATCATTTTGATGATAGCATAAACATACAGTATATAAATGTTAACATCGATAGCGCTCGGCATGATGCTAGTAGTATGCACTATTGTAGATCAGTATCCTAACGTTTCAAAGGAAGATACCCACGATCTACTGCATCTTATGAAGCTTTAGCAATAAAACTATGCTAAAACTGTCAGGAAAGGATAAAAGCTTTGTTGCTCGCATGTTTCTCTTTGTGTTATTCATAAGTCATTTTCTTTACGTGAACTTCAGTTTTAAAAAGAGAGAGAAACAGAGATCATAAGGGCCTCGTTGTTGTTGTTTTCGGAATAGATCTAGTTGAAAAAAATGTTCATGCGGCCACCCATCTAAAAAAAACAATGTCCGAGCTTGACAAAACAAGATTAGGACCAGTAGCAATTACGCTAGTACTTTTCCTAAACGATTAATAGGATAATGAGATCACCGGTATTTCATTATAATATGTAGTAAAGATCAGGTATAGGTAATAAAAACATGAGGGGAGAAGAAAGGTTTTGAGAAATGGCACATAGCACAAGTGCACACAGTACACGTCCATCATCGGTAAAAATCGGATGTTGCTTTCGCCAAGCAAGCATCTCAGCATCAATACGTAATAGGTCTCTAGAAAAGGCGGGTAAAAATGCATAATGACGACAGAAGTGGGTGTGCAAAAAGAGTAAAAGCAAAAGCCTTGTCATGCGCATTGCTGATCACCAGCAAACAACAGCAAACAACGGCAGCAATGAGTAGCAGTGCCATTGGCATGATCAGCAGCAGCAACAGCACGCACGGTATTAGATTATTTTTAAAAATGTCGAGAAAAGTGTTCAAACAGTCAAGGAGTGGCGTGTGCCTGTGCATGTGTGGATGTGGATGTGGAGGTGTGTGCGCGCCAAAAAATTAGTGATAGAGAGTATAGTTATGTACCTACAAGCAGGGCACATTATAGTTTAAAGTTTATTTTTTACGTAGCATGGACTCTTTTACTTTTTCTCGCTGAGCAGTGTATACGTAGTTACTATTATAATCTTACCACCCATGACGGATGACGCAGGAAAATGCACATTGTGTATTTCACCGCTTTTTCTTAGACTGATACTACTCATGTATGCGCCTCTTTTACCTAATTTTACAATATTTTGCGCACTGCATAATCCTCGTAGTTTCTACACTGAGACGTCGATGCAAGCTTTTAAACTGATTATCAGCAGAAGGAAGAATAATATTTTCGACAAAAACAGTTACTAGATGAGTGCAAGTAAATCACGATGAACGATTTAAGATTACAACTGCATGCCTCATAGAACGACTGTTGTTTGCTCTTGTTGTGTGACAACACTTGAAGAATACCATTACAAGTATATCAAATTTTTTAATAGATGTCATTGCGACACGCTTTTTTCTTTCTAAAGGAAAAAATAGTATATGTAGGCTAAGTTCAATGGCAATTGTTGCACCATGTGTACACTTTCGTGGAGAAAGATCATGACAAAGAGGCGGACCACTAAACAATTACTGTATTTTATTTCTGACGGAGTGATCAACAGCATACACGCAGCAAGCCACAGGGATGATGGTCAGTGAAAATCTGAGAAACAGAGGTGAGAGAACATTGAGGGATGTGACAATGAAGGAGGCAGCAGTATGCAAATCATAGTTTTTCCTTGGTCACATAAAACAGCAGGAAAGATCCATGCGCATCTCCTAATTTAGAAGTTTTCATAGCATAACAACAAAAAAATCACATGCACATTATAAAAAAATGTTTATGGCTAACTCAACATCAGTATAGCTACTACTAATCGTATCAGTTATCGTTACTACAACAGCATCCGCATCTACTTCTGTACTGCAAAGCATAAGAGCTGCATAAGTGGTTCGATCGATTTTTTGCAAGTAGTAGTTCCAATGATAAGAAGGCTTTATCTGTGTACCTGAGCTAGCGAGTATCTCATCCCCCAATATCCGGGAACAGTACACCGTTTTCCTTGGTGTGGATGACCCTGGAAATGATAACACGGAGGCGCGTTTATGTGTATTAGATGGCTTTCTTATTATATTATTGGTGATGTTTACCAGCAGCATCTCTGTTACCCTTATGCTCTTTTTCCCGGCCTTCCGTTCCCCTTTTCCGTAAGTCGGTTTACTCACTCACTTCATCCCCGTTCGAGTCTCGAACACAATTTCATACAGCACATGACAAGTTTCCTTAAAGCATCTTTTTAGGTAAACCTACTGCTAACTTGGTGGTCCTGTCCGGTAAGCTTCGGGGTAGCAGGAATGTTTATTGTATTGTTGATGTGGCACCTTTGAAATTTCTTTTCTTTATCTGCTTCCCCAACCACACATGCTGTATGCATTAGCTGCTATATATTACTTAGAACCATCTAAATCCCGCAGAACGGCAGTAGTATGCATTATTACCGTTCTCTCATACACTCTAGACGTGCAGCGGCACATATAATAAACATGCGAAAAACACGACGTGATTATCATGTAGGCCCACATATTTTACAACTCTCGTATTTTTTTTGATCAAAAAAATTGATCAAAAAAAAATAAACTAGAAAGAAAACAAACATTGTGTTACAGCGCTAGAATGCTTAGTTAACTTTTGTTTTGGGGGGAGCGAGAGAAAGAAAGAGAAAAAACGAGGGGAGTTTGAGGGTCAGTCGTTCTACAGGACGAATAAAACATAACAAAGAACTAATCTCGTTATTGTACTACCCGTGCATGGACCAACAAGGATCGTCCGGCTATAAGAGTGTTTTATGATGCACGAAGAGGTAAGGGAAGAAGAAGGAGTAAGAAGGGAGTCGACCGGAGTAATTTAGGCAGATGAAAGCGAATAAGGAAGGAGGATAAGTTCCAAATGTTTCAACTTACTAGAAAATAGTGATTAATTACTACGGCACATCAATCCACCGCTCTCCTGCCTGCTAACAGTAGTGTATTAGCCTGGCAACAGTATGTAGTATCTAAGCAACAATAGTGGTATCCATAGAAAAGAAATAGATATAATCTGTTGCCATGGTAAAGACACAATAAGACCAGAAAGGAAGTGGTTGTTATAAGTAGAGTGGCGTTGTTTCCTTTGTGAAAATACACTGGTGACCTAATGTGTAAACAAGGAGCAGAGAGACATGACAACTGATGACAGATGCATGTCAAAAGGCACCGGGTCAGGAAACACACAGAGAAAGATGGAGAGACGGCGCCATTGCTACTATTATAACTGATAATCACCAAACCTTTCTCTAGTAGCTATACTTTCGAGTAAGAAGACGAATTTACAAAACATGTATCGAAAAATGGCTCTGAAGAAAGCTTACCATCCTGATACAGTTATTAAAGACAAGTCATCAGCCCTGAGGGTTGATGATTTGTTGTGTGGGCAGCCATAAGAAAAGCGTGAGGGTTGGTTAGCCTAGTTTTTGTTGTTTCGTCGGTGCCCGTTTTAGGAATTCCGAAATTCAGATCCGGGTGACCGTGCACACTAAAGTGAAGAAGAACCGAGCAGCGGAAAGGTCCAGTACTCGTTGCCATTGTCGTCATTCCTGCTCACCACAGGAGCCAAAAAAAAGAGCAATTCATCCGTTCTCTCTTCTTTGTTTCCAGCTCGTATAGGATTTGTGAGCGTGAAAACACATTGATTCAATTGGTCGCGGAGTGATATGTGCCACAGGGTACGTAACGTAGTGTATCATTACACAAAAGCTATGGCCAACCTTGTTTTCGTATATACACACTGAGATATAAGAGAAAGAGAAACGGAACGATTACCGATGAATGCAGGAAGAATTAAACTTTCGCTTCTTCTCTCTTCTATTCCTCCTCTCGCTTTGTGCGTGTGTATCAAGAGCTTGGGATAGCGTCTCTCTATCTACTTATATCGATCGGATGACCTTTTTTCGGTATGCTCAGTTTCAATTTTGGAATTTTTCGATCAGCCCAACAACGCGCAAGGCATATTGCATCCTGTCTCTCTGCTACACACACTCGGAAATGAAGAAGCACCAACGGTGCAGACGTACAAATTGGTTAATCCCCTTCAATATTACGTGTCATGGTGGGAATTTCATCAAATCAAGACAGCATAAACAATTCATTACTAAATAGCCATGAAGGTAGACCGTAATTTTTCTTTCTTTCTTTGTTTCTTTGGCAGATAAGAAGTTCAGGGGGGCTGTGAGGAACGAGTACCGTACATAATAGCTGTAGCATTTGGATGAGTGTGTTAATAGTGTAAGAAAGGCAGAGACAGAAGGTGCACATACCAACTGCTGTGTTATAATATATTACATACGCCCAATGCTGCACATCCCCCCTTTTTTTCATATAAAAACTTCTTTTTTGATGTATGCTTATGATGCTGGTGATTATGTATAATGCACATCGAAGCGTATTATCTTACAAAAGCCATAAACAACATCTGATATGCAGCATATTTTCTTAGACTTGTATGCATCATCTCCCGAATGTTATTTCTTTGCTTTGCTTATGTACTCCCCTTCCGCGTCTTTGCATATCAATCGGTAAGAAAGAGATCCCGGATTGCCATACGTGCTACAGAACAGGGGAAACGTAGGACGAAGAGCTGTCCATTGCGTCCGTGGGCAGGCTAGAAAGAACACAAAATTCTAATACATCATGTGAGGGCCTTGGAGGAGGGAGAGGGATGAAACGGCGGCACAGAAGAAAATATTTTTCTTTTTATTGGGGAACAGAGTATCTCGTATCCTAAATGCGCGCCATCATCCATTCATTTCAAATCCACTAAGGTGGGTCTATAAGATTGATGTTTATACTATAATTGAATGGTTTGCTTATAATTGAATGATTGGGTCACGGGCACTGTTTACAACTTTTTTTTGAACGGCGCTTACCCACGTACATATTATACGTTTGGCTGTGTGCTATGCTATAACTTGGCCAGCGCAGAGAGTTTCCAATACGACAGCAAAGCAGAAGCAAAGCAAAGCAGACTGCATATACTGATCAAATGTAAATGGTTTGTTTAGCCCAAACGTCACGCCCCGCATCCCACTTTCTTTTGCACCCCCCAAGAAGCTCTTCTTTATTTATATAAGCCCTACTGATTTGTTTTTCCATATCTTTTTCCTTTTCCTTTTTTCTTTCTTGTTGCTTACTTTTTGTTGTATTCTCTCTTTCTTTTCGTTTATAGTTTTTATTTCGTAGTTTGTTGTAATATACTTTTTTTCTATTTTCTTAAAAACGACGTATCTCCACCAGCTACTACTACTGTTAGTATTACTACTACAACACACATCACATCCAACAAAACTTCCTCAACTATCTATACAAGATCATGGCAACTGCAGCTGTTAGGTACGAATATATAACAACGTCATCATAATGATAAGTTATAGTAACCAATCACGGTTGACGATGTAAACTCTCGTCCTACTACTACTGCTACTACCGCTACCATGTCATTCAAAAATAAGAAGAAACTCACATAAATAATTACAATATAATGTTAATATGTAGAGTTGCCTTGCGCGTACGGCCCTTGACACAAAAAGAGACCCTGTGCAACAGCGCCGAGACCATATCGTTTATACAAAACGAACCGCAGATATATATCGGCAATGAGCATTCGTTTACGTACGACCATGTCTTCGATACGAAATCACATCAGCAACATATCTACTCCACGAGTGTACAGCCTCTTGTCGAAAAATATGTCGATGGGTACGTCGTCCAGCTTTTCCTTTTTTCGGAATCAGTTCCGATATTTTTTTGTATTACCCTCCCAGCTTCTACGCGAATAAGTCTAATACTTCTTTTTCCCTTTACTGTTTGCTATCATAAAACTGATAGCTTTAATGCGACGATTCTTGCTTACGGGTACGCATAACAAATATATATATATATATATATATATACTTAACTGGACAAAGCAAGAACCTGTATTAAGCTGATATGTTCTTTTATGCATAATAACTGTCTATCGATAACCCAAACAGCCAAACAGGCTCTGGCAAGACATATAGTATGGGTACAGCCATCGATGGCAATACAGATTCTGATGATAATCAGGGTACGTCAAAATGATATAGCACATTCTTTCTACTTTGGACGAATACATCCCCTTCCGGCTCCTTCTCTCGTGTTTTTTATCACACATATACCCTCTTACATATCCACACCAACACCCCTTTTTCGCCTCTTCATATGAAAAACATTCTAAAACCCTTTGCGCATTAAAAACATGTTTTGGACTCCTGATAGGTATCGTGCCTCGTTTTATCCGTGACTTGTACGAACGTCTTGACCACAAAAAATCCAGCTACGCTTCCGACAACTTTGACTATGAAGTGCTGGTATCATTTCTAGAGCTCTACAATGAAGACCTTGTCGACTTGTTAAATATGCAGCAACATCAACGAAGGCGGACCAATTCCGGCTCCAACAATGGTGGCAGTACATGCGACATCTCAATACGTGAAGATATACATGGCAATATATATTGGAGCGGCGTCCGAGAAGAGTCATGTTCAAGTCCATCGGAACTGCTCAGTTTCTTAACCAAAGGCTCTTTGTGTCGAACGGTCGGCTCTACCGATATGAACTCTGTCTCGTCACGATCGCATGCTATATTTTCAGTCATTTTGAAACAACAAGTGCCTGAAGAAGAGAATGAAAATAGTCGAAAAACAATCGTCAGTAAATTCCATTTTGTCGATTTGGCCGGTTCCGAACGGGTAAAGAAGTCATTCTTTGAACTCTCTGTTTGAATTTTAAAAAATGTAGATCTTGCTGATATCTAAATGTACTTGTCACTCTTGTATCGTCAATCTTTTAGTTAAATCGAACCAAAGCGGAAGGCGTCCGTGCACGCGAAGGCATAGCCATCAATTCGGGTTTACTAGCTCTTGGCAACGTTATCAGCGCTTTGGGCGATGAATCGCGTCGATCGACACATGTGCCCTATCGCGACTCAAAATTGACACGTTTGCTTCAAGACTCACTAGGTGGCAATTCACAAACGCTCATGATGGCCTGCGTCTCTCCAGCTGATACCAACTTTGTCGAAACCTTGAGTACTTTGAAATACGCCAACCGCGCACGCAACATTAAAAACCGTGTCTCTGTCAATCAAGAGTTTGCTGGCTCATCGGTTGAAGTCAGTCAGTTACGATCACAGATTGCCAAGCTCAAAATGGAACTCAACACATTACGTGCATCTGCTGGTACTGGCGGTGTTTCCTCAGGTGCCATGATGCCACCTGGGTTCGGCGGTGGTGTTAGCAACATCAACAACGGCCAACACACTGCTGAAGTCAATGCTTTACGTCAAGAAATCAATCGTTTGCGTGCCCGTGTTCAAGAAGCTTCAGATGAGCTATGCCAGGTTTCCGCTGAACGCGACAGTCTAGTATTAGAGCGTCAGCTGAGTCATTTGTCTTCGGAGGATATGCCAGGCTTGCTCGAGCAGCTGAATGGCAATTTCAATACCGATAACAGCGATAATGACGGCGCTGATCATGGTGACAACAACAAAAACAACGACGAGAACAGCAGTAGTAACAATGCTAAATCGACGACGACCATTCCCATGATCGCCCATTACCAGAAAACAATCAAGGATCTCCGCAACGAACTTCAGGACACACGTGAACGCTTGGCTTTCGTTGAAAATACACAAGCACCCATGATGCATGCCTTAGCCATGACATCGCACATGACTCCCACCCCTTCACTGAGTACAAGTGCACGGTCGTCATCGCGTCGCCGTAATGGTGGCGGTAATAGCTCTTCAAGTCGTCGAAAACGCGGACATTTCACAAATGGCAAAACTGTCGGCAATAATGTTACTTTCCGCTCATCACGCGCTTCCAAGACACCAGCAACCAAAGCTCGTCGTGCAGCTGCAGCTGCTGCTGCTGTCGCCGCCGCCGCGACAACACCGTCGAACGGTGGAAAAGATGCAACAACAGCTCCTCCAGCTCCGATTCCTGTCGCTGCTACCGATAACCAAGACATTGAACAGTGGTTGCAAGAAACGATCGGCCCGTTTAATTTCAGTGGTACCTCGGAAATCCGTACAGAAGTTCGTGATTCAATCAGTAAAGCCCGTATGGAAATCGAGAAGGGCATGAAAGTACTTGAAGATGTTCGAACAAAAGAACAGGAAGAGGTAAAGAATGATTATTTTTGTCACTCCATTCCCCGCCCATATACACCCGTGTTTCTGGTCCTCAAATGAATTTCGTAACTTTAGCAACAGCAACAGCAGCAGCAACAAGCACAGCAGCAGCAGCATGAGTGTGAGCTGATGGCTGATGACGAGTTGTTGCGAACACTCCAGTCCAAAGAGAATGAATTTATCTTTGCCGATCTCGAGCATGAAGAGCTCTTGGATGACATCCAACGTGTTGTAAGTGTCAATATTCTATAATTTATGCAATAAACATAGATGCACAGATATGCAGATACTACAAATACAAAGAGCTAACTGGATTTATGTATGTGACGTATAGTCTCCGCCCGCATATTGGGATAGCTTATCAGAAGGTGATGGAGAAAACGCTTCCAAGGCTGCAACTGCAGCAGCAGCAGCAGCAGCAACAACAACAGCATCAGCAGATGACTATAGCAGCAGCGCTGGTGGCCACTCTCGACTGTCATCCGGCGCAGATACGGGCTTGACCGACGACACTGAACTTGCCGCCATGTGTGATGCCAACCCACACTTTGCACGGATTATTTCCCAAGTCCAATCCGATATTCACGTCAAAGAAGAGCTTGTCACGCAGCTGGAGCGATGCGAGAGCGAATATGTGCACATGCGGCGCAAATTTGAGCAGAAACTTGGCAAGCTGGGCCACGAAATCCTTTCCATTAAACGTGAGCGTGATGACGTGATGCGCCGTGCAGCGTTCAATGAACAACAACAGCAGCGTCAGCGACTTGCACGCCGTGGCAGCGACGCTGTGAGCCAACGTGAAAAGCAGCAACTGGTGGAGATGCGCCATGCTTACGAGATCAAAATCAAGACCTTGTTCACTCAACTAGCGGACTTACGCCGCAAATACTCGCAACGCTCGAGTGCCATTCAGTCGTCGCGTAACCAGAATGAAAGCATGTTGCGTGCCTTGCGCGTCAATGTCGAAAGTCTCAAGATGGAGCGCCGTCGAATGATCAAGCGTATGAAAGAAGAAGCCATGCGTGTGAAAGAGAAAATGACGGCCCACGAGCGCGAAATCCAGCAATTGAAACGACGCCAACAGCGTGATGCTGAGGCTAAGCGTCGTTTGGAGCGTGAGAACAAAAAAGTACAAATCATGCTCCAGAAACGTGCCGACGAAGCTGTCTTGACCAATGACAAGTTGATGAAGCTGATCCAGATCCTGAAAAAGGCTGTTCGTGAAGGTGGTGTGCTTGACGAAAAGCAGTTGGCCAGATGTGCCGACTTGTTGCATATTGGTACGGCATTGGTGGCCTCGTCCAGCGTCCGGCTACGACAAGGTCGAGCAAATAACAGCTCATCCTCCTCTTCCGCTAAAAAGTCAGCTGCCAGAGCTGCTGCAGCGGCTGCACATATTCCCGTCCAAGTGCGTGCAGCAAAAAAGAAGCACCTATTGGACCGTGCATTGTACCAATACATTGTTGGCAAGCAGGCGATGCTTGAAATGCAGCAACTGATTACCAAACGCGGTGAGCTGTCCGAAAAGAAAAAAGAGCTTGTCAGCGAACGCGAACACTTGTTTGGCAAGCCCGGATCGACCCAGATGGTGCAATTTGATCATGCCGTGCAAAATTACATGGACGACCGTATTGAAACCATGACGGCCGAGGTTTCTTACATCAATGCTCGGATCCATGCCTTGCATAATGATGCCGCCTATGCCATTTTGCAAGACGATAACGACGATGATGCATCGGTAATTGATATTGACAAGCAGCAACAGCGATCGGTGAAACATGTCACGTTCGCAGACGAAGTCATGGGCACAAGCAATGTCGATCCTGAAGATGAGTGGCTCGATATGGATGCCTTGGAGGAACGTTACAGTCTACCAGCCAACGCAGATCCAGAAACATCGCATGATATGGCATTAAAAGTGATCCGATCCTTGGCGCACGACGAGGCCGAAAAGGTGATGGAGGCCATGCTCAACGACGTGACCACGTTGCGTATGGACGAGCATACCCGACAAGCACACGTGCAACAGCTCGAGAGAAGTATCCAAGATTTGCAACACACCTTGATGGTTATGAAAGACAAGGCAATCCAGACGGCGATTGAAAGCGAAAAGAAGATCAGGCGATTAGAACAAGGTTCACGCCGGTCATCTTTCTGTGGTGGCGCGACTACTGCTACTAGCTGTAGCGTCAACAATGGCGAGGAATCATCCTCAGTATTAGGCGATGACGATTCTGCGATTGATGTGCGAGTCGAGGAACACTACCAGCAATTTGGCACGATTTTCGACCAGATCTATAACGAAGGCGTTGGTAACCTTGGGTCATCGACTTCCCCTGTTTATAACCTGAGTCGTGCCCAATCACCCGTCGGGTCGCCCGCTTCAGGTCCAAGCCCGACCCTGCGTCCAATGCGTCCACAGTCCCTGGTTGATCGTCCTCCTGTCGGTGCTCGCCGCGACTCGATGTCTTCGCCCGAACAGTTTTTGCACCAACTGATGCAAGCTGGACTGATGTCTTCGGCGAACAACAACAAGGGTAACAATGTGTCGCCACCCGCCCCTGTACCTTCGACAGCCATCCAGCCTGTACCAATAACAGCAGCAGTAGCAGCTCCGTCGCCACCATCATTGTCGCCTCGAACACTTCGACCTGCAGAAACGTCTCGGCGCTCATCGGTTCAGTCGGATACCATGTCATGGTCTTCCCACGGCTCCAACACGTCGCCGAAAATCGTACCTCAACATGTCGCCGAAACGCCTTTGCTTAGTCGTCGACGCCGCCGCGCATTTTCGTTGCAGCAACAGCAGCAGTATAACCAGCACCAACAACCCAACACCACACCGTCCATGAGCAACAATGCTGCTGCTATTGCCGCAATAAAGTCGCGACGTCGATTCTCGCTTAGAGAACTGAGCTTAATAGGCAACAACAGCAGCAACAACGGCTACGATAGTGTTCTGGCACATCATATTGCTCATCAACCCTCTCCATTACAACAGCAGTTTGTTATCCCTGACCGTCACAACCAACAACAACAACAAGACGATGACAACAACAGTCGTGGTTCTTACTCATCATTCTCACCACCCCATTCACCATCGATCATTCCGGTGGCGGCGGTTTCAAGAAGCAAGCAGCAGATTTCGCCACGATTGAACCCGCAATATACCCGCCCTCCATCGTCTGCAGGCGGGAATGTATTTGATCGTTTATCCAGTGTGCATACAAAGGCATCCGAAGCCAAACGTGCAGCAACACCTGTCATGTTTTAATTATTATCCATTCGTTATTTTATAACAACAAAAAAGAGATTTTTTTTTCCTTTTGTACAATATTCGCTCTTCTATATACCATCACCATCATCATCTCTATCGCTGTATTTTATTGTCTACCCCCTAGTATCGTTATATAAAGGTGGTTTTCTGTCATTGAAGCTATCGCTCTATCATCCGTTATGTTTCGCAGCAGATTTTTCCATTTGAAGGGCATGTTTCAAACTGAAACAACAAAATCATGCAGTGGATTCTTAATAATTTGAAAATCAGGGTCCCCTGCGTTGGGTGTTGGTCGGTGAGAAAAGCATATAAAAGAGAGCGAGAAACACTCGTTTCTCGCTTGATTCTTTTTCTGCTTCTCGCTGTTTTCACACACACAATAACAATGCCTCGTAAGACGTCAGGTCCCAAGCTGTTCAAATGCGCCGGTTATGGCGATTGTGATATGGTCTTTACTCGCAGCGAACATCTTGCTCGACATTCTCGCAAACACACTGGAGAGGTAACAACAGCTTTTCAGTAACAGTATACTTCTCAGATGTAACTGACAAACTCTCGATTGCTATTAGAAACCATTCAAGTGTATTGTGCCCGGATGCGAACGTATGTTTAGCCGTTTCGACAATATGATGCAGCATACCCATACACATGAACGTTCACAACATCAACATCCACAAAGAAGACGGTCCTCCGTGGCTCAAAGTTATACATTACCACAACCATCTTCTCAACCGCAACAACAAGAGAAAATCCCTCCATTCTCGAAAGTTGTTGCTGGAATACCACCACCACCACCGTTTTCGCCACCTGTTCATGAAGCCGAAGAACAAGATTCGTCCTATGCTTCCTCTTTGTCTCCTTTATCGCCAACTGGTCTTTCATCTGAATACTACAATGATCCAACTGTCATGACCGAACCAAATTCGCATCAAGCGGATTGGCGTCCTACAAAACGCAGACTGTCAGCCATTGATCTGCAAACGCCGATTGAACATTGGACAACAAAGACAATTGAGGTCATGCAACAGGATCAACAGAATGCTGTATTGGAAGTTGATAATGATTACAATCTTATTGGAGTTGACAATGACAACGCAGTGGTGGATGTTACGCCGGAGGAATATGAAGCAATTCAAGGCTTTGGTCGATTCCACTCACAGTCTATGGTTCGTCGTTCAGACAGTCCGGGTGCTCGGATGCAAGTCAATTTCTTTCGGCAGCATAGTTTGCCTGTTCAAGAATCGTTTCAGCGACCTGCTCGATCTCATGCCATATAATATACGTTACTTTCTCCTTCATGACGCTTTTGCTCAGCATAACAAAAAACCAAAATGCTGTAATTTGTACCATAATAGTTTAAAACCAACAATCTTGTAAACAAAAAGCACAAACACACAATGGATCATTTCTATGACTGTGTCTCTCTATGCATATACACCCAACCCCACCCCTTAATGTCATGTATATCATCTAAGAAATAAAAAGACCCTCCTGCCCCTGTTGTAGTAATATTGATTGAATTGTCCTTCTGTTTCTGTTTTTCGATTTTGAAGATCATAGCATGTGTGATGTTGCATTGACGTCAAAAAATAGGGCGGACTATACCAAATTTGTCAACGAGTACCAGAACAAAGGAAGTGCCGTTTCTGAGAAGAAAAATAAAATTCAGGGCGGTTTTTGATGATGATCATGTACTTGATAAAGATGACATCATAGATCAATCATCTTTTACACGCAAAATTGTAGTTATTCATATCACACAAACTACTAGTATAGTCTGTTCTCGCTTTGGCAAGCCAATAAAAACGAATGAAGCTCTGAGTATCACCCATAAAACTGCTATACCAGCCAGATATTGTCGTAATTTTGAATTCAACAAGTCAGTTAATACTTTTATGTTCTGTTTCACTTTTGTGTACCCCCCTTATTCACTAAATGCACAAGACTTGATGAACTTCTTGCTCACTTATATTTATGCTGCTGTAATACTTTTGTCATTCAACAGACCTGATGGAATATGTAAGTTATTTCGATGCTTATCATCAGTTGGGATGATGAGACACCATATTCTTGCGTTGAATTGGTTGTTCAAAATGTATTCCTCTTGGAGCTTAAAGATACAATGTATACAGTGGAGAGTTTGTCATCATTCCCTTTTTAGCAGCTCGAATATTGCTCCAATAATATAAACGAAGCCAGTCCACCTTGTTTCATTTAGTAATTCGCAGACCGGAACATTCTATATATAACGGAACGTATACTTCAAAAGCAATTGTTCTATTCTATCACTTGTTGTTATCTCGCTCCTCCTTTCAGTACTCGCCTATCCGACTCGCGGTTCTTATATGACTACATCAACATCCACCACAGACGTAACCATCCTTTGCTCCTCCATTCAGCCTCCATAATTTGACCCGAATTAAAACCATGACTGTGGATCTTACGGAATACCAAGCCCATTAAGACATTGTTCGAGCATTTTACTGCGTCGCTTCTTATTGGATTCAATTTTTTCCCATCTCTTTTTTTGCTGTCATCCAGCAACCGATCGTTTGCCTCATAACCTGTATGTCCTCCAAAGATGTTATACATTTTATCTCACTACTATTTCATAACGAGCTAATATGGTTTTGCTTTTTGAAACTACTGAGCTCTAGGAGCAGAGTATCCGGATGCTAGTTAATGTAGCTTTGGCGGCATTCAAAGCATTTGTGAGCGTTCTTGTTTAAATACTGATTAATTACCGTGATTAATAGTGCAGCCTTGCAATCCGAGGATACTTCTGTGAATGGTTTACATCGTTACACGGTGGCTGGAAGCTATAGCAACAACATAAAACGATTGCCTTCTGCAACGACTAATTAGTTCGCCTAACTTGACATTTTTTTGAATAGCTTTTTATATGGATATAGAATGGACTATAATCATACCGTTCCTGACCTGGGCGACTGTGGAGAGCTGAGATGGTGGCAGATCTTGAGATGCGTTGTTATATTTCAAACGGGTTGCGGCAACCCAGTCAATGTGCCGCTGTCAAGCTTTTTCTTGCGCCGTTTTCTAGGCGCACTGCCTTTGCTGTTGTTATTATTGTTGTTGCCCTTGCCACTATCATTGACTTTTGTTGAGCTTTGTGCAAATGACATTGTTTTTTTTGCCCAAAAAATGATAATCAAGTAGTTTTCGTTTTTTGATCTTGGCTGTGTTTACAGCCGGGTATTGGATGGTATCGTGTTGATTATGACATGAGCTAAAGTACATATAAGCAGGCGAAAGATAAGAGCTGGGTGTGTGTGCCAAGTACGAATCCCAAGTCTTCAGGCAACACAGTTGTATTGTGTGACTCGGATTATTATAGGAACAATCACTTTATTTATGAGCTGAATAAGTGAGAACAGAGTTACTTTATTCATGTCGTTTTAACTTGACATGATCTTATGGATCGTTTGATCCAGTAAACGACAACATGTCTGGTTTACAATTGATTGCGCCTGTCGCAGCTAGAAAGTTTCTTCGGGTCCTGGTGCTACTGCTGTGGCACCAGGGTTCTCTCATTTGCATCGCCACTACTAGTATGCATGAGTGTTTGCTGACACCCATTCATTTTATCAAAGTGGTAATCTATGTTTTTGCTAGTTGTTCTCCAACTAATGCTCGCTCCATGTTCCCATAAAAAGCAAAATTAGCAGGCTTTTGACAGGTGATTTGACCAGATATGCATGTATGAAAAGTGCGACTACTTCCCTCTTGTTCAAACGAATTTATATTTATTTCCATCAATGCTCATTGAGATCAGACTCTAAGCACTGCACTTGATCAAAAGGTCGCTTTTTAATGCACCTGAGTTTGTATATACTGATTGCATATCGCACGTTAATCAAGCTCTACTTTTACTGCTAGTAGGTTGTATCTCTGCCACTGCAGTCGGCCACTATGATCGAGTAATGATTGTCAAACTATATATCATGCAGTCTCCTCGTAACTGAAACTTATTACAATTACATGCAAACAATATGCAAGCAGCTTCATCTACTACTGTAATTTATTACATTCGAGAGCATTTCAAAACTTTTTCCCAGCAACTTCATGCTTTGGCGTGAAAGTTTTTGTATCCCATGTAAGGACACCGCTTCAAGGTTGTTGTTGTTGTTGTTGTTGTGAGCGGCAACTATACTTTCGACAGCCTTATCCGTCATAACCACGTTACCAAGCTCGAGCTCTGATAGCATAGGAAGGTTCTCCGTTAGTGCTGATGCCGCAATTTCTTTCAACGTCTGATGCCATTATAACTCTAGCAATATCGCTGCAAAGACGTAAATCAAAACCCAAGATTAATAGACTCGTGATCCTGCCACAAAGGTGAAGAGTTGAGTCGTGACACGACTACATTGGACTATTCGCAAACACTTGAGGTCAGTATATTGCTGTTGTCGTTGTTGCCGTTACTTCCTGTCACCACGACTAGTTTCACCAATACTGTTTTTCGACGTTGTGGTTGTACTTTTTGTGGCTCCCTGTTGCTCGTATTGTCGTGCCACCATTACAAAATGCTCAATTGGTCGATCAAAAAAGCCATCAACCCGTACATCCATAAAATGCAGTTCCAATCTTGAGAGCTTGCTTAGAAAAGGAATGGAGTCTAATAAAATCGTCTGTTGGTTGTGGATCTTCTATTGTAGCCTTTTCCAGGTAGAGTGATTTGAGGGCCGGAAAACAGCGTAAAATTGCTGGTAAATGTTCGTAAAATGGCAGACAATCTTTGGATATATGGAAGGTGGACAGTTTGTGCATTGTAAATGCGGAGAGCGGTTCCCAGTCAATGGCAGCAGCTGTATAATTTTTGATTATTGGACCCAAGGTTAGCGACATGGTGTGAAGCAAATTGCTGCTCTTTTCCAGGCGTGAGCGTAAGGCCCTCGCTGAATGGATGTTATGAATTACCAAACGATAGAGTCCTAACCCGGCTTCTTTGTCTGCAGGTATTGTTGATACGTTTAGATCCTCGTCGTCCTCGTCGTCACCCTCTTCTACAAGTAAAAAGGGACCGTTGCTGCTTTCTTTTGTAATCGTTTTTAGCTCGACCAGCTCGGGACAATGCTCGTCGTTGAGCACAGTCAGGATATCATCGCGATCGTAACGATAGTGTGTAGCATCTAGCAATATCATGTGTCTGAGGCGCGGTAGCTGAGAGGTAGAAGCGGGCCAATCGTTGGATGAAGCGATATATTGAGTATATGAGATGAGATTTTCAATCTCGTTAAGGACGACATATTGAATGGTATTACGGTGACCCCTGTTCGCCCGGCATAATGCACCCCATCAAAAGAATAAACTTTGAGCTTAATGCTTATCAAACTCGGACAGAAGGACAACATTTGTCCTAACGCTACACCGATAAGTGATTGAGATATCAGCTCCAAATGTGTCAATCTGTTACCGATGACCGATAAAGTAGAGTATGTAGGTTGAATTAAGATGATATCTGCATTGATATCTTGATCTATCACATATGACAAAAAGCATTTTGTGTGTATGAAAACATGTATTTAGTTTATCTCACTCAACTGCCACGTGATGACATATGAGTTCACTGTGTCAATGACAGTCAGTGATCGCAAGTTTGAAATTTCGTTTGTTTTGATTTTTTTGGGATTTCCAAAAATACGGATTGATTCGACAAATTTGGAAGTAACGGTCATGGACTGCACCTTTTATGTCTAGACGTGAAAGAAGAACCATCGAGTGTCAAGTTTTCCACGCCGGTTAAAGATTAAGAAGCATACGACGCCAAGATCGACACACATCCAGGCATTGTATCACAGTCGCTGTACCTTAAAGCGTGTCAACAAGAATGTGGTCGATAATGTTGCATATGCTCTCATAGGGGGACTCAGTTAGAATATCGATACGTCGCTCCAATCGCGTCTTTACAATGTCCAGGTGTTGTCGAATAAGCAGGACAAGTTGTCCGCCTTCGTCAATGGCTGGTTTTTGCTGCTGTTGTTGCGGCAGAGCATAGTAAAGGATATTGCTCATGTATTGAAATAGCTTCGTGTTGCTTTCCTTAACACGAGTAAAGTTTTCCGGCGAGCCAGTAGCCAGCTGGATTTTGTAATTTTTTTGTATTGACAAGAGGACTTCATCAAGCTTTTCATCCAGTGTTCAGTATGGTATTGCTGTTGCAATACTGAAAATATGCTGCTACTGATTGGTTAGTAAGTTGATCAAGAAATGGAACGTACGAGTGAGGTTTTAGTTTATGTCATCCGCGTTATTTAGACTTAGTCATTGATTTTGATTGCATCTGTTGGACATCCATAAAGATTCTCGTAATCGCTTCGAAATTAATAATAAGGTGTAAGAATTTATCGTTTGCACTGCTTTGAGAATAGCGCACGCGGATATTGTGTTTTGAGTAATTGAGAATAGATCAAAGAGAGAAAGAGAAAAGAATCCTGGAGATACAAGAAAGGTTTTAAGCATCTGTCCTTACACAATAAGTCGGTGCTTCGCTTTTGATATTCTCGGTTGCTATGGCAACGGCCACTATATTTAGCGTAAAATTGGTACCTCGAGTTCAAACGATCTCATGACGTGAGAAGCTTTCCTTCTTGTGCCCATTTGAAAGCTAATTTAAACGGGGTATAGAAACATGCGTAGGTGCATCTTGAAAGAAGTGTAAAATTTTGTAAGAAGAATTCGTGGTGTATGCAATATCATGCCTCAAACACGGTTCTAAAATTCAAGAGACTTTACTATGTCGCGAGGAACATGACTCTTTCGCTTTTCATGTTGCGTCATTAATAGAAGCTAGAAGAAACATATCCAAAACTTGCTTTGCTAATTGTTAAAATTGATAGAACAGAATGAGTGTAAATTTGAAAGAGGGTTGCCTAACGCTTCTTGGCACATTACATACATATCTATTCGATATGCGCGCGTCAACGATCCCGTATATCCGTTGGCTTTAACATGTTTGGCACTTGTACCTACACCTATCTTAAAGCGTGCTACAGTGGTAGCATTGAGTGAAAGTTTATCACTGCCCAAGGAAAGAGAATTCCTTGCTTGAGATTTTGATTTATGTGGATGGGGGTGGGGGTGTTAAGGGCAGTATCGTGAACCCCCAAGACAATCGAGAAGATTTCTTCGACGACAGAACTGGGAGCAGTTTCAAAATGTGTGTCGCCTCCGCCACTGCTACAGCTAGTAAATGCACCAAATGGTGATGTGACGTCCTACTTGAGTTCCTTTCGAGCTACCGATCACTAGGCTATCTACTAGTGATGGTGCGTTACTACGGAGAGTAGTTCTAAAAAAGATACGATGATGCTGTTGTGTAAGAGGGTTCTATACAGAAAGAAGAAGGGGTTTATATCCTGGTGTGCAATGACCATTTTTCTTCTGTGTTCGCTGTATAAGTTGTAGTAGAAGAGTAGCTTCTATTACTCCTCCCCCATTCCCACATTGTACAGTAGATTATTTCATTCTCCCTTATTTTCTTGTCTTCCATCATTTTTCCGCCTTTTAGTACATGTCATAGCTTTTTATGTCGCTTTTTATGTTAACGGGACTATTCGCAGGATAGTTTGAAAACGTTGAATAAGATTTATAGTGGATTTTGCTACTCTTTCTTCACTACTTAGCAATCACCTATCCTAAAACGCGGTTTTTATACTTAACATTGAATGTGCATCCAGCAAGATTGTGCTTATATAGCATTCATCAATTTTTCAATGAACTACCCTTCTTTACGCCACTTGCGAGAAAATAGAAAAGGGAACTGCTCTATGTCTTTAGATATATCTGGAGCAGAGGTGTGAGTGTTAAATAGGGAGTATTCAAGCAGGGGAGCCTTTCACAGGGAAGAGGAAAAAGAGGAAGAAAAAAATGGGATAAATCGAGGAGGCAAAAAGAAGAAAGCAGTGTAAGAGTCAGGATAAAGTTAAAGAAAAAAAAAGTCAAGATAAATAGGACGCCTCCAATCTCCTTCAAGTGTCGTAGCATTTCTCTTGTTGCTTTCCTTTTCTTACAGAAACTTAAATATGAAGGTAAATATATATTTATATATATCTTACCTGTCCGGGGATGACGATGGCTGTATATATGACAACAATAACATATAACGATAGTTGCTAACCAACAACCTGACGTATAAACATGCATAATCCAGTTGTCTCTTTGTGCCTCGTTTTTGCTCGGTGCATCCATGTTGGCGCCCGCCACATTGGCTGACACAGAATACTTTAATTCGCCCCAAGCCGGTTCCGTTTACTACCCTGGTTCAAAGGTCGTCTTTACTTTGGACAAGATTAATGATGACGAAGACAAGGTCATTTTTGCCAAATTGTACAGACATGATGATGAAGAAGCTGCAGTACAACGTCCTACTCTATTGAAAAAGCCACCATCGGATAACAACGATGATGATAAAGACGATAATGACGACGACGAAGGCGACGATGATGATAATGATGATGATGATGACAATGATGATGATGATGATGATGATGATGACGATGACGATGACGATGACGATGATAAGGATGACGATGATAAGGATGACGATGATAAGGATGACGATGACGATGACGATGATAATGATGATGATGATGATGATGAAGACGGTGATAGCTCACAGTAAGTATCACTGTACATAGGTTGTTCAGATACGTAGGACAATATAAAAAGCTCACCATCACATCGTAAAAACTGTAGCACTTCATATGTCGATACCATCAGCACATTCTACGGCGCCAACATTGGCGATGACAATAGTGACTTCACCTTCATGTGGACCGTGCCTAAACTTCCCGCGGGCAAGTACCATGTGCAAATGGATGAACAGCAGATTGACAAAGTTACTCAGAGCCAACAGGGCGATTCGGGTGACCAAGATGACTTGACAAGAAGTCGAACTTTCTTTATCGTGTCTAATGCAGATGCTGCCGCTGCGACTACTCCTAGTGGTATAACTAATACATATGGTCAACAACAACAAGCCCCTTCTTCAGGTGCCAAGGTTCCTCAAGAACAACAACAATCAACATCGCAACAACAGTTGCAACCAGAGCAACAAGTGGTACAGAGCACATACCAACAGCCTCCACAACAACAAACAGTACAACAACATCCCCCAGGATACCGTATGGGTCAACAACAGCCATCTGTTACTACTACTACCACTATCACTAATACTCCTGTTGCTGTGGCAAACAATGCTCTTCGGAAACGTCAGGAGACCAAAGATAAGATTCGTGCCGCCAAACGACAATAGATCCCTCCCTTCTTACTAGTACATAAAAGAAATATCCGTTTTTTCTATTCTTCCCTTCTTTTCCCTTGTTCTTCATCCTTTCGCCCATCCCAGCTACTCCTTATTACATACTCGCAAATAGTCTTTTTAATTTCCCGCTTCCTTGTCTTTGCAAAGATACTTTACATACATATGATATATTCCCCCTTGAATATAAAAAATTGGGCATTTTATTATCGAACGAAATGCTGTTGCTGGTGGTGTATAAATGTCTAATGGTGCGAATCGGGCTATAGATAAAACACGCGTTATGTTAATATATCTTATATTTCTCTTTGTAGACTACTTCATTTCAATCATATTTACCACAAGAGGAGGAAGGTTACGTTCCCACTTGGTACCTTCGGGGCCCAAGTACACTATTTAATGAAATGAAAATGTTTGGTAAGTATAATATATGTAAACCATCATATGACTACCAAAACTACTATTGTTGCTGCTTATTCTAGTAGTATGAATAGTCTCGTCAATTTCAATAAAATAAACATTACGTTTGTAAGGATCAGGGTGAGCCCAAGCTTGAAGCTCCTTTTCGGTATTCTTCAACAAAAGTTGCAGTTCTTTGGGGTTGGTGACATGCTTGTTGCGTTCGAATTGAGCACGAATGTCAAGCGCTTTTTGGCGCCACAAATCGCGTTGAATGTACCAGTCGAGAGATAACTTGAGCGAACGCTTGTACAAGGATTGCACGTGAAGTCGGTGTGCGTTTTGGAATGTGGCTGCCGACATTTTTTATGAAAGAGTGGGGGTGGTAGTAGTAGTAGCACCAGTGAAGGCTGTTTATTGGTAAAATTGGTTAGGGATTTTGTTCGGACGCTGGGAAATGAGAGCAGTCACCAGTGACGCCGACAACAGAGAGACAAGCCTAATCAGTGTAATACACAGGCTGCATTATTTTTTTTTATCGGGATTGCTGTTGCACACGAGAGAAAGGAGGAGAGATAAGAATGGATGACACCAGTGTTCAGCTAACCTTCGACCTTGGGACTAAAGCTCTCGCGCATTTAGGCCGGCCACATAAGATTCATTTACAATGGGATCTTGGACCAAACATCATAGTGGCGTGCAAATATTTGGCAGGATCGTTGTTGTTATGGAAGTCATTGGAGGTGAGAGAGATCATGTCACAATAAGTAATATGTATAATTAGTACTAATAGCGTAAAAAAAACTTAGTCCTTGACGAGTATTCTGGTTGCTTGGATAACATCATCATCACGGAGGCGCCAGACAGAAGGAAACAAATAAAAGTTGCGATGGATAATATAGCTCGTGACTCTTTTCAAATCGGGCCGAAGTGTGTTCCCAACGGGAAAGTAAAGGAAAGAAGAATCTGCATATATTCTCTCCCTGTCTGTTTTTCTTTGCCTTTTTTTCTGTTTCACTTCTTTTATAAATCTTGTACACGAAAAACATATGAACTCGTTAAGAGGGCTTCGAGATGTCTACAATCGATCCTATAATAAGCGACCCATCATTACGCTTTGTATTACAAACGGGATTCTCGGGGCCTTGAGCGACGGGCTTGCGCAGGCAATTACCTATCGCGACAAGCATACAAAGCAACTACCCGAACGACTACGACAACATGAAGATCAATGGCCACCACAACCAGCGTACGATGGCATGCGAACGTCTCGGTTTGCATTGTATAATGTCTGTGTGGCACCGTTTGTGGGCAAATGGTACATGGTGCTTGACAAGTATTTTCCCATGCCCGGGGTAGGCAAGCCTGGCCGCGACGTTGTTGCACTTAAGCGCATGGTTAGTTTTTGCTGTTATTGATTTTGATGATGCTGTTGTTGTTGTCATGTTGATATAATTTTGACATCCAGCTCTCCTACACAATACCCCGCTCTTATAATACTACCGTCATGACCCATCATTACCATCAACCCAAAAGCTAAACCGCTTCGTTCTAGGTCACGGATCAGGTGGTCTTTGCACCCAGCAGTTTGGCCATGTTCTTTACAACCATGGGTCTGATAGAAAGTGGAAACTGGCAGGGAGTTCGCGAGAAGTTTCGAGACGCTTACAGCTCAGCATTGATCGCCAATTACTCAGTCTGGCCGGTTGTCCAACTGATTAATTTCAAGATAATGCCCCTGCAGTATCGATTACCGTTCGTCAGCTCGTTGGGTATACTGTGGAATGCTTATCTGAGCTGGATCAACAATGCCTCCAAAGAGGAAGAGGAAGTGATAGAAGAACATCGGCAGCAGTAGAAGCAACTCTAGCATAGAAGGACCTGCTTCTGCTTCGGTCTAACCGTAAAATTAAGTACCATCCATTCAATTCATCATCATCAAGACATTATTCTACATGCACAATATAGTGGAGTTTTATTATAGTGAGAGGGAAATATATGTGTATTATCTACAAGGGGACATTAAGAAAGAGGAACTTTTCAAAAGAAAGAAGTGTACTGTATTATCTATAAATGGGTTTGCTGTTTTTAATGTTTAGCGCCACTTCGCTGCAACAAAGTGACCTCAGCTTCCAACTTGGGCAACTCGCGAGCCTTGACATTTGGTTCTGGAAGGAATCCAACCTTGATAAGATATGCGTAATACAAGCCGAGCAAGTCATCACCCATGCGTGGACAAGTGATGCCCTCTTTGGCCAATACGGCCTGCGTATGGCTATCATTGAGCTGGGCGCTCTTGGTCGAAGTCGGCAAATCATCCAAGACAAAGTGCAAGAGCGGGAACAGCGAGTGATCCTGCGACTGGAGGGTAAACTCCATCAACTTGTTACGCCAATCAATGTACTCGGTCTGCTTGCAGACATAGCCATAGGTAGCCAAGGTGCTGAATAGATCGTTGTACGTAAAGTCCGAAGGGTGAGTTACTTGCAAAACGCCCAACTGGGTCGAGTCCTTGTCATGGTAAGCGGCAGCACCAACCACAGCAGCAACATAATCGACCGAGCAGCAGTTGACGACATTGGACATGGATGGAATGTATCCAAGCTCGATACAGCCCTTGACCAAACGCCAGATGAAATCGTCGGCATTGGTGACACCGCTCTTACTATCACCCAAAATGTAACCCGGTCGCACAATGGTAGCGGGCATGCCACGGCTGCGAGCTTCCAGAATGAGCTTTTCGGCCACCCACTTGGACTGACCATAACCGCTCTCCAGACCCGTACGAGCGCCTTCCAAATTGTCAGTTTCGTTCACGGCTTCGCGCAAATTGACGTAATGGGCAGTGTCCAGCACCGACGTGGATGACACAAAGTGGAATGACTTTGACTTTTGGTTCGATGCTAAACGCATAGCCCACGCTGTGCCAATGACGTTCGCAGCACGCAGTTGCTGGTAAGGATAGACCCAGTGGACAAGCGCACCGTTGTGGATCACAGCATCGGATTCAGCAGACCATTTGTTCCAGTCGGCTTCAGACAAACCAAGACGGTCTTGACCCAGGTCACCGCAAACAGCTACAATACGGTCAGCCCAGCTGTCTTGCCAGACCAAGTGGCCAGCAGCAGCCTTTTTGACACGTTCAAAGGCAGAAGCGGCATCCTTGGAACGAACAATGCAGACAACGCGAGTGTTCTCATAGCCAAGCAACTTGGCGAGAATGAAAGCGCCCAAGAAACCGGTGGCACCGGTCAACACGAATGTGCGCTTGTCGCCAGCGGCAGGTGCAGCCAAAGGCTGATAAGATGCTTCCAGGAATTCTTCGCTAAGCTTAGGCAGATCTGCAGCATAATCGACAACTTCCTTTTGTGGCGCTTCTTGTCCTTTTGCTTCCTCAGGCTTGTCCGTATCCAGCAACAACAAATCACTGTTTTGCAACCTGGCCACTTGGCGTGCAAGACCACGGATGGTAGGTTCGGCAAACACCAAGTTGAGCGGAGCATCGACTTGGAACTTTTGGCGGATCTCGAAGATCAAGCGGGTAGCAATAAGCGAGTGGCCACCAATGTCGAAAAAGTTCTCGTCCAAACCAATGACAGGGTCAGGCGAAGGCAAAAGCTGTTGCCAGATTTCATGGATTTGACGTTCAGTCTCGTTCATGTCGGGCAACTTGTCCTTGTTGGCTTGGCAGGAAGCACCAGCCGCTGCACCTGCTGGGTTACCCTGGAACTGAGCCGTGTCGGGGAAAGGCAGAGCGTTCTTGTCAGTCTTGCCGTTGGGCGTCAGAGGCATACGAACCAGAGGAACGAACACAGAAGGAATAGCATAGGTAGGCAGCTTCTTTTTCAAAAAGTCACGAACATCCTTGATCAAGCGACGGTATCTGTGACGCGAGCGGATATCGTTAGATCCGCGGTCTTCGGCATCGTCGGTAGCACTGGCAAATTCATCATTGGCCGTTTGCACGGGGACAAAGTAGGCGACCAACGTCTGTTCTTCGTTCTTGTCACGACGGACCAAGGTGACGTTTTCACGGATCATGGGATGCTGCGACAAGTGGGTATCAATTTCACCCAACTCGATACGGAAACCACGGATCTTGACCTGGTCATCAGCACGGCCAGTGCACTCGACATTACCATCAGGACGGTAGCGACCCAAATCACCCGAACGATACATACGATCACGCTTTCCCTGCCAGAACTCGCGCCATTCACTACCTTGAACCAACGACTCATCCTTGCAATCATCACCGTTAGGCTGGTCCACAAACCAATTGGGAATGAACTTTTCCGCCGTAGCCTCGGGCAAGCGCAAGTAGCCTTCAGACAGACCGGGAGCACGGACATAGATTTCACCAATTTCACCGACACCGCACATCTTGGTACGGTCGTGGCGATTCACGACCAAAAGCTGGACGTTGACCATACCTTTGCCAGCAGGAATGACTTCCTTTTGCGAAGTCAAAAAGGCAGGGTGGCTGGATCGAGCAGGCACGATATAGTACGAGACGGATCGTTGGGTTTCGGTGGTGCCGTACATGTTGATCACCGCCACGTTGGGTGCAAACTTTTGGATACGAGCAGCATCACGCTTTGTCAAAATATCACCGACAAAGAATGCGTTGCGCAAGGTAGGAATTTCGCTGGTAGCGTGCGAGGACAGCAATTGACCCATGGCTGGTGTCAAGTGAGTGATGGTGACCTGTGAGCGGTTCATCCATTCGGCGAGTCGGCCTGGAATACCTATGTCTTCGGATGTAGGCACATGTAATTCGGCACCAAAGAATAAGGGCGTAAAGATATCGCGCTGGATAGGATCGTGAGCAATACCAGAAAGCATGGTGAACTTGTCCTCGCTGGAAATGCCAAACTGTTCGGCCATCCATGGATAAAAGTGGGTCAGCGAAAAGTGACGGCCGCGTACACCTATTTGAGAAAGGGGGGAATAATTAAAGGTCAATTCTAAGTTTTAGTAAAAGTGGGGGAGAAAAGCTTACCCTTGGGAATGCCGGTACTGCCACTCGTGAAACTGAGAGTACCAATGCTATCAGGGCCGATCACCACACCCACATTCTTCGCTGCCTTGTCGCGTACAGAGTCCAAGACATCATCAGCGCCATCATTTACAGCACCACCAGCCAGCTTGCCATCCTTGTGCAATTTGAGCGTAGGAATTTCACAGACGATGTCCTGTTCCTTCTTGATATAATCTCGGACAGAGTCGGCGATCTTACCGGCTTCTTGAATAACAACCAAACCCTTGGGCTTGGCGACTTGCAAGTAGATTTCTTGACGTGCAGGTGGGTAAGCAGGGTCTATTTTTTTTAGAGTTTAATATCGCTGTGAGTTCTTTTTTGTGTTTAAAACCCCAGCTTCCTCCGTCATCATCATCATCATCACGGCAAATAACTTACCAATGACACTGAACGTGGCACCAGCCTTCAAAACACCCATGATAGCCACAACCAAATCCACACCACGGTACGCATAAATCATGACAACATCCTCGCGCTTGATACCGTTATCGACCAAGTAATGAGCAACCAAATTCGAAGCATGATGGATTTGCTGATACGTGTAGACGACCTTGGGATCGGTTGGGACATCCGAGGATTCAATGATACAGGTACGTTCAGGATGTTTTTCAGCATTGGCAGCAAAGATATCAGGGATGGCGCCACGCCACAGGGACCAATGCAGATCCGAGGTAGGATCAGGCAATTCGGAATCAGCTGACTGGTAGTCCGACAAGGCGATCTGACCTACGGGCGTTTCTGGTGCACCAACGGCGGACAACAAGATGGACTCCATTTGAGAAAAAATGTATTGGATGCGGCGAGGCGAGAACAAGATCTGGTTGTACACGATACGGACGGACGTTTCAGTCGAATTTTCAGGCGTGGAGATGAAGACAGTCAAGTCAGCCGTGGTAGATGTGGAAGACAATTGGGTTTGCGTTGGAGCGTCCGTTTCATTATAGAACCGCACGCGGAAAAGTGGACGGCGGTGGTCCGGATCTGTGCCCTCTTCCATGTACTCGACCAATCTTTCAAAAGGAACCTCTTCTTCTAGTGCCTTTGCTTCAACCTTTTTTATACATAAACAAAAATCAGTTCCCTTTATTCTGCGCGTCTCCAAAAAAAACTTCCGCAGTAAAAGCCCAATCATTGTTTTTCCAGCCCTGCTCCCCGCAGTAGCAGCAAGGCATCTAAACCGAGTGGAATACATTACCCTTTGCACCATCTTGACAATTTCTTCAAACGTACTGGTTGGGCTTGTTTCGAGACGAAGGACTAGGGTATTGTTGTCGGGCGAAGAGGAACCGACAGCGAACTCTTCATCACCAGTATAGCGTTGCAAAAGAATAGCAAAGGCAGCTAGAAAAACGTGAAATGGCTTGGCATCACCATCTTGGCTATTGTATGTCACAGAGAACCTGTGGGATTGGACTTCTTCAACGGTTCTTGCAGGCAAAGGTCTTGGATAATCGGTGGGTGTAAGCAAATCCGACAAGTTTGCCAAGTGTTGCTTCCATGATTGGAGTCGTTCTTCAGTATCAGTCATATTATAGAAGAGAAGTATATATATACAGGGAAAAGGGAAACAGAATAGAAGTTATATATAAAAAAAGATGTCAAAGAAGGAAGTAAAAAGTCATAATTGATGCGCGACAAATATATATAATGCTGATTAGTTTTGCTGGTTTCAAGATCGAGATTATCAGCAGTCACCGTGAGTTTTTTGACGCACAAGAACAAAGATAAACTCAGCTCGACGACCAATCTTTCATCTCGTCTCTAAAGTCTTTTTATGGTTGCTTGATCTTTTCGGGACTTGATTAACTTGACATGCATCCAATTTGCTGCCATAGCAATGGTGGGGATTTAAGTTTACCTTGGCAACAAGTCTCTAGTTACTATGGTATTTTCTTGCAACAAATGGCTGTTACAGCTACAATGACATACCATTTTTCCAGTATAATCTGGACTTGTAAACGCCTTCAATGTATAAATAGAGTATACATGTGCGGAAGAGCCACAGTTTTCTCCTCATATATAATGTAATACTTGGTGAAAAACATTTTGCCGGTCGAACCACATTTTGCCTTTCGCCGTTACACACGCTTCTCACCTAATACGTCGTTCGCTATGTCAAAACTGGATATCATTATGCAAAGGTTTTTTCTTTTTCGGTAAGAAAATATAAAAACTACAACTAGTACATCAGTTAAAGCTGGGACAATGAAGAGAGAGAGAACGAAAAGGAAAAATAACTATATATTCAAAAGAGGCGATGGATAAAAGTTCTATGCAAGGATGATTTAAGAGGTAGTAGTTGAGAGGAAGAAAATGACCGAGGTATAATATAATAACTATGATAATTATAAAAGTAGTAGTAGTAGTAGTGAAGATGAATAAACTATGCTGACAGATGGCGCTCTCTTGTTTCGCTGTGGGAGGACATGCTGTAATCAATGTCATCCAAATCTTGGTCGACTGCAGCGGCTAATTTTGAATAGTGTGCTCTACCGATCGACTTATAATATGACGTTAACACTACGGCAAAATAAATCTACGAATAGCAATTAATAAATGAACTCTTTATTCTTCCCAAAACTCAAGGGGGGGAGGGTGCGTTAAACTTACATGAATCATGCGAAGTGCAACCAACATGATGATACTAACAATGCCTTCCATGCGAAAAACGTCGTCATGCTCTTGTTGCTTGACCGGATCATTGGCTAACTCAGGAAGGCTGTGGTCCGTGTAGACGTACCATTTTACTGCGAAAATGGACGTCGTCATGATGCTCACAAGGCAATCAACCCAATAGAAAATAGTATACCAACGAACAGCTCGTACATTATCCTAAGATATGTTTGTACATATTCAATTTTTGATTACATGTTATACCCCCTTTCCTACAACCGTGAGAAAACTGGAAAAGGTAATTACAGTGTGAATGCCATACAAGCCTCGGGCGAAAATAAAGACAGAAAGCAACGAATAAATGTAAACGGCAAACGCAAACGGGTCGCTAGTGTCGAATGAAATAAGACCGTAGAATCCAGAAAGCTTATTGAGCTAAGTTATTGGTAGAATAGTAACAGCGATTAGGTTTCCACTGTAAAAATGTACAGCAGTGAACATTTTAATTTTCACGAAATGAAATAGAACTCACAATGCCAAAGATGGTGATAATGAGCACACCTAGTACATATAACAAACAAACAATACTTAAGTTTCAAAACAAAATTATATTCTTTCGTCACCATTTCTCTCCCTTTTGCATAAATGTCAAGGTAGTTTACCAGTTTCAATGGGAATAAATCCGCAACAAGAGCGTGGTCGAGAAAGTAGAGCTGCCATTGTTTGTTTCAACTAAAAGAACTGCTATGAAATAAAAGAAAAACAGCACACCACCTTTATGAAAAGCGGCGGCGGTGCCGAAACTTTTTAACCGTACCGGACAAACGGCAGCCGATGCGCAACAACGACGAGTGGAGGCGGAGGGAAAAATGGCTGTTGCCTCGTTTTGGTACGTCAAGTGAACTCTGATTGGCTTAAGGATGCCTTTCATATGGGTTTCGTATACACCTCTACTGGGGGCTCACATTATGTGCATACAACCACGCTGCCAGATTTATGCTTCCAGTCTGTTCCATAATACAAAGTAAGTGAAATTGTTAGGTTGCTTAAATGCGATGGATAATACATGTATAATGATGCAATAACACATACTATATTCAACAGCAGCTTTATCATTAAAGCAGTAGTAGTCGAAGAATATATACTTCCTGTCCAAGAAAATTGAAATTTTATTAATACAATAGTTGATGGACATATCGCTGATTTTACTTAAGCTTACATCTCGCTACTAAATCGCTAGCAAAAGCATAGCTCAATTTAACAGTGGGCAATTGACACCTGTGCTTGTCTTGTTATTACGTTTACGAGCTAGTAGAAAACGGCAGCAGCGAGTGACATAATAGCAGCTACTTAAGCTAACATATACAGATTACAGAGAATGGAGTAAGCCCAATACAATCAATCCTGTCCATACTCATCAGTATTTGTAAGGAGCGTGACCATTACTTTGCCCCAAACCAAAGTAGCAGAATGTGCCACTCCTCAGCTTGACTTGGCATAGAACTAATATCATCTCCCGGTACTACACCAGCAATGACAGACGCATCACTACACCTAAGAATAGCATTTCATTCCGCCAGAGTAGTCCCAAGAATAACTTGTTCCTGACATAGATATGACAGCTCCGTCTTTGATACTTGCGATCTAAACGAAGTGGATGATGTAGAGTACAAAGTCCGATCATCCAGCGTGACTTTACGACTGTTCTGGGCCCCTATAAGTTCGTCCTCATCCCCCCTGCTTGTGCTTTTTTCTTGTCCATCCATTTTTCAACCCATCCATCCATCCATGCATCTATTCACATTAACTCGTCCATCCATCCATGCATCCATCCGTTTATATCTCCCATCTACTATTCATAAGACATGTCTTTTGAGGAAACGTGCTTTGTATCTCAAAGCGACGCGTCACTGTTTGCATAAAACTCGATAGGTTAAGTGCAACACGTTGTTGCTCGCTCATACTCTGCAACGCTTATCCTATCCTGCTCCTCCAGAGAGTGCTGGCTTCTTTTTTTATGATGCCGGTGCTCTTATGTCTAAACTGACGCCTGGCCTAGTGAGTATTGATTAGGATAAACACATGCTATATAGAAAGAAGGCAAGTTATCTTTCTTTTGTTTTCTAGTCTAGTTGGGCAGTAGTACTATATGTTTGCAGGACATGATATGATGATCTTACTATATATCCTTAACTACATTGCCTGACTTTTACTGTGATTAAATCTACATGACTCTGATGGATTGTCCTCTTGCATATTTTACTGCTGGTCTTGTCTTGGTTTTTTCAACGCCACATTTACTAACTGGAACAATTTTTATTATACAGGTTGATGCTATATCAGTTATAACAAGTATAGATCCACTTTTATATATAAACTTCTTAAAAATAATAAATGGAATGGGCATTAATATGCTTTATAACCTCTTAAAAATGCGCGACAAATATAAGTGTTGGTTTGTGCTATCTGTTGGTGTGGGAGAGATGCCGCATGTATGAGTGACGTGAGAATGTCCAATCCAAATCCCAACGGAATTCAGCTTGTACCACCATTCCATTTTAAGAAAAAAGAGTCGACACTTTTACTATATTCGACTCGTAACTTATTTTTTCCTTCCCTCCCTCTCTTCTTGTCCACTCTTAATTTCCATATGAGTCTCGAAACGAACAATGGAAGTGTTAGCAGATTGGTTTAATCTGCTGCGATTAAGCTCTACATATGATCTAGATGACTCGTTGCGTGCATTAGTAGGAAAGACTTTGTCGTGTGCGTTTGTCGTGGTTTACTCGCTCGTGCTCATAGTAGACGGCTACTACTTCCCATTCTTCCTTACTCTGGGATTCGCTTTGGGTGCCCTGTTCTTTGGAAGCAATGCCAACTATACATTCCCACATCATTCTGTTCAACTTCGTGAACATTATACCGAAAATGCTGAGGCCAAGGTAACTTTTATCACTTTTTTCCTTTTGTATTCTTGTTGTTGGTATGGTGATACCAAAAAAAAGCGAGCACCACCACCAACCATACTTATTCACACACTTACACATCAATACTATATAAATATATATAACTAGCCATTAGCGACAGGAGAAGATGGGATACTGCATCTTTTTTACCCGCCCCTGACAAACATTGTGGAGCAACTGATCCATTACTTTTCTCGCGATTTTGTCCTGTCCTGGTGGGATCCATTAAATTCAACCCATAATCCGGAATTTGAACGAGTCATCCGTACGCGTCTAAACGGCAGTGTGCACAGAGTCGAGAAAATCTTACTGAAACAAGAACGCAACGATTTGGTCATGGCCACACTTTATGGCATAGCCAATGTTTTGATCATTCACATGGTACCTGAACGAAATTACTTTGATCATCAAATATCGTCAACAGCTATATATTAACGCCGTCCCCTTGGATTATATACGTGTAGAGAGAATGCAGAAACTTTGAATGCTCGGGGTTATCATTGAATGGGTACATTGACGACAACCAACACTCGCCATTTGCACAGCTCATGTCCACCACCGAACAACACCATCAAATGCGGTCTCTCAGTTCAACCATTTTGAAACGCGTACTTCCGAATACCGACGCAGATTCTGCTGTTGTCATGAGCATGCTGCGAGAGTTGCTAGCTTCTCATTTGTTTGGCAATATCCTAGCGACCATGAGCGATCCGGACTTTATCAACAGCTACATCGTCGGCTATCTATCTGCCACTGACGAACCGGGTAATGCAGATGCCCATGATGACAGCGAAGGTATCCGCAACGTCGTCGAACGAGCGGCAGAGAGTCTGATGGCAGATGGTGGCTTTGGAGACGCAAGCCAAGGTAATAACAATACTAGTACGGTCACTTCGGGAACACAGCAGGCTGCGTCTCCTGAAGTTTACTTGCCTCCACAATCGATACCACCTACCAGCCCTTTACCGCCGCCGCCGCCACCTAGAAAATCTGCAACAGTGCCTCCTGATTTGTTGTTGCCGTCGTCTTCACCACCACCGTCATTCAAAGGAGATTCTGACGCAGTTAGTGAATCCGCCACCTCATCTTTAGCCTCATTGCCACCTATACCAGAAACGCACCACAACAACAACAGTACACGTTCATCACCCTCTGCTGCTTCATCGAAAAAGAAAATATCTGTTCCTAAAGTTGTCGAAGATGCATCTCAACAATCGCCCATGATCTATGCCCCGGGTACTGTCAACTTTAGCGTCATGGACATTTCCTCCACGCCGGAGTCGGACAAGAACAAGCTCATGTTTATTGTGCAAATCGAACGACCAGCTATGGAGGACCATACAGGATCTGAAGGTGGTGGCTATGTGATTACACGAACATATGCCGATTTTGAAGTGTTCCACGCCATCATCAGCGCTCGCCACGCTCGTCGCGTCGCACGGACCAACCTCAGACTTCCACTGGACCCTATCCGATCATGGCTCAAATTGGGCACCAACACTAGTACGCCATCGGCCATTATCAATGACACTGACAGCATCTGTCGATCATTGGAACGGTATTTGCATCTCGTTGTACAAGATAACGAAATGGGGCGGGACCAAATCATTTACGCATTCTTGCGCAAGGAACGACGAAGGAATATAGCGGACCACAATGATGATGATGATGATAGTGGAGAAGGCCAGCAGCAAGAGATGGAAGTTTCATTTGCGGATGAATACATGGATGAAGTTAGTGCGTATGCAGCCTTGTCGTCTGCAATACCGGCACATAATGGGTATACGCCTCTGAGTGGACCGTCATCGGCTTCGTCTTCGGCAGCAAGCAGTGTGGGCAAGGCGATGTCAATGTTGGCACGAGCACCATCATTAGCAGTGAAGAGTGTCAGTCGAACTTCCACTACAGACGACGAACTTGTTGGATCGCCGAGTCTGGAACCGTCGCGTCGTTGGTTCGGTCGAAAATCTGCTCGGGAAGGATCGATTTCGAGTGTTCGAAGTAACAATAGCTCAAGCGGAAAAGAAGAGGCGGATGGCGAGATAAGCACAACCTTCCATCATCATCAACAACAACAGCAAAGCCAGCAGAATCACCAACACGTGCCGTCGCCACCATCAACCCAGGCGACCACATGCTCTGAAGACGAAGGAGACGACGATGAAGTAATTACAAACGTGGTGGTGGAGGAGCCGGAGTCTGTTGCAGCTGCTGTTGACATTGAAGAATCAGCTCGAAGAACAGCTGTGGATGATGCTGGAGCACGCGTCAGCGACAACAAACCTCTATCTCCTTTGGATATCGAACTACTGATTGAAACAACATTTGCACTTGTCGTTGAAGTCTTTGACCTAACAACTGCCAACAACAAGGCATGGATGCGCAGGACATTGCTAAACGTGCTGCGCGAAGTGGTTCGACGGTCTTATACAGAAATCATTGCACAGCATTATAGCAGCTATATGAATAATTACATGTCGCCAGATGCGCTGGTCCATCTATGCGAAACAATTCAACACAAATTCTGGCCTGACGGTGTGTATAATACCTCCACATCTGAGCGAACGGAAGAGCAAAAGGCAGCAACAAGGCAACAGGCACGAGAGTTATTGATGAGCTCTGCGGTGCCTGCAGGTGTACGGCAACTCATTGGTGATCAGAACTGTAATGTCGCCATGGATCGTTTATGGGCTCGATTACAGGATCAAGCGCTGAACCGTGTGTTGATGTTACAAATACTGGAGCGATTAATGCGACCGGTCTTTGGTTAAAAACTGAAATTGTGAGCTCCGCCCTCCCTCCCCCTCCATTTTCATGCTAAATATCATCCTTTGCTAACCCTTACCTTTTATACTACTAGTCGTATTACTGCTATTATTTTTCTATCTATCTTCCTCTCTTATTTATTGTTTATTTATCTAGTTGTTGTAAATAGATCTTTCCTATTTTCTTTGTTTCATTTTCGTTTTTTTTCCACAGACGATTGATAGGTTTAGGCAAGTTAAAAGAACGTCCTCAGTGAAATATAGTCATTGTGAAAAGATACATGTATGTCGACAAAGATCAACCAATGTACTTGATGCTTCAAAAACATTTTATGCATGGATATTTGTAGCTCTATGCGGATTAAATTTGTGGTGCAGTAGGTGTCTAATGTGCTACGTGCATACTCATACTGTTAGTAATAGATATTCTGATACACTAGTATCTTATAACTACAAAGACTGTCAACTTTTACCGAATGAATGGCGCTAGTGGACATTTTTTCCATCATAACTTTATACATTCATAGCTGATTAAAGCTTTTGGTGTAACGACAGTGATGGTGTAATGTCTTCTGTATTAAGGATGAAAATGCGAATGAAAGTATAAATTTGGCGCTCGGGATACATCTTCACCAAAAGCGCGCTGTTTATGAGTACAATAATGTTGGCTCCGTTCGATCTAGATAGTTCTTCCTCCTCTTACTCAGACTATAATAAATTATATACCAGTATCTGACATTTGATTCATTTCATGGCACCCCACTTCCGTAGCCTTTGGTAAAAGCAACCTGTAAATTATGTCTTAAAAGGTACGCCATATGGTAGATATCTAATTGATATAGCGGTAATAATAGCCCTGCTCTTCTCCGCCTGCTAGTACTATCTTGCTGGTGTTGTTACTTTATGTCCGCTAACAACGGACGTATATGCAACTTTATTTGCGATGATTGTAAAGCATAAACTTCGTGTCACGCCTGAGCGCAATTGTATCGGTTGTACGCCAAAATCCGTTTTCCCGGTAAGATACAACACTTTCCCTTCTTGAAAAAAGAAAAGTTAGGGGTCGACAACGTTTAATCACATGCCATATAATAGGTGATAATATACAACAACAGAAAAGAAATGGCCACCAAAAAGTTAAAAATAATAGTACTTTTAAACAAGCTGTTAATTCCAAAAACACCTGTAACTGTCATAGATACGAAGGAACCCAGCACTAGACTTACCAGATGTAGTATGAGTTGACGGACGCATCTGCAGAATGCGCGGATTCCACCGTTCCAATCCCATATCCAACCCTACTTCCTCTAGGGTGATAACACATTCGTCAGCAAATTACGACTGACCCCAGACGATGCAAACGATTCTTGAATGTTACACCCATCATAAGACAATCTTTGTCTGATGGGATTATGCTACTATATCCCTGTACGAAAGCTAGATACATTGTTAAGGAGGTTTGCTTAAGATAATTGTTGATATTCATTGTTCTAATACATAACGCTTCCTAATTACACGTATCATTCAGACACTATGCTCTTTTCTTACGCTGTGATTAAAACTATGAAGCTTGGTTGATTGGTTTCGTCAAAGTCATTATCGTTTTCGTTTCGTCACTGTCAGCGTTACATTTCTGGAGGTTTATCCCGTGTCATTCCTCCGTTGGCTACACTACATGCATATTTATCAGATCAAGCTGTGTGGACCCTGCTCGACGAAAGTTATCAGATCGTTCCACATACAATGCAGCTCGCCGATGTTCTCACGATCAGCATCATCATATGTTCGATATCTGATATACTCCCATTGTGGCCATAACATGGCTTTTTTTTAAAATGAAATAAATGAAAAGGAAGGATATTTTTCTGCTCGACTAGTAGGTACATCATATGTATTAGTAGAATGAAGCGATGAATAGGCTATATAACGACCACTGAATGACATATGTATATTAAAGTGTTTAACTGTGAGATGACGTTCAATCGGCTTGCATGCTACAGTATCCCAGGAATTCCAGTATCTCTGGAATTTTACGATACCATGTTTGGAGATTTAGGCGGGGATGTAGAACTCGATTGTACCACAGTAATCCGAAAATTTTATCAGATCCTTCTAGATTATCACCCCAGTAGATTGGGAAATGGAATTGCATTATCCTAAGTAACTTTTGTATCATACACCAAAGTACAAACAGCTTGAAGATAATGAATGGCAAAACATTGATGGCGCCATCATTGGAATAAAATAGTGCAAGAGAAATAAAAACTAAAACATTTGGTCTCGTGGCGAGTAACAACAATGGTTTACGACCCTGTCAGTATAACACCTCTCCCCCTGGTCTAAATGGTAGTAACCCAGGATTTTACTTAAACCTTTGTAACATATACGTCTTAGTCTCATTGTCTCACACTGATCTAGTGCATTTACGGAATTTGTATTTTAAAAAAAAAAGTGCGCGGAGAACGCGGCATTGATAAGACGTATTATGACAAGTAGTAAACTAATCATCAAGCTTGGAACATGCTTTTCTAAGGTGACACCATTTGTCGTCATCCAAGGATACGATCGACCACCTCAGAAAAATCTGATAGAAACTAACTAACAATTACTTGCACCCTGCACTAATGTAAAAGCACTAGCTTCTCGTGATTCTCATCAAGATATGTCCTTTGACGAACCAACTCCGGTATTGATGATGCAGATTTTGAAATTGTATAAAAAGGACAGCATTTGGAGACACCTTGCAAAAGAACATCAGTTTTTAACCCTAACCTCTACTAGTATCTATATATATATATACACGTACGCAGCTCCATAAAATGGTCTTTGGTCGCTCTTCTATCTTGTCTCTGGCTACTGTCGCCCTTCTCATCAGCAAGGCCCAAGCTGATCTTTCCTTGTTGGTTGGCTCCCATGAAGGCAGTGGTCTATACCTGAACACTGATCTTCGCGTCCCTCACGGCTGCAAGAACTCCGATGGGTCTCTTACTCTTGGTGTCACTGTTGAAATCCCTAGCGAGATTCTTGCTGTTCAAGCTGAATATATCCCTGACTATGTAATTACCGCTTCTATATATCTGAGATCATCACTTTAGCGCGATCTATCCTATGGTAACAATGCACTAATTTGAACTTTGTTGTAATTGTGAAATATAGAATCTCACAATCACCAAGCAACAACTTACCGAGCCTCAAGCGCTTTCCGAAGGTGGCCGTGAGGTGTCATCGCGTACCGCCTCTATCCAATGGATGAGCGCTGACCCTGTTCCCGATGGTGCCTTCATGGACTACAAGATGCGTATCTATATCCCTAAAATTGGCGACGATGAAACCCATACCCACTACTTCAAGACTACCCAGCACTGCGAAGGCGGCGTCAACGATGTCTACGATCAAATCCCTGGTTCTGAAAACTATGATGAATCCAGCGGACGCAATGCTCCGTTCATCGAAATTGGCGGAGAAGTCGACTCTACTCCCTGGATCGAAAGCAAGGAGAACCGCAACACCAATGGTGCCTCTTCTAGCCAGAAGGTTGCCATGGCAGCCACTGCCCTCGTGGCTGGTCTCGCTGCCTTCAACCTCGCCTAATTCTTCTTTCTCTATTATGTGAACTCTTCCTTATCCTTATACCACTACCTTAGTAGTATGATGTCTTCCTGTATTATTTTACTTAGCATGTCAACATTATGTATTATCTCTTACTAAGAGAATCGCAACTTTATATAAATAGAGAAAAATCTCGACCTGTGGATAATAAAATTTATTAGTATACTACATTTCTAGACTCTTTAACGATAAATACGGAAACTGATGAAATGACACCCTTAGCCTTATGAGACTTTTACTAAAGAGTTTATTACAGCTGTTGAATATCTTTAAGAAAGTTACTGTTCAAGTGTTGCTGGATTGGAAAAATTGTACTTTGTCGGATGCTGTTGCATCTCAACATAACGAGAGCCGGGTTACAATGTAATAACATGATGGATGCTTATTATACAGTAACCATTTTGCTGCTGACATTTTGTCACCGTAGGGTGGAAACGCTAATGTAGCGTCACTGAGTTGATCCTCATTTGTTAGGCGATTAAACTGTTTATTAGTATATTAGCTATGCTATCATTTAAGATAACAGCCGACATCTTCAGTATTCCAGCATGGCACTGTTAGGCGTACCAATGCGGAGCGTCTAAAATTTTCTATGATAGTTCAGGCTGCGAAAAGTATGCGCGCAACTTGCGTCTCACACCACGTCAAAGTGATTGGTGGAGAGAAGGATTCTACCATATAGGAAATTTACATGAAGATCTGGAACATATTTGCTCAGGTACGAAACATAAGCTTGTGGATAGAGTGCATAATATAGCTTGAAACGAAAGGCTGAGCGTCAAAAAATGTCGAAACTTAGGTATCGACCAGCACGAAGCTAACGTGGCAACCGAAAAAAACTCTTCCTCATCAACTACCGACAGTAAAAGGGCTTGGATCGATTCCTTATATATTTGGGATCGTCGACGGACGCGTATGGTATGAGTGCCGGAATGATAATTTTTGCCTGGTTTGGGAGTTGCTGGTACATGTGCTGGTCGTACATTCCAGTTTCGCCTGCAAGACGGACAAGTGAAGTGACGAATCGGACGCCAATATTTGCATGTCGTCCGATTAAGTCTGTGTTCGTCAGCTGCTCAAATCCGACCGTTGGGAAAGGTGTTCCTGGTATGTACAGACCTTTGCGACTATCATAGTAGTAGTTGTCGTATCAGTCACACTAAGACTTCATTTATCGAACGCGTTCTGACGGTATGGTCAGTGTCGCAATGGCCTTCAAGGCTTCTGTAGATGCTTCTTTTGTGGCCATTGCTATTCAAGCGAGAACATGAGCGTCGTGCTTTGGTGTGTAATTGGAGAGGCGGACCAGCATTAAACGTGTTGACGTATGTATTCCAGTCAGTATGAGAGTAGCATCGATTCATTGCACGTAGTTATCTTGGCAGTATGTATACGCTCACTGTCTTGTTATAACAGCTGTGCTCTGTTAATAACGAAATTGCAAAATGTCGTCTGCCATCGGAGACAGGCTCTGCTGACACGTCATGCTCGTTTTGTATATTCCTATTAACTGTTGCAATGACCCAAGCCAGTAGCTAAAGCCTGAACATATTCTAGTGATCGTTGACACAGCATATTGAACATCATGCCTATAGCTATTTTTGGATGATGCGGCATTGCGGTGCACGGCCACGAAGATTGTCCATCGATGATGTAGCGTATTGTTGCCCACAATGGCAAACAGAGTGACCAGTGACGTTTGAAAGAAATTTATGTCACAGTTTATTTTCATAGCATTTGTGTTTGGATATATGTGCATGCATTGCCTTTAGGTTCATGGTTATCGTTTTCTTTTTGTTCTGCACCTGCAGGTCTGCGGGTAAAAGTGTTAAATTAGGCACGGTTGCATGATACAGGTAAAAACGTAAACTCCTGTGTAATTCTTCATCACGTGCGGGTAATTTGAGAAAGCTGGTTACTATTTTGTGTGTACACTATCATGATAGCAAATGGCTACCACTTCGGTGTAACCAGCTCATGCTCTTTATCAAAAAAATTAGATACTTTACACTCTATATTGTTTTAATGGCTACAGAATGAGGATTTGAGGCTAGAATAATCAATGATTTTTTATTGTAGCTGGTTGTATTTTTTTGTGTCTTTTTTTTACCAAAAAAATTAGGTATTATAGGAATCGAGCGTTTGCTTCTTTTTCCAGAGAAGCGATACCATTGTTGTTTGATGAATTGAATTGTCGCACAAGGGAATTACAGTGCGTGTGGGTAATGTACCCACGCCCAACAAGTAATATGTAAATCTCGAATTTAAGATAATCTACAATTTAGGTTTATTCTAGTCCGGGCAATCACTTCTTTTTTAGTATCAGCAGTAATCCACAATCCACTTACTGCTATCCATTAATCGCTAGTTTCTGGCAGAATACGCTAAAATTGCATCCACTACGTTTCCCAGTCAAGTCGAATGCTGGGTAACCGCGCATTGATTGCGATTATCCACACCAATATGGAATACCAACTGATCGCTTAAAACCAGTAACTGCTAGGATAACTTTGATAATTCAACGAGCTATGGTTGTGATTGTATGATTCTCGGTAGTACTAGCCAGACGTTATCATTCATAACATGAATTGTGAGGAAAAACGCTCTCGGGCAGAAACGGAATTTCACGTTCCCACCACTACACTGAGTGAACCAATTGAAGCAACCAAAGAACGCATATTGCATTATATAGTAAGTGATGAGTTTATATAGTATGATTGAGAAAGGCGGTGATCAACCAGCAATCACCGGATATCGAATAAAGAGTTATGAATACAGTATGAGTGAAAAAGATATATTACCTTCGATGTGAGTCGTTCGTTTTTTCTTTTTGAATGACTATACTTTATATATACAGATAATACGATATACTACTAGTTAACATCAGTAATGAGAGTGGGGAATGACATGGAAGATTACATAAATCAACACAGCTTTACTGAACGAAAATTCTTATCTAACACAGCGAATCGATAAATTCACGGTTAAGCGGGAAAATTTCACAATGTTAGTGTGGTACCACACAGCACAATTCACGCAAATCGCTTTCCTCCGGCTACGAGCGCCGTTCTTTCTAGAATAGGAACAATCCAAATGTCCGGGGCATCAGAACCATGTCTATAACTTGCATTGTTATGACCATAAACGTCTAGCTATTGGTCGCTAATCAGCGTCGCAAAAGGCCGAACTCACGGACACGGAATAATGTCTTTAGTAGCGTGAGTCAACTGTACCCATTTGATTGGTGCGAACTCTGCTATGTAAGATAGAGATAGTAACTTTTCATGCAGTTTTTAACAACGGAGATAATAACCCGAGATACTGATAAACACATCCAACAAATAATTCCATAAAAAATTTATGCTCTTATGTGCTGCTTGTATATGTGTGAGTGTGTGTGCGATAAGTAGCTACATGCGTATTGCCACGTGAGATAAAGAAACACTCTGGATGGGAAGTATAAAAGGCGTGCTGCACATCTTACGCACTTTTCCTTATTATTAATACCACCAATAACCTTACCCCCAACCAGAACCTCTATCTTTTTTGATTCCACTTTTTTCTGAAAATGGCCAAATCTGCTGCTACCTCTTCTTATACACCCCCTCCACCTGGTTCCAAAATTATTATTGTTGGTGCCGGTGCTTTTGGATTATCCACTGCCTATGCCTTATCGTTAAAGAACAAGTATGATATCTGGGTGTTTGATCGCGACACGGTCCCTGTCCCTGATGCAGCATCCACTGGTAACTGATTACTATTATTAGTAAAGAATTAGAGTATCACACATGTATTTGATCTCTTTACTTACTCGCTTTTTCTATGTAAGATATTAGCAAGGTTGTTCGTATGGATTATGGCGACGCTGCGCTATGCACGCGATTGATGCTCGAAGGCTTACCAATATGGGAGCAATGGAACAAGGAACGCGCGGCTAAAGGGTTATCACCAGTGTACCACAAGACAGGTGTCATCTTTTTCTCAAAGAACGGGCAGTTTTCTGAATATGAAAAGCAAAGCATGCAAAACATTAAAGAAGCAGGGTATGGTCATGTGATTGAGCAGCTTTCTCCAGAAAGCATTGTGGAACGGTTTCCTCACTTCAAAGCCGCGGTCGAAAATGGGTACAATGTTGCGTATTTTAACAAAGAAGGAGGTAAGCAATCTCTCGATACTTTACCCCTAACATGCGTATGTCTGTCCGAATCGCGACACTGTAAGTTGAGCATTTCTTTTTCTCAAATGTTGTGGGAATCGTATATAGGTTGGTGCAATTCAAGCGAAGCAATCAAGCATGTGTACGAGAAATGCCGAGCCAATGGTGTGCGATTTGTCCTAGGCGCTGAAATAGGATGTTTCGAACAGCTCTACCAAGAATCAACTAGCAACAACAAAAAAAAGGTGCTTGGCATTAAAACTAAAAACAAGAAAATTCACCGTGCCGATCGCGTCATCATGGCAACCGGTTCTTGGACGGCCAGCTTGATCGACCTTGGCAACAAACTTGTCGCAACAGGACAGATTGTTATGCACTTTAAGCCGCCACCTGCATCCATTTTCCACCAAATCAAGAACCAGCCGGCATGGTCCGCTGATTCATCGAAAACTGGCTTTTATGGTTTCCCTATCAACGCGGACGGTAAACTTAAATTGGCTTGCCACTCTATCGGATACCTTAACCCACGCAAGAGCGACACTGTCTCTGTACCGAGAACACAATCAACAAACGTTGGCGATACGATCCCTGTCAAAGCTCTTACAGAGTTCCGTAATTTCTTGTCAGACTTTTTCCCAATGACGTCGGCTATGGATGTACATTATACTCGTGTATGCTGGTAAGTTAATTGTTTCTAATAAAATACGAGTTAATATGATGGTGGTCGTCTATTACGTTTTATCAATGTATTACTTTGTTTGTTTGAAGGTACTCGGATTCAATGGACAGTAATTTTCTGATCGCGCCCCACCCTGATAAGGAGAATCTGATTATCGTCTCTGGAGATTCCGGTCATGGCATGAAGTAATGGCTCTTTCTTTTAAGCTCCAATAATACATTATCCTATCCTACCATATTAACTAGCAAAACTCTATGTTACTTTTACTGCTATAGATTCCTTCCTGTCATCGGCTTGAAAGTTGCTCAGATCGTTGAGGGTATTGAAACCGACTACAGCCGTTCTTGGGGATGGAGAGATGCTGTAGACAATTCTGCATCATTTGACGCTATGCGAGCCGGCAAATCTACAGACATCGTCCCGTTACTGTTGTGCGATCCGGATATAGAAGAAACTAAAATGTGCACTTTGGAGGATTACAAGGCTATCGTTCCAAAGCTATAGGGCTAGTTTGTGAATGATGAGTCTTTAATATACTGGTGGTTAAAAAAATCGGTATCAAAATGAATATATTGTTTCTTTCTCTTTTATATGGTTATTGTTTCACAACAATCTTTCTAAATCAACCAGCTAATTTTACCATCCGTTGAAGAAAAGGAACCTAATACACATTGACATTCTTTTTCACTATGTTTTAGTCTGCTTTTTACGTGGACTTGCGCACTTTATTTCGACTGTCTTATATCTTAAAGAAAATAACTACGCTGACGTGGATAATAGATGATATGAAGGAAATTGCTTTTTTTATAGTGTGTATTCTTGAACCGGGGCTATCTAACTTGCACGATAAATCAGCTCCATTAGATTATTAAATCAGCTTAACGTATATAGAATGGTAAGAAGTGCTGTGACTAACAATCAACCTTGCCGTACTGTACATGTACATTTATGGAGGACTATCTTATCATATATACACGCACTATTTGAAGGATTCCTTTATGATACAGGATACAGCAGGGAGTATACACAACGTTAACAGCTCCATTTTTTCCTGTCTCGATATAATACGAAATGTCCTGATATTGTCCTGTTCAATTTCCTGTGCATTTATACCTTATAAGTTCATCAATTTGAAGACATGAAAAAGTATACTGGATAATAAATTCCGGACTACACGACTTACCAGTTACCACTGTTTTACTAAGCTTGTGCAGCTTACTATCTGTTTTGCGGACTTTTGTAACACTATAGACCTCTTATATATATGTTGTCAAATTGTCTTTATTTGGTTCTTATTGTATCCTATAAAGTACATCATGATTTACACAAAGTATACGAAATGAAACTCAATGTCATGTTCCAAAGCGTTACGTGGTGAACCACACTACTTTGAGATAGACCTGATCAACTCAATCCACTCCGCCGTTTTCGTAATTATTATAATGTAAGGTGCCGACAGGAACTAGACAAGACAAGCACAGAAAGACCGGACAAGAATGAGTTAGGTGTTTCAGCAAGAACAGGACAATACAAGAAGATAGCCTGTAGTAGGTAGGAGACCAGCTGATGAGGGAAGAAACAAGATAATTGACTGATGTTTTATTACTCAAAGACTATGCTATATATATATATATATATATATATATACCTTTTACTATGGAATTTATTGATGTGAATAAACGGAAAGATTGGTATCAAGATTGATAATTTGGATGTTGATGATCGATGATATTGATACTTGGCGACTTGATATGTGATCAGCAATGTTGAGGATGATCACTTAGTAGAGGTCGAGGAATGTTCATAACGTATAATGCAGTAGAGGAAACACCACACACACAATTCAATCAGTATAGATAAGACATAATTGACACCTTATCAATAATCCTCACAGCAGATTGCGATTGAGGATAATTAAGAACCAGCCGTTGTATAAACAATGTTCTACTCTCGTGGTCGGTCGGCAATTCCTCTCGATTCGATACCTGAGTAGACCGAATTGTTCCTATCAAAAAGCATGAATCACTTCCAACACACAAAACCCTCATGTCCACCTCATTTTATCAAAGACTCCCCTGAGAATTTCAAACTCAAAAACTCTAGAGCCACAGCGTGTAGTGTGTGAGTGCTTTAAGCAGCACCTTTTATTTACAACCCTAAAAAAAGGGGTTAAAGGTCATCAACAATAATCATCAAGAAAAGGTATAGTTCGAAATGCCATTGAATAGAACTGAGAGCCGCCCAAATAGTACTCGACATCAGACACTTGACACGAAACAAAACTGAAGGGAAAAGACATCAACAAAGTACTGATGAGACTTGGCGCCATGCATTACTTATCTTTAAATGGGGTGGGCCTTAGGGTTTGTGCAACACATACAAAGGTGACACTGCATCACACACTGAACAAGGCGAAGAGAAGAGCTCTTTACACTCGGAAGCAACATCCATCATATGGCTTCCCAACTCCATCTTCCTCTCTCGCTCCTCATCTTGGAAAGATCCAATATCGGGCATGCCCGCGATTCATGCATCAGTTTACCCAAACGGAAGTCTGGACAGCATCTCAAACAGCATATAAGGGGTTGTGAATTCCTCCAATAATATATATTTGACTACTCTCACTTTAGTATCTCATACTAACATTTATTTCATCTCTAAAAAGATTTCTTTCTTTTGATCCATCAACAACCCACGTTTATCACAAATACTAGAACTATTGTACAAAATGGTAGTCTTTGAGGATCAAGCACTTTCTTCGCAGCTCTCTTATATCATCTGAGCTTGCTCCCTTACTTACTACATCATACCAGTAGGATGGCTTGTTGTATTTTATCGTATCCTTATTGTGCAATGTTGTGTGCCAGGTAAGAACATGACATATCCCATGTATATTATCGAATATGACAGTAGCACAGTATGTCAATTAATAATAACGATGACGAACTAGCTCCAGAAAAAGCCCTGCAGCTACCATCTTCACTACATACTCCAGCACAATAACACTATTAGCTTTACTCTTTTTTCCTCCTAGCTAGTCTGTAATATCCTACATTGCTACATGTACCTCCAAACTCCTTTATATTACTCTTCAGCACCCACACTTATAGTACTATCATCGTACATTAGCGTAACCTTTCCCGCTACAGGTTTTTTAATCAATGCATCATATACTCATATACCAATATTGGTTATCCACAACTGTGCCTTAAGGAAGTGACCACATGCCCATTGATGCTAATCAACTGAGTCTTCCATAAAAAAAATCAATCTATATAATATGCTCCATTACTTGAAATATTAATATATCTGTAGATTGTAAAAGAGGATAAATGATATCGAAAGCACAAAAAGTCACGAAGCACAAATTATGCTGTAGTAAAATGCAACGAGCACATGTCAGCAGTTCGACGAGGCACCAGACCACGATTCAAAGAAAAAAAAAGCACAGACATATATGGGAAAAAATTAACAAATCATGTCGGATTCGAAGATACGCTCCTAGGTGGGCTCGAACCACCAACCTCCTGATTAACAGTCAGACGCGCTAGCCAATTGCGCCATAAGAGCGGGACGTTGTGGAGCATCGCGTGCGGCCCAATTTAACTCTTTACATACAACTTCGAATAATAATTAAAAAAAACAACAACAGAAGGTCTTGACCAGACACACGAGCAACCAACCCCACTGCCTAAAACACCTGAAAAAGCGACCCTGCGACCCTGCATCGAAACCTGCAGGAAACCCCAACCTGATCTTATATAAGTAGTTATTAGTAGGAGGAGCAATCCTTAAACTATAGAATAAACCTTTGTATCATTGACCTTGTAAAGGTTATAGTTTAAAAATAATGTTAAAAATGGTATTTCTTTTAAATGATGTTTCTTTTATAAATATAATTATAATTAATATAAAAAAAAAGATTTAAACTTTTGAATTTATAACTTTTTTAAAAAATATCATTTTGTTTAAATGTTTTATCTTTATCATGAAAAAAATTCATTTTTTGATTTTAACTTTTTAAAATTTTAATGATTAAAAAAGATAAAACATACAAATGTTTAATCCTTCGATTGATGATTATCTTAAAGATTTAAAATTTAAAAGATAAATAGATAACTCCTTTATGGATTAAAAGCTCCCCCTGGAGTGGTAACGAGGATCCTAACTTACGGGAGTAAGTTGCTCCTTCCTCTAGTGCACAAGGTGCTTAATACCTTGCGCAGCGACTCTTTGTGGTTCTTTCTCTAGAGAAAGGTTCTCGAAACTCCATAGAAAATCTTTGATTTTTGGCTTGGCAGTTTTGAAATGTTTATCCTATTATAGATATACCTTTTAAATATAAAACATTGCTTAAACTATAATTAAGGATTATCCTTCTAGTAGGCACACTACTCCTTGCATACATAGCTCTTATAACTCATTGTTTGTTCTCTAACTAGCCAAAGATTTGCCTAGCTAGGAGAGCTACTTATAGTAAAAAATACTTATCTTTCCCATGAGTTCTCAAAAGTCCCGCCACCACGTGGCATGACCAATTCATCCTAGTTGACCATGCTAATGACTGATCCGTGCCGATGTCCACGACATTAATAAACCTTACGGGTTGCTTTTTGTCAAGTTTGATTATAACAGATATTGTATGTTGTATTACGCGTAGAGAAGTATGTTTATTTATTATTATTATATGTAATATATCATAGCAACAGGCCAACAGCTCTCTTTTTTATATACCTGGAAACATCTCTACATGTTTCCACTTTTCTACATTTTCACCCATCCAATGCAAGGATCTTGGCTTTTGTTCTCCTCTAGGGCACCACTCAACCTTCGGATTTTTCCACCAGAGCTCAACCATGCCGTATAGCTCTTTCATTTTGCTGCTGTAAACTATGATATTCGATAAACTTTTCGACGCCTTTGTTGACTGCGTTCCTACAATTGAACATTTTGGCTTGGTCCTTGCGCCACTTTGTTTTCCATTGTAACTCTAGTCTTTGATAGCTGGGCCACCGGATATTCCTTCGTGCCATTCGTGCCAAAGGTCGGTCACTGTTGCTACACCATCGTTTAATCTATAGTGTGGAAGTTGAGCAGTGCTGAAAAGCGATGAAGAGGTTGTGGCAGGCATGGGTGTGTTATTAGACGGGATTGGTGGGGTGATAGTGTCAACAATGGATGGAGCGACAGTAGCAGCTGCAAAGTTGGCAGCCGATGGTATAGTATTAACCGGAACATTCGTTGAATGCGATTGTAAAGTCAATTGAACCGATATCATCGTGAGGCGTCCGTTCGCAAGGTCACCTATAAACTGGTTGAATGTGCGGTTATGCTATTCAACCAATTGTGTGTTGCGATCGACCTTTTGATTAAGATCGGTATACATCTGCCGTAAGAAACCATGTAGTTGTGGCATCGCTCTTGATAAGGTGAGGTCCTCTGGTGGGGGGCCGTTTCGATGGAGGCCGCTAGATCACTAGAGTAATATAAATTATTGTAAGTAA